GGTTGTTTTTGTACAGCCAGAGCCTCACCTCTGCGGAAACAGGAACACTGTATCAATTTAGAGGTGAGAAATGACTTTTCCTTGAGTCTGATGGGTCTGGCTCTGACTTCACACTTTCCATTCCTGGTGAGCTTGAGAGAAGAGAGAATAAGAAAATAATTATGAAATCAAGCCTTCTCCTTCAGTTTCTGAGTAGTGGGTCTCAGCCTTGACGGAGACCTTTGGATCACACTGGAAGATTTTCAAAGTCCCCATGTTTAAGCCACGCCCCAGACTATCTAAATAAGAGTCTCAAGGGGGCGGTGGGGTGTCTCAGACCTTAGTACATTTGCAAAGTTTTCCCAGCTGATTAAAAATTGCAGTCAAGGTTGAAAGGCATTGTTCCAAGAATAGCTGCCTCCATCTTTCCATCAAAGCTGGTAAAGACAAATTTTTCCGGCAGGTAAGCAGAGGTTAGCAGTGATCAAGTTCTCTTTTTAAACAGCATTGTTGACTGGCTTGTTCATTCTTCCATCTATCATGTGCTATTGAATACCTGTTAGGTACCTGGTCTGGTGCCTGGGATTCATGGACCAAAGAAAGCCTCTTTCTTAAAGACACTAAAGCCTAAAAACTAGTTCATGAAGATTTTACTGAGTACAAAGGAGGGATATCCTCTGATGAGAAAGATGAATAAATAGGGGGCAGAGGAGAAGGGCTTGTAGCCGTAGAGCTCAGGCAACTTCCAGAGGAAGTGGTGTAGAAAGGTATTTGAAGAATCTGGTGTAGCTGAGGAAGGTGCATCACTAAGAGGAGAATAGAAAGCCACTCACTGTGCTCAGCTTAGTGCAACTGGACACAGAGTGGGAGTAAGGGAAGTAGCAGGAGATGAAGTTCATTGAATTGGCTCCAGGTAGGTGGTAATTGGGACGGTGCTGGAAATTTAAGGTCTGCTCTTTTGCTAAGAAAAGGGTGGGGTCTTCATCTCTTGATGATACTGACCAAAAGAGAGATTTGTGTTAACTATGTGGCCCTCCTCCGACCTCAGGTGTCCTTCATAGCCTTCCTAGCCAGTGCCCTTTGATCCTTGGGTCCCTGTGAGGAACCTCAGGTATTCTTGCTCTCATTTCTGAGTCTGAGGCTGAGGAGAAGGATACAGGTTTGAGGTTAAACAGCACCCACTTCCAGCCTTTGCCATTACTAACCATCTCTGTACCAGCAGGACAGACAAATCGCCTGTCTTAGGAATGTGTTTCCTCTACCTTTGAAAGAATCTTGCCCCAGGCCCGACACTGTAGCCGGTAAAGCCTTGGAGGCCGAACCAAGAGGCTCTATCTTGAGGTCATCTTCCTGCCCCTAGGAATTCACCTGTGGGGCGAAATGAATACCAGTGGGCTACCTGTGCATCACTAATGCCCCTTAGGCACCACCCCAAACCTAAGCTACATGTATGCCCCCACAACACGTGTCTGTGTCCCATGGAGAGAGTGCCAGCCCCCGGAGACAATGCCAGACCCCGGAGAGTCAGAGGGTCTCTCCCCATATTCTTAAAATAAAAGTCATTTATATTTCATACTTCTTACCTTTTCAGCCGCGCCAGAATTCTATCAACCATAAAATAAGGATGTTCACGGTCTTTCGTTACTAGGTCTTTATGAGGCTAGAATTGCAAAATTCCAGGCAAGAAAATTACTTAGCACTGCTCTCGTTACAAGGTCAACATCATAATCGTCTCTTCAGTAAGCATTAATGCTCTCAGTGGTACCCACTTAGTGGGACACCTGGTATCCCAGACTCGAGCTTTTGCAGCTATTCTAACCCTAAGAACCAGAGCGCCAAGGCAAACAGAAGTCCAGCCTTGCGCCTCTTCAGCCCACTGTGGAACTGACTGTCAGCCTCTCTAGCCTGGCTCCCTCCATCACAGCCTCCAGCTCATGCTGACCCAGGGCTGGTCCAGACACAACCTATGGGCTTCCTCAGCTCTCTTTCCCTCCCAGTCCCATTGGCAAGAATCAAGTATACCTTTGCCAATCATAAATGCTGGGCTTCCACTGCTGTATAATAAGAGTGGACTCTTCTTTCACATCTCAGCTCTTGGGTCCCCCTTGGGTTCACTGTTAATAACCCTTGTCACATGCAAACTCAGTACAGTTACAAAGTCCTATTGTGTCCTGTGGCTCCTATCTAGATTACTCAGAATAAGGGCCAAAGTCCTGAAAATGCCCTGCAAGACTCCATATGAGCTGCCCCTGCAAACCCCTCACTGCCTTCTAAGCTCACAGCCCATCGTTTTCTCTCTGTTTTATTCTGTTCTAATCATACCCATTCCCTGAGTGCCAAGCACACTTCCACTCCAGCACCTTTGCACCTGCTGGGCCCTTAGTTCAAACTTCTGTTCCTTGGCTATGCAGACTTTCTCCCTCATTTTTTTCAGACTTCTGCTTTTCTGCTTTCCATGGAATGGAACTAACAGGAAGGGCTGGTGGATTCGATGTGTGGGGTCAGAAGGCCACCAGTGACTTTGTGGGCAGGGACACAGTAGTTTTCATATATTTTCTTCATATGAACAGTCAACTTAAATACTAGCTGCCTGTTTTTAAAATTTATTTTATTTTATAATTTTATTTTATTTCACCATATTCTCCCCTCCCTTCCATCAGAATATAATTTCCATGAGGTCAGGATAGAGTTTCTTCAGTGTTATATCCTGAGGAGCAGAAACAGCGTCTGGCATGTAGCAGGTGTTACATAAATATTTGTTGAATGAACAAATACTTAAACAAACCCATTACCTCATTTGGTCCTCGCAATAGCCCATTTGACAGATGAAAGATGCTAATGCCCAAGTTCTTGGCTGCAGTTATATGGGCAAGCATGGGCCAAGCTAGGCCCAGAGCCTCACTGCAGCTTGCTTCCCTCTGCAGATGGCACATTCCTCTGCTGGAGAACGAGTTCATGCCATCAGGATTTCCCCTGACCTTTAGTCCAAGAGGAAATGATATGGCAACTGGAAGAATACCCCAGGGCCAGGAGCTGGCAGCCGAGGCTTCGGCAGCTGCAGGGAGTGTGTGAGTGGATTCCGAGTTGGCCAGAAAGGCAACAGAACAAGCAGGATGCAGAGCGTAGCCTCCCGTCCCTGCCTGACATTAGGGGTCCTTTTTCTTCAGGAGGCCCAGCAGCTGCAGCTCCTGCTGAAGCCAAAGTTATGGACGGAAATGAGGTAGCCTGTTGTCAGGCGTAGCTGTGGGGGACGACACACGGCTGCCTCCCGTGCTATCCAGGACCCCAGGAGAGTTTCTCTGATGGGTGTGCAGTGCTGTGCGTGAGGCTTCACTGGTACGCTGAAAGCCCAGGAAAGATGATGGGGTTTCTGACCAGGAATCTGTGTCCCGAGCCCTCAGCTCCTTTCATGGGCCAAGCAACCCCACATTAACCATCTCTCATCTGAGTCTTGTGTCTTGAAACTCTGTAAAATGGGTTTACACTCCATCTACTGCAGCGTTCCAATTCATGGTGAAAGAGAATATGGGGAAACTGCATGGTAAGCTGCAAGTTTCTAAACAAATGCGGGAAATTATTTTTTGTTTGTGAATAAATTGTTCTTGGGGGACTTTAATGTAGTTTTATATGTGCAGTTTTCTCTCTTGGATACAAGTCTGCTGTGTCCCCGCCCGCCAATCATAGCCCTTCTCACCAAAACATCTAATTCATCAGCCCTCACTGATAGCTCCGCTCCAACTGTATCCCTGATAGGACAGGTGTCCGGCATCCCTCCTGTAGCGTCTGGTCCACACCTCGGTTCCCTCTCACCAGACCAGGGCCAGGCCGAACTGAACATCTGCCTTCTGTTTTGCCTCTCATGCCCCAGAATGATCTTGGTAAAGCCCAAACACCATCCCACTTCTGTTTTAAAATCTCTGTGACTCTGTGACAAGGAGAGTAAAAGTCAAAGAAGTCATAGCACAACCAGTGGGGCCCTGAGATCCAGCCTCCTTCTCTGGCCTTACCCCCCGGTCTGCCGCCAGCTGCCCCTTCGAGTGGCAAGCTCACTCCACGTCCACATTCTTTAGCCATCCTTCCTTTCCTGAGGAGTCTCTGGCCCAGATGTGGATGTATCCTGCTTATCTCATTTCAACCCAGTGTTGCCACCCAGACTGCCTTCTCCAACTACCGTTGGACCACTCTTCCAGTCTCACTTTGATCTTCTTCAGAGCATTTTCTGAACCTTTAATTATCTTATCATGATTTTCACTGCTTATTTGCTGCCCTCCCCATTTGGAATGTATACCTCCTGAGGTCAAGAGCCTGACCATCTTGTTTATGGCTGGACTCGGTGGTGCCTGGGAATGTAGTTGGCAGACAATAGGACTAACAAATACTGGGGATCACTTCTTCCTGGTGGAGAGAATGTGGATGCTGGCTACTAGCAAACACATACTAGCTGTGCTTGTGAGCCTCACTGTATACAGGGTCTATAGTCAAATACGTGAGGAAGCTCAGAAGTTTCTGAAGGGACATTGTTTCCTCAGGAGAAAGCAGCATGCTCAGAGAATACCCTGAACACAGGAGTCTGTCACACTCAGCAGCAGCTCCGTCTCCAACCTCTTGAGGCCCAGGCCTGAGAAGGTCCCCAATTATATTGAATCTTTCCTATCAAGGAGAGGATGAGGAAACTAACTTTGGGTTTTCCTGGTAACTATATTAACTCAATTCCAAGTGCCATTGAGTGGATCAAAAATAGTACTTTATTAATTTGTAAAGGAGGTGTGTGGTTATGCAGAGCAATTCTTTTTTCCCTTAGCACAAAGTGTGCAATGCTGTGTGTGAGCTCAGCATACAGCCCTTTTGAAAGACATCATCACTAAGGAGCAGGTTTGCCCCTTCATTTTTGATGCTGATGTGTCCTTCCCTTTTTTTGGTCTCTGTGTGTTTAGGTGGGCTTGGAGAGCTGCCATCTGAGAATTGGCCAAACGCTACTGCCTGGAATACCAGCAGCCACCAACCTAGAAAGGGTAATGTATGTGAGGTCCCACCAGGTCTTTGGGTATCTTTTATTTTATTTTTAAGTTGTAATAATTTCCCATTTTAAAGTGTATCACTTAGGGGCATTAAGGACATTCACAGTGCTATGTGACCATCCCCACTATCTAGGTCCAGAACTTTTCATCACCCCAGAGGAGACCTGGACACATTAGTCAGAGTCTCCCCGTTGCCCTTTCCTCAGTCTTGGGCTCTGGGCAGCTCTTCTACAACCTCTTACTGTGGCAGCAGCTGAAGAGATGCAAAGCCCTGTAGCCCCGGCCTGAGGCCTGAGGCCTGAGAGATTGTTCCCCCACGCTTTCCGCCAAAGAGAGGGATGGAAGGGCTTGCATGGTCTTTAGTTAGACTCTACTTTCTCCCTGAAAGCCTGAGAGGAAAGACGATGAGGTGTGAACTGGAGGTGGAGGGTGGTCTCAAGAAATGAGTGAGCCTGGGAGGTAAGGAAGGAAGACCTGTGGGGTTGAGGGAGGTCTGGGCCAGAGACCTTGTGGGCTTTCAAGCGAGGGACAGGTGAGGAGCCGCCTGTGAGCCCAGAGCCTACCTGGAAGTACCCCCACGGTCTGCCTGCCCAAAAAGCGCAGACCTGAGTGTGGATCATCAGCCCTAAAGGCTTCGAGCTTGGGGATTACTGGAAGCAGCTAATTTTTGGAGAAGACTTGCTCATTCAGAGCAGTGCTGGAGTAAGGAGCCTGTAAGACTTTTGTCTGGCCTGAGCCTGTGACTGACAGCAGCATTTCTTCTACCTAAGGTTAGCTGCCGAGCACAAGAAAAGTTTGAAGTGCAAAATCTTCTGATTCAGGGATGTCACTGTAGGGATAAAGCAGACATCATTATTTTCTTTAAGTCTATGCTTTTTGCATCTATATTTTCGTACATATGTATGCATATATAATTTTATACACAGTTACATGAAGAATACACAGCATGATATCATATACTATTTCTTAGTGGTGCCTTTCCCTTTTATTTGGCTCCCTCCTTGTTTTTTCTCTACTTAAGCACCCTTCTTTTTCAGGTAATGTATATTAATGATTTTGCATACACCTTTTCACATTTTTCTCCATGCATCTATATTGCCATATGCACTTCATTTAGCCACAAATTACTAGCACTGAGTGGTAAAAACGGAGCACAGGGTGTGGGGAGGAAACCAGAAAGGTTTGTCATCACCTTGCCAAGACACCCAACCTTCTTCTGTCTCCTGTTTGTGTGATTTATTGTTCCATAAAGCTACTCTTAAGAGCCAGGCATGTTAGTGTGTGCTTGTAGTCCCAGCACTGAGGAGGCTGAGGCTGGACTCTGTGAGTTTGAAGACAGCCTGGATAGTTACAGAGGACAGGAAGCAATAGGGGCCGCAGTAGCCCATTAAAATTCTGCCTCTGGTTGCGTTGTCTGCAGGACCTGCACTGCAGCAGAAGATCTTACATGTTTTAAGGAAGATGAAGGTAATGCTTCCCTTTGCACATACACAGACCTCTTAGGCTGGCTTGACCCATGGTCTGCAGCCTCAGACAACCCTGATTTCAGGTTTGAAGAGGATAATGAAGGTCAAAGCCTGGCCAAACCCTCCATTTTACATTACAAAGGCAGACAAGCAGGTCTTTAAGCATCCAAGGCAATCTAGAGGAAGAAGAGGATCCTAATGATGGAGAGGCCAGGTCAGGCTGTTCAAAAGTGTCCCTCCACTCTTCTTATTCTATCCCTTTAGGACACTGTTGGGTGCCAGCCTGGTGGGTCTTGTTTTGTCTGAATGAAAGATAAACTGTGCCAGTCTCAGATTCTTCTTTGATTGTACCTTGACCTCCGTCTGTCTTCTACCACTTCAGGACAGGAGACTGCTCAAGCAAGAGAAAGGCTCCTGTTTTTTCTCTTTTTCCTTTTAAATAAAAAAAGAGAGAGAGAGAGAGAGAGAGAGAAAGGCTCCAAGGAAAGCCCCTGGCCTGCCCACTTCAGCAGCAGGTTTATTCCCTGGTATTGTGTGGCTCCCTTCGGCCCTGACGGAGGGGCTTTGTGGCTGTAGCTCTTGGAGCAGTAAATTGCTGAACTTCCTGCTCACCCCCACCCCCCACAGTCTTTGGTCAGGAGACACCTCCCCTGGACAGGACAGCTCAGCATGCATTGGGGGCTGATAAAGGGACTCATGAAATGGAGTGTGTAACTGCTCTGTGACTGTTTTGGTAGAGCCAGATTTCTAGAACCATATTCATAAAAGAGAATGGATCTTTCCCTTTCAGGAAAAGACCCTAAAGCCATTGTATTAAGGGGAGAATGATGGAATATGATTGCACTGGAGAACGAGGATCCCCAAAACTTGGTGCAAAGCACTACTCTGTGCAGTGCTCACTTATGTCAGTCTATTTGGATGTAACTACGGAGACCGGTTGACTTCAGGCCCTCATTTTAATCTGTCCCAAATGCAGACTTTCCCAGCAATTATTTCTGACAGCTCACATGGTGCCCCTTCCTCACGGCAGATGTTTGACTGCCTTGTTCTGTGCTCTCAACCGCTGCCACACAGCTGGAAGTCAGGCTGAGAGGTAAGCAGTTTGTCTAAAGCCACACAGATAGCAAATGGCAGCATTTATCTCAAGTTGGAGTCCCCTACGCCAGGCCCCTTGATCGTCACTTTCAGGCTGTATCTATCAGTGGTTCCCAAATTTCACTGCACTGTGTTGTTAGTGGAGAGCTTTAAAAACTGTAGATGCCTTGACTGCATTCTGGGTCAATTTGGTTGCAGCTTATGGGAAGTCAGCCATGAGTACTTTTTAAAAGTTCCCCCAGTTGATTCCAATGTGCAGCCAGGTTCGAGAACCATTGTGTAGAATAATAGTCTTTCTTTTTACCAACGAATGGTTCTTTAGTCTTTCAGATTGTGCCAGGCAAGGTGTGAATCTGCCCATCACTCAGTGGGTGAAGATTTCACAGATTGCTGGACAGTCAGGGTGTTTATTCCAGTGTAGGAGCAAACAGTGACCTCATCTAAAGATTGCAGTTTCTTGTCGAGAGGGCCTGGTCTATGACATGGCCATGCCTTCAGCTGGAAACAGAACATTGAATACCAATGACTGCTTTGCTGTTCCGGAGAGGCAGGGTCCCTCCCAGATCCAGAGAATTTAAATGGGCTTTATCCCTCCCACCCTGCTCTACCCCCAGCATGTTAAATCCTTTCAGAGGTCCCTGAGCTCCTCTTCAAATGCAGGACTCTTGGCCATAATAAATAATTACATCCTTCTATTTGGACTCCGATTCCAGATAGTAGTAATCCAAGAAAATCCAATAATGACAGTTGCATTAAGATCCTTCTTCCAGGCTAAGCAGAACATCTGTTTAGACATATTTTTAATCGGCAAATGCTTCCTGTGTTGAGTCCTTAGCAAATTAAATTTCTCACTGGACCGAAGGGGAAGCTGTCATTCAATAAGCCATCTCTGGAAATTACACCCTAGTCTCTTTCCAGGTGCACTTAAGATTTTCCCAAGCTGACTCGGGCGCATAAAACCAGCCCTTATAATACTGGGTCACATGTATATATAGCACAGCTTGTCTAAGCAACATGGGATGTCTTAGTGTTATGCCTGTGAATAGAGAAGTATTTTTGCCCATTCTCCAAAGGAGAATTGGCAGCAGAGGAAAATTAAGAGACTTGTTGAAAACCATATGGGAAATGAATAACAAACTTCCACTTGCTACATCGCTGCCTGTGATTACTTAAGACATGATGAGTCTCAGAATGTAAACATTAAGGGCTTTAGTGTTGCCAATATTTTGGAGAGATTTCCACCAAGGAATTGTTTGGATGGTTGGGCTGTTTAATTTTAGAATAGCTTGTCCATTTTCTCATTCATTCATTCATTCAAAACACAAAAATATTGAAAGCTTATGGCCAGCCAGGCGGTGTGAGGGATGTGGAGGGTGGTGTGGTGTACAAATAGCCACAGTTCCTGTTCCCATGGAGCTTCTGGTCTGCTGCACAGTTCCTATTGCAGTCTTGATACAATGGTTTCTAGGGCTGGGGTAGGAGATTAGCATGTTGGGGGGCCCTGGAGGTCATGTGATTGGGCGCAGTGGCTGGGTTGGATGATGTGAAGGAGAGAGGGAGGTGTCTGACAAATGAGAGAGCACATGGTGTGATTGAGAACAGGTGCTCCTTCACTCCTGTGGGCTTTACCAAGATGCAAGATGGGCCCACTATTGCCAGATCTTCCCATTTTTAAAAAGAAAAACTAGAAAATCTGGATTGTTATGTGAAATCCCCTGATTTTTAAAAGTTGGCTTGCAAAGTGAGATTTTTAAAAAAACATAGTGTGGGCCAAAAGTGTCTGGGCCAAACAAAACACATCTGTGAGTTGGGCTGATCCCAAGACTGCAAGTGTATGACTTCTGTTCTAGAAATGCTAGCAGTAGAATGATTAATTTCTGGTTAAAAATGTATTTCATATCAACTTTCTCTGTGGGCAGTATGACCAACTGAATCAGTAAAGGGCTCATTATCCCAGTACAGTGTAGAAATGTTTGGGAAAATACAAAAAAATCTTTCTTGCATCACAAATTAAAAATACAGAATGAAGTTTAAAAGCAAGAAAGGTAAAGGACCATAAAGCAATGAGAACAGGGATTTAAACTCATATAATTAAGCTACAGATGGAGGGAAGACCTTGCAGAAGGCATTGAAACTGAATTGGAACTTGAGGGGCCAATACATCATTTTTTTTTTTGGTCTTTTTCTTTTTTATCAATACTGGGAATCGAACTCACCACCACCTGCTTGCAAGGCAGGTGCTTATGCTGCTGAGCTAAATCCCCAGACCCTCAATGCATCATTTTTAAAATTCCTAGTATAATCTTTACATAGGTGGAGGACATGTGACCTTGAGCATAGCTGAGGCCAGCAGTAGAAACTAGAGCCTGCATAAAATGAATGTCCTCAAAGGACTCAGAGAAGTAGCAAGAAACTTTGCTGTCTTTCCCAGGCTGTAACTGGGGACAAAGATACCTTCAGTCCCAAAGCCTATTCCATGTGCAGGCAACTTTGGAGTTCCAAAACTGAGACAGTAATCGAATCTCAAGAGCCCTTAAAAAGTACAATAGGGTCACACCTATGATCCAAGGCACATGATATTCCTAAATGGAGAGAATAATTTTGCCTAAATATGAACTTTAAAACATTAGAAACACACAGATTTAATCAACGAAGGTGAACCACCACGTACAGTACAATAGGCAATTGGTATCTCAATTCTTTCAGTTTATTAAGGATAGGACAATCGGATGAAATTATAATACATATAACTAAAATGAATAATAGGTCAAAAAAAGAATTTGGAAGTATTGGTAGAGGAGATCAAGACACTGTGAAAAAATAAGACATTTTTAAAAGCACCAAAAAAGTACTTAATAATACATTACAACCATATTCATTAAAAGTAAAATAAGAATTGTTTTGTTTTGTTTTTGAGACAAGGTGTCCCTATGTAGTTCAGGCTGGCCTGGACTCACTGTGTAGCTCAGGTTGGCCTCTAACTGGTGGTGATTCTTCTGCCCCAGGCTCCCAAGTGCTGAGATTACAGGCGTGTGCCACCAATCTATTTTAAAATAAGAAATTTTATGTTGAACATAACTGAAGAGTGACTAAGAGAAGTAGAAAATAGACCAGAGGAAATTGTACAAGCTTCTATACTGAAAGAAAAAAGCATAAAATGTGAAAAAGGGTGAAGAGATATAGAGGTTAAAATAAGTGTCCAATGTGTAATCAGTGTGAATTCTAGGAGATGAGAGAACTTCCAGATAGAGTCTGAGAAAGAGGCCAAATAAAACTCATGTGCTAATAAAAAAATTTGATATTAAGCTTAAAAAATCCATGGTGGATTAGAATTTTCCAGAATTGAAGAAAGATGTGAAATTTTAAGAATAGCATTGACTCCAAGACAAAGAAGTACAATAAATTCATGTGTAGACAATTATAAGGTTGCTGAGGAATGGCAAAGACAAGGAACAAAAGAAGCACAACGGAACAGAAGACGCGTAGAGTGAGTGCTGAAAGGACTCTGATCTAGAAGGGTACCGCCCTCCTCCTTGCGATAACGTCACACCTGAAGGAAAAAGTACTTCTCCAGTCGGAACTCTACATATTCTCTGCTAAATTTTGTTTCAAAAATGAGGATAACAGATATTTACAGATAAAGACACAGAGCATTTATTAACTTCATGGAAGAATATTAAAAGATGCATTTCCAGGCCTGAGGGTGGGCTGCAGGAGTGGCAGTGAGCAAGGAAATGGGTGAATCTGAAGGCGGGTGCAGATGTGCACCGTGAACATAGGAACGAATCACAGATCGTGGAGACTCCTTGGGAGCTTAAAAGCAAGTAAACAATAACATGAGGAATTAGAATTTTAAGTGCTTATTTTAGAGTATCGTATTTCTCAAAATGAGAACTCTGATTTCTCCAGATCCATCTTTTAATTCACTAATTCTTTTTTTTTTTTTTTTTTTGTCTTTTTCCTTTTTATCGGTACCAGGGATTGAACTCACGACTGCCTGCTTGCAAGGCAGGCGCTTATGTCGCTGAGCTAAATCCCCAGCCCCAATTCACTAATTCTTTATACCTTGTCAAGTGTGACCATGAAAAAATAAAAGGTAATTGTAATGAATAAAAAGAGGATAATGGAAATAAAAGGTGCAGAAAAATTTCTAAATCCAGTAGAAATCAGAAAAGGAGAAAAAAGGGGAAGAAAACACACACACACACACACACACACACACACACACACACACGCACAAGACATGAAGGAGGTAAGTCCAGGCAAGTGAGCTATAAAATAAATGCAGTTAATTTATTACATGTTTAAGAGTCTCAGGTTGGGTAGCTAAAAAAAAAAAAAAAAAATCCAGATATTTGCTGCTTGTAAGAAGTCCATCTACAACCTAACTAAACTTTTTTTTTTAGTACCAGGGATCGATTTCATGACCTTGGGCTTGCCAGGCAAGTGTTTGTGTAGATGAGCTAAATCTCTTGTGTAGATGAGCTAACTAAACTTAAATGTAAGAATCCTCAGTAAAATATTAGCAAATCAATCCTAGCACTCAGGAGGCTGAGGCAGGAGGATTGATGCAAATTTGAGACCAGTGTGGGCTACAAAGTGAGCTCAAGGTCAGCCTGAACTGCATAGCAAGACCTTGTCTCAAAGAGGAAAAAAAAATAGCACATCAAGTCCAATAATGCATGAAAAAATTTATGCACCATTATCAAGAGTGAATTATCACAGTTGTGCAAGGTTAACATTTGACGAAAAGAAGTGTGTGTGTATAAAGAAAAATCTTGTGATCATGTCAGTTGATGCAGAAAAAGCATTTAACAAAATATAACACTTATTCAGAAAAAAACTATCACATCAGGAATAAAGAGGAATTAACTTATACAGCAAATGCACAGAAGGACCTGCAGTTTACATCACACTTAGTGCTTCCCCCTTAAAATCAAGAACAAAGCAAGGGTGTCTGCTCTCATCACTTTATTCAACATAATTCTGGAAGTTCTAGACACTACAAAAAATAAGAAAAATAAAGACATGAAAACTGAAAAAAAAGAAGTAAAATTTTGTCCCTATTTGCAAATGATGTATTATCTTTGTAGAAAATCCCAAGGAATCTGCAAGAAAACAAAACAAATCAAAAAACTTTTAAAGCCAATAAATGAGTTTTATCTGTATGATAGACTACCAAGCCAACGTGTAAGGATTGCTTGCATTTTTATATAACAATGAACATGCAGAAAAAAAAATTTTTTTTAAAATGATACACTTTATAATAATCACTCCAAAGAAAATGCAACACTTAGATATATACTTAAATAAAATGTATTCGAATGTCAAAAATTAATGCTTATTTACAAAGCCAAAGAAGACAAAATAAATGGAGAGACACACTGTACCATGAATGATAAGACTCAGTATAGCAAAGGTACCACTTCTCTTCAAACTGATCTATAGGTTTAATGAAATTCCTATAACAATTCAGTATTTGTTTTGTAGGCGTAGACAAGCTGTTACAAAATTTACATGGAAAACACATAATAGTATGGACAGAGCAGATTTTTAAGTATCCTCCCCACTCCTGACATATATATCTGAAATGGTAATGTTGTGATACCTGAGAGGGACGCGTTAATCAACGTGACTGTAGTGATCATTGCATACTATATACCAAATCCACCACATACACTTTGGGTATATAAAATCTTGTCAGTTAAACATTTCTTAAACAATTTTAAAAGAAGAGAAATACACTGGGAATATGTATTTCCCTTGCTAAAAAATGAAACATCCCTTTCCCAAGCAGCCAAAACCTAAAGGGTAAGAGTTTATGAATTGGAAGGAAGAGTGAAAATAGACATTCAAAGTATCCTGGCTTCTCAACTTTTCCTTCGTATTGAAAGCATTTTTCTAAATGTTTGTGAACCTGTATCCAGGTTGTTCAGTTTGGGAAATGTGGGCATCTGAAGTGGAGAGAGTCATTTTCTGCAGTACCAGCAGGAAGGTGCTTCCCAGTCCTTGGCAATCAGTAACCTGCCTCGTTTGTTTGATGTGAATATTCTGGACTTTGCATATAGATAAAATTATGCCACACGAGATCTTTTGTGTCTGGTTACTTTCAGTTGGCATGTGCTTCAGGTCCATCCATGTTATACCATGATTCTCTTTTGTAGCTGAATATTCCACTGTATGGATATACCACATTTTATTTATGTATTCTTTAGTTGATGATCATTTGTGACTTACCATTTTTTGCCTATTATGAATAATATATATGCATCATTTTTGTGGATATATGTTTTAAATTTGGGAGAGAAATGGAGAGTAACTCTTAATGGGTAAAGGATTTCTTTTTGGAGGGATGAAAGCATTGTACCATAGAAGTGATGGTTGTACAGTCTTGTGAATATGCTAAAAAGCCCCGAATTATATACTATAAAAAGGTGAATATTATGGTTGTGGATTATATCTTAATTTTCTAAAGACAAAAATTCTAGAAAGGAAGTGTCACAGAATGAAGTAAGTGAAAAGGTATTATGTAAATTAATGAAGTAAAGAAAAATGAAAATAATTTGAAAGCAAAACAAAGTGAAACAAAGCCAAAAGCTGCTATTTAGGGGAGAAATGTGAGACTAAAGAGAAAATATGCCAGGGGAAAACTGAGAAATTTTAAACAAGTACGCTGAAATGAATGTGTAGCTTCTTCGAGTGAACAGTGTGCGTGTGGGTTCAGCTGCTCAGTGGACTGCGCCTCTCAGCTCTCTATCTGCCATTTCCAGAGCCCTTCTGTTTTCTATAGCCTTCTCTTAAGGGCTCATCTGTAGCAAGAGACTAGGAAGAGCTGGTGGATTTTATGAGGCTCTGCTTTTTACCTGGATTTTAATGAAGAATTAGTTTTTTCTCAGTGTCACTGAGACATTGGCCCACTTGGTTGCTCTCCTAGCTAAAGTATTTCAGCTTGAAACATGGACACTGTTAGGCCAAGGCAAGGGACCAGTTCAGCTCGATCCCCCACAAGCTCATGAATCTGAGAAGAGCACCCATCCCAACTTTGGTCCCACCGAGAATCCTGAAAATTGCCGGGACCACTTGATTCCTATCTTCATGGGGTCTCCTTATTATACTTACCTTTCCTCCTTTGGAATACTACCAGCCAGGAATTCAAAGACCTGCACAGGTGAAATGCCCCCTTCAGATTGCATGTTTTAATGCTCCCTTTTTGGATTTGTACTTTATGCAATCATAAATGTAATTTACAGGAGGAATCAGAGAGCAAAGTACATGGTGCCCTGACTGTCTTCCAGATGGCAAGGAGGATGCCAACCCTGAGGCCTTGAATACCACAGCCAAGACCTCTGCCCGGGTCCGAAGAGCCACAACTTCAAGGACAGAGAGGATATGGCCTGGAGGGGTCATCCCCTACGTCATTGGAGGGAATTTTACTGGTCAGTACCCTGGATGAGACTGCTTTGGAGCTGGGTGCTGGTTCTCGGCTCTGGCAGTTCCACCTGCTAACAGGCTCCCTTATGCGATGTGACCTAGTCCCAAGGAAACCAGTCTCTGTGGGGGCTGAATCTTCAGACACACCACCTTGTTTCCAAGCTTCACATAGGGAGAGATGCATTGCTGTGGACCTGAAGGATGGTAGGGTTTGCATAATGAGTGTGTGAGCCAAACCCCCTGGCACAAAGAGGCGCATGAGCAGCTGCGCATCATGGTGGCTTGTCATATTTGGCCTGGACAGGGGCCCTGGGGACAGTAGTCCCTTGCCACTGTCCACCCAAACAGTGTTCCACGTGGTAACCAGAGTGTGCCAGTAGATGGGGCATGGTTGAACATGACTCCTTGGATTCAGATCCTGGTTCTCCTCTTGGGAAATTCCTTAACTTTTTGTTTGGGTTCCATATTTTGTAAATGAGAATGGTGATATTTTCTATCCTATATGTCATTTTGAGAGTTAAACAAATCAATATGGTAAAGCACTTAGAATTATGACTGTCCCATAGTAATTATGCCTGGCTTTTGCCATTAGTGTAATTACCTTTAAAATATGTAAACCATCCTGTGAGTTCCCACTGCTGATAGGATAAAGCTGGAACTGCTGACCCAAGTCTCCCTTCCTAGTTTTTTTTGTTTTTGTTTTTTTGTTTTCCCCCTTCTACCCTGTTCTCTTCCCTCTTCCTCAGGCCCTGTTTCCAGTCTCAGCAGCTACCTTCCTGTTCCTGAATGTGCACACCTCCAGCCCCTTTTGACATTTACACTTGCACTTGCTCTTCTGTTTGCCTGGAAGCTTTTCCCCCTAGAACTTTGCGTGCCTGACTTTTATTCGTTCAAGTCTCAGACTGAGTGACATATCCACAGAAAATCCCTCTGACTCCCCATTACCCCCATCAATGACTCAGTGTTCTGGGGTCCTGTTTATATCTTTTCAGGACTCACCATATCTGACATTGCTTCACTTGTGTTTCAGTTTACTTTCTATATTTGCTCGAGCTCTAGGGGAGCAGAAATTTTTTTTTCTGGCTGTTCTTGTGTCTAAGACCTGGCAGAGAGGCTCACTCCAACAGTCTGCTCACAGCGGCCTCAGCCAGACCAGCACCAGCTCAATTCCTGGCTCTGGCGACACCAAGCAAGCTCCCTGGGCTCTTCCCAGCCTTCCCTTTTTGCATCCTTCCTTCCTTCCCACAGCTCTGTGAGTCCTACCCCAAGAGGTGGCTGGTGAAGGCAGGTGTCACCTGCCTTCTTGCCAGCACCACTGAGAATCACAGAGTAGCAAGATAGTGACAGAAGTGTGCAGACCTGGAAGTGGGCAGGAACCTCAGAGGACAGGGAGCTTCCCAGGCCATGCCTTTCTCTCTTCTTGGTGGAATCACACACAGCTCCCTTGCGCCCGATGCTTGATTATGTGCTGTGATAAAAAGATGACTATGACTTCATCCAAGATCCTCCAGTCCTAACATCAGAGAAAGGTGTGCTTCCAGAGAGCTGAAATGTCAGGTTAAGGACAGCTACCCTTGCTCTCAGGGATCTTGACACTGTTCTTTCATGTGTGATGTGCTCTTCTGACCAAGGACTTATATGATCTACATTAAATGAGCTAACTGTATATGATAGAATTTTGTTTATATATGGGTATAATAATTCTGAAAGTAGTAGGATTGATGTTTATGATTGATACCAGTTTGAACCAGAAGCTCAAATTGTCAAAACAAACAAACAAACAAACAAACAGCTAATTCACTCTGTGGTCCATGTGTTTGTTTTAGGGGACAGTATGAGACCACACCTACATCTTCTAGACTGTGATGGGAGTTTACTGTAGGAGCATTTTTGTTTGCTTGTTTTTATTTTTTAATTTATTTACATCACTCCGAAACTCAGGTGTCTACTCTCAATCCTTTTTATACTACTCAAACAACTCTTTTTTTTTCCTGGAAACTTCTCATTGTTTCTAACAACATTAAAGTAGCCTTCTTTCTGTCAAATTGATAGAATTTGAAAAGAATTTTTTACTAACTGTAAAACTGCCAGCATGGAGTTTCATTATCCATCAAATTTCTAATCAAGGAACTATGAAGATAGGTTCAGAGAAAGTGAAATTCTCTTGTTCTTCAAGTCCTTATAGGAAATCTGGCCCCAGAATCCCAGAGAAGGCACTGAAATCCCACACAAAGCACATGGATTTGCGCACAAGCAAACCCATTCGGTGCTGGAGAACACCCTCCAGCTGGAATGGCAGAAATGAAGGCCGGATGTGGTTCTGGGAGCAGACTGCCCCATTTCAGAAGCCTGCAGTTCCCAAAATGAGCATGCTGGGTACAGTTTTACAAATGTCTAGAAAAATACTTTCAATACAAAAAGAAAAAGTTGGGAAGCCCGAAATATTCTGGACATCTGTTTTTATTCTCCCTTCCAATCCACAAACTCTTACCCCTTAGAGCTTGGCTGCTCAGGAAAAGTATGTTTTATTTTTAGCAAGGGAAATCCTTATTTCCATGTATTTCTCTTCTAAATCATCAGAACAAGCTTTCAAAGTTGTTTTTCAAATATTTGACAAAATATAAAGTGACTTTGTTAGGTGTGTAAAGATCACCGCAAACAGATTAACAAAGACATCTGTCACTCCATTGTTCCAGTTCTGGGTGTGTGTGTTAAAAACCTGCTGTCTTATTACATTTCAAGCAAGCAATACAAGTATTATTAACAAGGTTTTTTAAAAAATCAAAGTAAGTTTTGTGTTAAGCCAGGAAGGCTTAGGCATTTGAAGATGCTCTGATCAGGAATGAAGTGACCAGCACTTGTCGTGTCATTTCAGGCAGCCAGAGAGCCATTTTTAAGCAGGCCATGAGACACTGGGAGAAGCATACCTGTGTGACCTTTGTAGAGAGGACTGATGAGGAAAGCTTCATTGTATTCAGTTACAGGACCTGTGGGTAAGTACACAAAGGCAAGTCCACTCAGTAGACTTGGAAGCAGCAGAAGAGAGGGTGCATCAGTCTTAGATACGCTCTTTAACACTTAGTGTTTCCAGTGAGCTGTGATTTACAGGAGTTCAGGGTTTGCTAGACGGTCTCATTTCCCTCAGTGACAGCGCCATCCATTGGCAAAGCAGGCGGGTCCAGGGGATGAGTCCAGAAGACTCATGCAGAAGACTATGGAGAAAGCTTTAGGGGAGTGGGTTTCAATCTAGGGGGTGGTGACCCCACTGAGAATCTGATAGCTGGTGACGTGATGGGCTTCCTGCCTCGAGAGTGGATGCACGGGCCAGTGCAGTGGTGTAAGCCTGTATTGTTAGCACTCTGGAAAGCTGAAGTAGGAGAGCTGCAAGTCAAGCCCCTGGGAAACTGGAAGTGTGAAGAGCCTGTCTCATATTAAAAACAAACAAACAAACAAACAAAAACCAGGGCTGGGATATAGCCCAATGAGAAGGCCCTGAGTTCAATTTTCAGTACCATCAAACCAAACAAAAAACAAAGAATGGTTGTATACAGATGTAAAATTCTTATTTCTTTTTTTAGACAGGGTCTCGCTATCTAGTCCAGGCTAGTCTTCCTCTCACTATAGACCCCAGGCCTTAAACTTGCAGCCCTTCTGAATGCTTGGATTACAAGAATATGCTACCACACCTGGCCCTATAGACACAAAATTCTGTGTGTAATTTTAGAGGTCCAGTGGGATTATAGCCTTCCTACAGAAAACATAACAATAAAATGATTGGATTAAGATGAAAGATACTTGTTATTCCAAAAGATATAGCTACATTTTACTCTCCTACTCAGAGAAAAATTTCCTATATTAGGTTAAAACCAAAACGCAGCTGCGTGTTCTATATATAAGGTACAAATGACCCAGAGAGATTTGAAAGTAAAAGGAAACAAGGCATAAAAGTAAATACTAGCAACAATTTTAGTTATAGAAGAGGTTTTTGTTGCTTTTGTTATTTGTTTGTTCGTGGTTCTGGGATTGAACTCAGGACCTTATGCATTCTAGGACTTACCCTACTTTTGAGCTCTACCCCAAACCTTGTTTTTGCTTTTAAAGTCAAAAAAATTTTTTTTAAAAAAGAGAATGTAATGATAAAGGGTACAAGCTATGGTAAGAATATAGCTGTCATAAATATTTATGCACCAAGTAGCATAGCATTAGGAATCATAAAACAAGATCAGTGAAATCGACAGGAAACACCAGCAGCGGGAAATTTATTTCCTTTCCAGCAGCCCAAGTTGGCCAGACTATAAGTAGAAATTCATAGAGAATTTGAAAGGTACGGTTAATAGAGTTGATTCTGTAGATCTAAAAGAAGAGATTCGTAACCCGTAACACATTTTTAGTGCATATTGCAGGCCTCTATACTTTATCCATCTATTAAGCATTAAGAACATTTCAATGAATCCTAAAAGTCTGAAATAGCATTAAAATATTCTCAGATTGCAGAGCAGTAAAAGTAGGCATATTAACAAAAATAGAATAAACATTAGCCGGTAAATTAAAAGTTCTTCTGCATCTTAAAAAATAGCTCTTAAATTAAAGAAGTTTATATTAAATTTGCAGAAATCTAGATGGCAAAAGCCATACCATTCCAAATAAAATGGATAAGCCTAAAGCTCTGTCCACACACTAGTTAAGAATGAAAATGAAATATTCAGTTCAAAGAAGTTATCCAAAACAAATAATAAATATAAACCAGGACAATAATAAGATGAACCTGATAAGATGCAAGGAAACAGACAAGAGAAAACATTATAGGTCTAATAATTTCAAGAGTGACTTCTTTGAATAAACAAATATACCATCTAGTAGTTCAAGACAAAAAAAGTGGCAGGGCAGAAACACACAAGGTTAGAAATTGAAAAATGGGAAGTAGCTACAGATACAGTAGAATAATAATAATAAAAAAAGTAGTTTGTACTACCATTTAGGCAAGATGCAGAGATCTGGATAATGTGAGTGACTTCTAGGTAAATATAAAATCCTGGCACAGACTAACAATGGAAAGAAATTGAAAAACATAAGAAAAAGCTACTTCTCCCAAAGAGCCAAATCCAGATTTTCACATGAGTATTCTTTTAGACCTTCAGGAAACATACTCTGATACTATTTAGACTTTTCAGAGCACAGAGAAAGAACATTTCCAAATTAAGAAATGCCAAGGATTTGCTACCTTGAATGAGAAAAAGAGTGCTAACAATAAATAAGAAAGTAACTAAATTTTAAACTTCTCTCACTCATGAATAGACATGCAAAATCTCAAATAACTGGGTGTGGTGGTATACTACTGTAATTCCAGCACTTGGGAGGCTGAGGCAGGAGGATGCCATGAATTCAAGGACAGCCTACATTACATAGTGAGTTCAAGGCCAGCCTATACTATGTAGTAAGACCCTGTCTCCAAAAAAAAAAAAAAAAAATCCCAAATAAAACATTAGAATTCCATAGTGGAAGAAAAGAAGAGTAGGCTGCCACATAGACTTATCTAAAGAATATAAGATTAGCTCAATATTAGGAAATCTATGCATATGATTACTAGATCAATAGATTGGAGGAGAGAAGCCATACGTGTTATCTCAGTGCTGAAAGGTGTTTCCATGATTCAGCATGTACATTTTGTTTAAAAAAAATAGACAAGGCAGCACAGGAATAGAGCCCAATTACAAAAATTAAAAAATAATTAATGTCGTAGAGATTTTCACAGGTACATATAGCACATTTATATGTATATAATTTCAAATCAAAAGCCAAGGTGATGCTTACTGCTGATATTGTTAGAAGCATTTCTGCTAGAATCAGGCACAAGTCAAGTATGTCTGGGATTACCGTAATTATTTGATATTGTTTTGGAAATACTAATATAGCTAGACAGAAGTAGGAATAAACACAATGAGTACTGGCAAGAATGAGACAAAGAAAAAATTGTTGAAGGTTAATGTGATTGTATACCAGAAAACCAATTGAAAACAGAAACCTGAAGAGATTCTAAAGTGACTGATCACAAAATTAATTTAAAAATTGTTTTTCTTTATATATAGTTTTATACATTTTTATAGTAAGAAAATACATCTTTGTATCATAATAAAAATTTCAAATATATATATCCTTTATCCACTGATTTCATTGCTAGGGATTTACGCTACCATAAACAAGTAAAAGTCCAGTCATCTCCTTGTTTTGTTTTTGTTATTTGTTTTATGTCTTTCTACTCTGCAACTTTGTTTAAAGAGCAAAAACTAAGTGTTCATAAGTAGGAGACTGATGAAATAGCATACTAAAACATTAATGGCTTGAAATAAAATTAGTACCAAGTTGCTTCGAGAAGAAAAAAGAAGAGTACGTGCTGTTTAAATAAATCTCTAAATTGAGGGAGACAGAATGAAGAACGATGTAGATAGTGGAGAAGCATTTTAGGGGAGACTGTCTGGATTGGGTGGGAAGGTAGAGGTGAGGCGCTATCGGAGCGGGGCTTGCCTCCTGCTGTGGCTGTCCTCAACCTGCTGACCCGAGCATTTCTGTTGTTGTCCAGCTGTTGCTCTTACGTTGGACGCCGAGGAGGGGGCCCACAGGCCATATCCATTGGGAAAAACTGCGACAAGTTTGGCATTGTGGCTCATGAACTGGGCCACGTGGTTGGGTTCTGGCACGAACACACACGGCCAGATAGAGACCAACATGTCACCATCATCAGAGAAAACATCCAGCCAGGTAAGGAGACCTGTGTGGGGTCTGGAAGCCACATGCTCAAGGAAAAGGCCAGCAAAAATTGTCCAGTGCCAATTGCTAAGCGGGGTGGGCGGGGGGGGGCAGCAAACCAATTGTGCAGGAACCTGTCAGCAGCACTGCCTTTGCACGCCTGTGGCCTTCCTGGGAAGAAATTTGCTGAAGATCATAGGTTCCAGCAAAAGTGAAATAATGATTTTCCGTGTTATGAAAGACAATGAAATCCAATCACATTTCTTAAGTGACAAAATTGACCAGAGCGGTATAGGACCCATCAGTCAAAAAATAGGTTCTCCCTGCTTCAGTCATACATCATTTTGCTGACCCAGGCAACACTTCTTTTTGAAACTGTATCACAATTAAGATATGGGTATAGGCAGATAGCATGTCTGGATTAAAAAATATATTTTCATCTTAAATAATTTGAAATAAAAGTTGATATTGAACATGAAAGTAGCTTATTATATGGTTGCCTTAAACCTGCGTTAGAGAATCTGAATTGTGAGATATTTGAAACTGAGCTCTCTGATGCATTTCTTTTGTTTCTTTAAATGACAAAATCAGGATGTTTTGGATTTTGAATTTAAAACAACTTTGTTTTGGAGGGCAAACAGACTGACTGCTCATCTGTCTGCAAACACAGTGAAGAGTTCTGAGTGGCATTTGGGGAGGGTACGGGGTGGCGGGGCTGGGAGGAGACAGGGTGGGTTCTACATCCATATCTCTAAATAGTCTGTTAAAAACAACCAGAAACCCTCCAGACTCTGTTATCCACTGACCGAATTAAAGAGCTGCAGGAAGACTCTCTGGGGCCTTCTTCTCCCTGCTCTGCCTCCTTTCAGGTGCTGCTTTGGTTTTCAAAAGCCTTACCACAGTGTTGTGTCACAGGTCAGGAGTATAATTTCTTAAAAATGGAAGCTGGGGAAGTGAGCTCTCTGGGAGAGACATACGACTTCGACAGCATCATGCACTATGCCCGGAACACCTTCTCCAGGTTGGAACCCACGCTCATGCTATTTGTGTTTTATTGTCCCTGTCACAGGCTTGGGTCGGAGTCCCGAGGTCCGTGGAGAGCAAGCAGGTTTCTGTGCTATTAGCACGGCTGGCCTCTATGTCCTTGACATATAGTGGCCTTTGGGCTGCAGTAAAATATAATCTAATCAAATTTCCACTAATAAGATTGAATCCCATTGTGAAGCTGCCATTCATCATGCCATACATTCCCACACAGCAAAGTGGAAAAGAGAAATTACTGAGAGGCAGGTGGGGATAATAACTTAGACGCTCTGTGTAAAATCTCCCATGGATTGGGAGTCTTTAAAGCATGTGCTTGTATAAGCATGGTAGGACTCACCAGTTGTAGAAGAGGTTTGGTTTATTAGAAACTTGGCTGTGTCAGAACTGGGAGGCTTGTAAATTATAGCTTCACTTTATTTATTTATTATTTTATTGTATCTTGTTTAAGACAGGGTCTCACTATGCAATTCAGGCTGGCCTCAAACTCACTGTGTAGCCCAGGCTGGCCTTAGACTCACTGTGTAGCCCAGGCTGGCCATGATCTTGCAGTGATCCTCCTACCTCAGCCTCCCAGGTGCTGGGATTACAGGCATGCACCACCAAGCTTGGTTAACATTTACTTCAGAGTAAAGGAAATGAGGCTCCAGGGGCCCAAGGGTGCACAGGTAGCTGGGATCAGAAAGAGAACAAAGTTGCAGCCTCCTTGCCTGCAGGTTATGGATGATGGATGCTACCTGCCTGGTAGGGTTGGAGACCTGTCATATATGGTGGCACAGGCAGGGTCTGTTTTGCTGAGCCATACTGTGCTGTGCAAAAGTTAAGAATTCTCAATATTACTCCAGCCTCTAACTATGTTTATTGTTTTATGTACAGAAGTTTATCCTTATTAGTTTTATTTTTAGGGCTTCCCCGCCATTGTGTCAAAGGAGAAACAGTTCAAATATTTGCTCACTTGAGACTTTCTTTTCAATTTCTTCTTCAAACCAGCTGTGTTTTTGTAATTTTAAAGAGAAAAACAATGATACAAAATTTCAAAACAAGATAATAGGAAATTAACAGTGGTTAATGTATTGCCTATTATTGTCTTCAACATAATTGCTCAGATTGCCAGATATAGGCATGCAAAATTGATCAAGCTACACAAGCACAAACTGTTCTTTTCAACGAGTTAACAGAAATTGGTAATATAATCATCTTAGCTATTATATATATATATATATATATATATACACACATATATATATATGGTTGGAATCCATGCTCATGCCATTTGTGTTTTATTGTCCCTGTCACAGGCCATATATATATATTTTTTTTCTTTTCCTTTCCTTCTTTTCTACTTTTTCTCATCCCAGTTGTTCTTTCCTTTTGAGCAGTTTCTTCCCCTTTATCTACTGTAAGTTTGGATCTTATTTATTCTTTCAGTTTCTTACACTAGGGAGACAATACAATGTTTACACACACGAGTCTGATTTATTTCACTTATGAGCATAGTTTCTGGTTGCATCCATTTACCTGTAAGCATCTCAAGTTTATCCATTTTCATGGCCAAGTAATACTCCATTATATAAAAATACCATATCTTTTTTATCCATTCCTCAGTTGATAGGCATTTGAGTTGTTTCCAAGATTTAGCTATTACAAATTGTGGTGTTATAAACACAGGTGCTCATATATTGCTGTGGTATGATTTTTTATTTCTTTTGGGAAAATACCCAGAAGGGGAATAGCTGGGTTGAATAGGACTTTTAATTCTAGTTTTGAGGAATCTCCACACTGATTAATTTAATCAGTTAATTTAATCCTTCCCCCAAAAGTTTGAAGGTGACTTTTAATACATACTCAGAACCATAAGAAAAAATAGTAGGTGAGAAACCAGGGGAAATAGATGAGAAATCTGGGAGACATGAGGGGAGAAAGTAAGGACAGAAAGTGTGAAATCAATTTAGTGATCAGAATGCAGATGGTACAGACGTGTACACTTTGTTGAGGTTGTCGGCAGACTCTGCACTGTGCATCCTAGTGGTCACAGCAGATAGGGAGGTGGTGCAGGTTGAGTCTCTTTGTGCATAAAGGTAACAAGGAGCCAGTTGGCTCAGGAATCATAATTGGAACTGGAAGTGGAAGGAACCAGCAACCACTGGCTCTCTGTGTCCTGGATTTGGCTGCTAGAGGCACCAGTGGACGCGGTCACAGGGTTGGTACTTAGCAGCATCTCAAGGTCTCTGCCTACTCAGCTGGATAGTCACAACCTTTCTCCTGTAAGGCAGGAACCCCCAAAGTGCCGGTGAAAGAGATCACCCAATTTGGCATTTAAGGCGGCATCTCGAAGTGATACAGGCAGAGCTACTTTTCTTCCAGCTTTCCTCCAAAGACACAGGGGTGCCATGGTGTGAAGAGAAACCACTGCACTGCAAGCACGAGGGTGGAGCTCCAGCCCTCGTCCTCCTGCAGGCCTGGCCGTGGAGGGAGGTGCGCACTGCACTGAGGGGCATCATGTCGCTGGTGGACTCCTCACCCCACAGGCCTCCGTCCCCTCCTGAGAGGGCTGCACTGGGTGTTCTCAGATCCTATTCCAGTTCTGCCCTCTGCCTGCAGTGTCTAAATCTGAAATAGATGGGTGAGCTGCTGACAAATAGATTTCGTTCGCTGCCAAACAGGAAATCTGAAGCTGGCGAGGCCTCCTCTCCCGGGGGGAACACTGAGTCTTTGAGGAGTCCATTCCGGGGCCGTGTGTGGGGGGCGTTTCAGGAAGCCTCTGGGCAGGCAGAATGGGCTCATGCCACCAGTGTCAAAGGTGTTGGGTGTTGGAGTTGAACTGACTCAGCAGTTTGGGAAATTGTGCAGGAAACGGTAAGGTGTTGCCATTATCCAGGTGCTGCAGGCTGTTACACAGAGACAAAGTACTAATTTTGTCAAGTTGACTCACCTGAGAAGCTTGTAACTTGGGTCTTGTTTCTGTAGCTAATATAACTCCTCATTTGCTTTATAATTTATTTGTTAATTATTATTTTAATCTGTTGATACTTATCTGTCACATTTCCTTGTCCCTGAAATTCTTGAGGACAGAGAATATCTCATTGTCTTCTAGTCCCTAGGGCCCAATAATGCCTGGCCTATAGCAGGAACTCACTCAATAGACATTTAGCTAAATGACTATGTTAATGCGCGAGTTCCTAGGGGCCTAGAAGATCTACAGTGCGGGGAAGCAGGTGAAGGAAAGAATCTCCATTATTCTCATTGCAGTTCCTTCCACATACTCATAAACGTGGTGGTCACTTCGGTAAGGAGACTCTGAGTCCCTCCCACATAGGCTGTAGGACTGTACTACCTTCTGGGGGCCTGCTCTGGGCCACATGATACTCCAAAGGAAGAAGCCAGAGGTTTTTCTGGCATCAGCATTTATTTGCTTGATTTTTTTTTTTTAAATTTTAAAATAAAATCTCTACCCCTTATGATGCTGTCCTTTTTGCCCTCAGGAGATAACCCTTACTAACGTTGTTGTGTAGACCATTTCATCAGCACAGACCAATGGAAATCCATGGACAAACCCCATGAAATAATCACTCCTCATCCAAAGGACCTCGAATTCACTAGGAGCGAGGTTGATGGACAGGCAGCACCTGTGTTGAAGGTCACTCAGGAGCAGAGCAGCTTCCCGAAAGGCTACTGTTAACCTTCCTATTTCTGTAGAATTATTCGATGCCAAACTTAGTGTCCTAAAACAGCAGCTTATTATTATTTCTGATGTCTGAGTTAGGCTGGTACATTCTTCTCTAGTCTTGCCTGGGGTCAAACAGCAAAAGTCAGTGTGAGTGCTTGATTGGCCCAAGGGGTCCAGGATGGCCAGTCACATGTCTGCTGGCCACACCCTTTGCTTCTCCTTCCTGGCGGTCTTTCCTACCCCAGTAGAGCAACCAGGCTTTTCCCTGTCCAAGGACACAGATCTACCAGAGGGCAGGCTGGGAAGCTCGAGTAGCCTCTTAAGGCTTAGGCTCTAGAATTCTCATGGGATCACTTCTGCTGCATTCTATTGGTCCGCCAACCCACAGGGTCAGCCCAGACTCCAGTGAGTGGAGAGATTACCTCTCAGTGGGAGGAGTGGAATGTCCGTGTTGCAAAGGAATATAGATATTAAGAGTGTGGTTTATTATTTCAACGATCTACCTCCACTGCATTCTCCCTTCTGCTCCTGAGTACAGAATCATTTTTGCAAATCTCTTTTGCTGCAGATAGTTACTTGCTTTTATTTTCTCTGCCAGTTTTTGGTATGAATTTCTAGAAACTGTTTTGTTCCATGGGCTCTCACTGATAGGCCTCTCTGGGAATCTGTCAGTTCCTTGTGCTCTAACTTCAGGTTATTGCTCCTGGTCACATCTCCTCTGGAGCTGTACTCTACGTGTCTTGCCTTTTATTCTATAAAAGGGCTGAAAAGAAGTGCAGGACTGTTCTCATCTGGGGCACAGGCTTTTCCTGCTGATGGGAAACCCAGTCTTCGTGTCTCCTCACAGCTGAGTTGTCTCCTTCCAATTTTATTCCCTCTGGTTTATCGCATTTCTTCTCCCCTCCCCCTCGGTTGGGACAGGCTGTGGGGAGTGGCGTCTTTGGAGGTTTTGTTGGGCATGGGTCCAGGAGTCCAGGAGACAGTTCCCTAGTACAGGGATGTCTTTGTTAGGGGAACTCAGAGCTGACAGTTTTTCCCGAGGCATCTGCCAAGCCCTTTCTTAGTTCACAGAATGTCAGTGCCAGGATCTCCTCCGTGAACGGGGGAAGGAGCCTTACTGCAGTGCTTTGCACGGGGGCAGGGTGGTCCCAGCTCAAGGACGGCTGAGTGTGTGTCAGTGTTGTGCCTGCTACTTTGGGTTTGAAGTCTTTCAGTATCCTTAATGCTATCATTTAATGCATATTAAATCTTACTGTTCCTCAAGAGTAGGAAACACTGGCCAGAAGGAGGAAGATGCCAGAGATAAGCTTTGGTATACACTGGCTGTGCCCTGAGCAAGTCCTGCGAAGTCCCACAGGCTCACATGTAGCGGGCAGAGCCTAGTGAAGATCGGCCTTGTTTCCTAGGACGTTATGAAGATTCAATGAGATACTGCGCATTAAGCACTCAACCCAGACCTGGCACATGGGGAAGTCCTATGAATAGTGTCAGAGGGGAGAACATGGCCTCTACATGCCAAGCCTTTTGGTGACTTTGCCAGTTGCTATAGGGTTAGTTGACCTGTGCTGTCTAGAAAATGTGGTGATCCTTATGTTGTGCCATGGGATTCTTTTCTTCAGGGAAATAATTACGAGTGCCTCTTCTTCAGTTACTTTAGTTTAGTTAGCTGTCTTTAGGGGAGTAGGTTATTGAATTTAGTTTTACATAGAGTTGTCACCTATGGTTTAAAGCCTCATGAAGCCAGTGATGGAGATCATGGATTGTCCTGAAATTTCTCTAGAGGGCTTCGTACTGGGAGATGAGGCGGTGGGAATTACAGCAAGTCAGAGCAGAGGGTACTGTAGGCATGGGGGTGTGAGAAGGAAATCAGCAGATGATCTAGACTCCCCCACACTAGCACTGGAGAGAAAGTGAGCCTGAAGTCTGACTTGGAGAAACAAGCTTATGCAAAACAAAAAGAAGACAGTGATGCGACCGAGAAAAAATAGGGGTAATACACGTTTCCAAGGAAGTACACAACTTAGGAAAACAATGTTTGAAAGAGAGAAGAGAGCACACAGCTAATAGCTAGGTAATATATATATCTTTCAGTGTTTCATTTTAGATGTAAATAACTACTTTGCAAAAGTTTTTGAAGACTGTGACCTATCTTGGCAGGATAATTTGATTCAAGAACTATTCTTGAAACCTGCTGTGCTCTAGTCTCTTAAGTCAATCTCTGTGCTTCAGAAATTTATTTTCAGCAGAGAAGACAATACCGTCATTCCTAAAAACAAACCAAAAAGCAACATGCATTATGATAAGAAGAGACTGGACAAGTAAGGGCCAGAGGAGGGGTGATGAAGTGGGAGTGCCACAGTGTGCCCGGGGGAGACTGCACAGAGGGAGACAGCTGAGGGGGTTTTGGGGAATGAGGAGTCCTTCAGCACAGGGGAAGCATGGGCAGCCTGGGGAGAGGGTAGTACATGCAGGGACTTGTTTAGGGAGGCAAAAGCAGTGAGCAAAGAGCTTGGAGATCCAGGTTGGGGACAGTGCTAAGCAAAGAAGGCACACTCCCACTCTTGCATTTTGAGAGGAGCTCATAGCAGAATTGGGGGAGGGGTGAAGCAGTAATGGCTAAATCTGTAAGGAGGGCAGTTAAGAAGCTACTGGAAGGAATCCTGGAAGAAATATGGCTTACCTGAGCTAAGGTAATCATCTGGGAATGAGCAGGACACATCCAAGGTGCAGTGCATAGAACCTTCTTCCTGGTTCCAGCGAGTCTGAGGGACAGAGCGGGCTTTCAGAGTTTGTCTCAGGAGACAGGGTTGTGGAATGAGCAAAAGAATGGAATAAATTTGGTTGCAAGACAAATTTGGCATTGGACATTAGAGGCTCTTAGGGCAGTTTAGGGGAGGTGGTCTCAAGTGCAGATGGTCTGGCCTGGACACAAGGAGTTTGCTGTGGGCTTGCAGATGGTGGATGGAGCCCATATGAATACACAGTATGGATAGAGAACAGAGTGGGAACAGAGGCTTGAGGGGTATCTTGGAACCAGGAAGATGAAGTGCTTCGGGTCTTTCAGCTCAGAGAGCAGCATCTTGGAAAATTGGAGAGGAAGTGGGGCGGGGTGGGGGGGGTGGACAAGAGGTCCCAGGGCCAAAGAGAGGACAGATGCAGACTGAGAAGCACCCATCGGTGAGGGTGTGGTGGCTATTATTAACAAGGTCAGATCATATTTGGGGTGAGGAGTGATGGGGGTGAGCATCAGGTGGGGAATGGAGATGATTCTGTCCAGAAACTTGGTCAAGAAAGGAAGAAATAGGTTGGTACTTGGGGAAGGAGCTGGTCCAAGGGAAGACCTGACCTCCGGGAGAGGACCCAGTTAGAAGATCTTGAGGCAGCGGCAGGGGCAGGGGCAAGGGCAGGGGCCCAGAACCGGCAGTAGGCAGGCAAGGAGGAACCAGACCTACATGGAGGAGGTGTGAATAGGGCTGTTGCTTGGCCAGGCATCTTGCATTCCGCTTGTGTCCTAGATGTTTTAGATGTTACTCGTGTTGGAGTAGAGTAAGCTGGTAGCCATGGGAGGGGCTGCTGTGATCATCTAGGCCGTCTCATAGTGCACAGGAATAAACTGATGCTCAGAAGGGTTCAGAGAGAGCCAGGGGCTTGCCAAGCTCACTCAGTGGGCAGAGCCAGGCCTGGAAGGGAAATCTCGAGCCTCAGGCTCTTTTGACTCCCTCTTGTTCTCTGCATTTATCTCATTGTTCCTCTGACTGCTCCTCTGGGCAGCAAGGCCCTTCCACCTGTCATTCACTAACTCATCACCTGCACTTGCCAACTGTCCCGTTGTAGAGCCTTACGCTGGACCAGTTCCCAAGCTTCCCTGGGGCAGCTCCAAGATTTATCTATACATGGTCGTACCTAGGACACAACCTCAGGGGGCACCACTCATGCCGTGCTCTCAGTGGTGCTCCCCGTGTTGTGCAGCATGGTGAGCCTGAGGCTGGGGGCTGTCGAGGGCTTTGTGGAAATGCTCAGCACACATTAGTAAAGAAGGCTCCAGGCTACTGAAAGAGGCATATTTTTCAAGTTGGCAGTCATCTTCCCGGTGGAAAGTGAGCAGGCACTGATGAAATGCCAGCATGAGTGAAGGACATAGCGCTGGTTGTGCCAGCCATGAAGATGCAGACCAGGAGTAGGAATGTGGACGGGTTATAGGCCAAGACATGAAGACTGTAAATCCCAGCTTGTAGAGCCAGACTGTCCTGACTTTTATTCCTCTCTCTCCTTTTTCTTTCTGTAGAGGAGTTTTCTTAGACACCATCCTCCCTCGTCGAGACGACAATGGCATCCGGCCAACCATTGGCCAGCGTGTGCGGCTCAGCCAGGGAGACATAGCTCAAGCTAGGAAGCTGTACAAATGCCCAGGTAACCGTGAGCCTCGGGGATTCCCAGTACCTCCCAGCACCCTGTGGAGTGCAACTCAGTGCTTTCTGTATGCCGCTCCCCTTGCTGGGATAGTAACTTGGGAAGCCTAAGAGGACCATTGCTTGGCAGCTGTGATCCTGGTGTCCTTCTGTTAGGGTGTGCTAGACAGTGTAGAAAGCTAGAGTGGCTATGGGAATTACAGGTCTCGGGGCCCACAGCTGGTCTTATGGCAGGCTTTGGACTTCTTTGGCAAAAAAGGGAAGAAAGTACAGTATTCCCTAGGTACTCATGCAGAGGGACCCTGTAACAGTAAAAGCATTTTCTCCTTTTTTTGTAGAACTGGGGATGTGGGTTTGACAACACAAGAACAAAGGAGGACTTGGTAGGAAGACAGAGAACAAGGAGAAATACTTTGGAATGGTGGGTGTTTGTTTACTAAATGCCCAGGTAGAGAAAGTGCTGGTGCTGTATACGAGGTTGCTTCTGTGGTCTCAGTCTTGACCTGCAGTCTCCCATTCAAGACTAAACAGTACTCAAGGGTGGAGAAAATGCCTCTTCTGCAGCCAGCTCAGCACTCCCTTCTCCCTGAATTGGCACTTTCCCCTTTGATTCCCGTACTTTGCTTTTTGGGGTAGTGGTGGGAATGCCTTGGGTCAGAGCAAAGCATTGTCCAAGCAGCCGAGTTTTACCACTGATGGGCAGAATATACTAAAGAGGGTTGGGGAAGACAGACAGAAGGGTGTGGAACAGGCAACATGGGAGGCAGGAGCTGGGAGAGACCTTTGATAAACAGTGGCAGAATTCAGACACAAACAAGAATGAGTCAAGGGACATTCTGAGGACTTACAGAGGCAGTCAGGAGAATAAATTAAACCCAGTAGGAGTTGGGACTTTTCATTCTATAAGTCCTTTTACAGTAAAGCAGAGCTTTATTCATTCTAGTAAATCAGTATTTTCATTGGGCAACTAACTATGCCTTAAGGGGCTCATAGGTACGGTACATACAATTTTACTCCTCTCACCTCTCTTTCCCTCCTCTTTTTCTTTCCCTTCTCTTCCCTTCCATCTTCTCCCATCCCCTTCTCTCTTCTCTTTTTCTCACTCCTCTCCCCTCCCTAATAATGGGATGGAATATTTGACATGGCAGCCATTGGAGAAAATCTAGGCTGTCATACTGCCCCACAGAACAGGACTATGGGGCTTGCAAAATGCTGAGTGTGCTTGTGTCCATGAAATTAGGAAATCTCTCCATATAGCCATTAGATATCTGGGGCCACATTAGAGCTGAAATGCAGGATGCACATATCATATAACCTTGCTGAATTTAAAGGGAAACCTTATAGCATTCTCTGGGAAATGCTATAGTACTTATTTAGTTATAATGTATGTGCTGCTTATTTCCCAAAAGGATTGGAGGCAGCTGGTAAATACCATAAAGCCATACTGTAATGTATCTGTTCTTGCAGAATGTTGATGATTATTCTAAAATAATTGCCATGGAACCCTCGGGGGTTGTTGACTGCTGGGCATAATCCTCATGATGCCTGGCAGTTGTTCGGTAATGTGATATTGAAGCCCCGATATCCAGGATTTCCTGAGGCCTGTGATGGGTAGTTCTCCACCTTTCCCTTCCTGCAGCTTCAGAAAATATGGAGCTTCGAGGATGTTCAAGTAATAACTGAAACCTGAGGCTGTTGCCCTGCACAGGTGGAATCAGTTGTAGAGAAGGTGCTTAAGAATGCCTTGTTCCCCACTCTTGGGAAGTGGGCCCCCAAGACCAGGGGTGTTTGACAAGCCACTGTCTTTGTCTTTGGAGTTACAATCCCAAGGCTCAGGGAAATATAAAATCTACAGCTCCCAAGGTATAGATATTCTTTTTTTTTTTAAAGGACAAATCAGGTGAAATACATCCACATGTATGTTTTAGATTCATTATCAGGCAACAGTCAAAATATGTGAGGCAGAATCACATGCTGTAGAATGTTCTAGCTCCCTGTGCCCCTGCACTTTTCTCTGCTTTCTTACTGGGTAGCTCTCTCAGAAGTGAATACCAGGAAAAAGAAGAGTTATGATTTAAACCAACAACTGAAATGAGTTTCAAAGTGCACTTTTTCTTTTTGCTCACTAGCTTGTACTTCTATGGTCTTCCTGCCCAGATGTTATCAATAGCAATCATGATGGCCGTGATGTCTGGAGTGCTTACTAGGTGCCTGGCACTGAGTGGATCCACTGCATATAATACAGATGACTCCACTCAGACTCTGAAGTCTACACTGCTTATTTTACAAATAAGAAAATCAATACCCAGCCCACAGCGACACAACCCGCTGGAGAGTTCAGGTTCAAACTGAACTCTGGGCCATGATCAGTGTTGAGAGGCTCAGAAGAGCCCTGAGTGTTGCTCTTCAGCACTGCGTGCTACTGTCTGTATGTTACCACCTCGTGCCAACCCTTCTGAGGTTGCTGGCTGATAAAGGGGTGTGTTTGCTTGGCAGCCGCAGGCATGAACTGATATGCATGCCAGTATCACAGTTGTTGATTTGCTTGTGCAGCATGTGGGGAGACCCTGCAGGACACAACAGGAAACTTTTCTGCACCTGGTTTCCCAAATGGCTACCCTTCTTACTCCCACTGCGTCTGGAGGATCTCTGTCACTCCAGGGGAGAAGGTAGGTGGAAACGTTAACTACTCTGATATACCATTGCATATTGTACACATGTATCAAATTATTATGCTGTATCCCTTAAGTATATATAATTAAAATAATAATACATTTTTCAAAGACAGGCAAAAAACCTCCTGGAAAATGGTTGTCTGGCGGAGGCAGGAGCACTGGTCACTAGTACTATTAATGGCTTTTTTGTTATGTGCACGCACCACAGGCACAGGCTGCTTGCTTTACATTCATTATTTCTGGACTACTCCACCAGTTTCACTCATACAAAGAGAGCCCTGGCACTGTCCATGTAAGTTATAGATTAAGGCAAAAGAGGCTCTGCCTTCCTTCCTTGATAAGTGTTATAATGCCTTGGAGGGCAAGGTCCAGTGTAGAATTTATTGTAGTGTAGAATTTACCTTAATGTGCTGGTCTGGAAGGTGGCAGTATGGGAACAGGTGGTACCCAAGTACAGCCAGCCTGTCCCCCTCCTGTCTGTCTTACAATCTGGTGCCCTGCTGACCTGCAGCCCACACTTCTGAGTACCATCCACTTCCGTCTTTCAAACAACTGTTTACTGGACCCTCCAGTGGGTGGACTTCCTTTATGTGCATCTTCCTTTGGAGGAATGGTCCAGGGAAGAGGCCCTTGCGTGTCCTCCAAATAGGCTGAGCACTATTTGGATAGGGAGTTCCAGGATCCCAGGTCCCTGGAGTGAGACCTGGAGGGCAGACAGCCTCTGCATGGCCATGTTTCTGTGGCTCTGAAGATTTCGGTGACTCTCTAGAGCCCAAGGCCGGGGCCTGTTTACCCTTGTCCACCAGTGATGTGTTCTCAACCCTATGAGAGGGTTCATATTCTTTTATTCATTCCTTGGACAGTAAGGTCATTGCCCAGGTTCACTGCAAGATACAGAACTGGTAATAGAGAACATGGGCTTGGTACCCCAAAGTGTATATTTCACTCTATGTCTCTGAAAATCCAAGTGTTCTTCAAGTTGCCTCAGATCAGCTGCAACTGTCTTTTCCTTGGGTTGAGGTAAGGGGTTACCTGTTGTTTCTATAATGTCACAGTATCACAGCATGGCTCATGCCTGCGGGTATGCTTGTCTCACTTCTAGCCTTAAACTCACTGTCCACTCAGGCCCAGCACCCCACATAGTACATGGCACACAGTGAGGATTTGTTGAAGGGATCTGTGGACACATCTGAGGCTGAGTAAAAAACTGGTAGCCAGGGTGGCAGTGGGTGTGTTGGTGCCTATGAAGAACTACAAGCATTATTGAATTACAGCTTCAAAAAATGAAGTGGTGAGTCAAGCATTGTGTGATAAGAGAGAGAAATGTCTAGGAACCATTATGAACATTCTCCATGGACTGGGTTCTCTCCGAAATGTGTTGGGGGGCGTCATTCAATGTAATACTCACTGAAACTTCACAGGCTAGGTGCTGTCACCTTGCTTATTTTATGGGCAAGCGAATGAACTGCCTAAGGCTACTAAATATATTGCAAAGTCGGGATTTGAACCCAGGCAATTGGACTCAGAGTCTGAATGGTTGATCATCATCTTATATTAGTACATGGGGGAACACATTAGCAGATACACATTTGAAACACCCTAACAACACACAATACACTCATATACACGTACACCAAATCTTTGGATCTATGCATTTAATGCTGTGTGGATATCATGTTGCATCTGAGACTCCAGACTTTCAGCCTTGAGTGGATGTGACATCTCTATTTCTGCTGGAGACACTAACAGGAGAGAGACAAGGAGGAGGAGAAAGAGGAAATAGTCTAATAATCCCCAAATTGTTGAACTGCCCTGCACAGCAGAGACTCTGTAATATGTTTGAACTATGTAAGCTTCACCAAGCCTCAATTATTAGTACTCACTGGGGGCAAGGAGCACACACATCACTGAAATTCCTGCACCAGTTATTCCAATTTCTGCTCCATCCAGCTTTCCCCAGAGCTCTTAATAATTAACAAACTTGATTGATTTGAGCATCGCTTCTCATTCATCCATCACCTCTTCCTCTATGGTCTTTATGGTTCATTAACATACTTAAAATAATTAGCTTGAATAATTATCTCATTCATTTAGATCATGAATGTGTTGCCAAGGAAGTTGTACTAACATTTCATTAAAAAGCAAAGGCTAAAGAATTATTGTGCAAGCAGTTTACAAGTATTACTGAGCTTGATCACCCGAATAAAAGCACTGAGGGGATTTGAGACAAATCTAAGTTACATCCCTGTCTTTAAGAGACTTGTTGTTTAGTTTGGGTTTCTTTACTCCCTGGCAGTCTGACCCAATCGAAGGAGGTACATTTTCTTGGTACCAACTTTTCTCCTAAAGCTTCCAAGGTGCTTCTAACATGCAAGTAGGGTTTTAAACACCAGTGCAGTTTGAGAGTGACATATACATGCATGCACATGGGCACACATCATGATGTTAGAGTAAGCTAGTCTGTTATTTTATGGTACCCACTCTTCATTATCTAGGAGCTCACAGGGTTTCATGGAAGGTGTTACTTGTCCTGGGATCTGACTGCCAGACAGGATTGCCTTGCGGGAAGAGGTGGGCACCTTTAATGCTAGGCAAGGTGGGAAGTCTGCGCGGAGCAGCTGGCATCATTTGCAGTATGCTAAGTGTAGTACAGTAACCTGGTGTGCTAGGTTTTAACTGCCATTTATGGAGTACTTACTATAAGCTGGGTTTGGCACTCTTGCAAAATCTGTATAGTTTCTTATACACGTCCCTTAACAACTCAGTACTGATTTGAAGATGAAGAACTAGAGGTCCAAGAAGTTAGGTGTTTCACCAAGATTTCAGGGCTGGTAATTGAATTGGTGGAGGTGAGAATTATGGTCTGCCTAACCCTAACGACGCCTGGTGAGAATCACTAGAGGAGAAAGAGGAAGTGCCAAAGAGGCAGAGGTCAGACTATGCCCATTGGTCAGTACAGGAAAGTGTGGAAAGGGGAGGACACTTTTCTGGGCCTGAGGAGGGTTCAATTAGTGCAGGTGTATCAGGGAGCCCCGGAAGAAAGGAGACAGAGTCTGGCCCTGAAGTTTGTGGAAAGTCAACAGTGTTTAATTTATGAGACAGAGATGTGGGGATCCACAGAGGTTTCCTAAGTATGGGAGAGATCTGGTAAGTATGTGAGGGATCTGGTAAACCTGAGATACAAGGAGGAAGATTCATCTTGAAGACTTAGGATGCAGAATTTTAGGGGCACAGCAGGATCATCTTAGCAGCAGCAGTCAGGAAGAGACAATGAGAAGGGGAAGATTGGGTTGGAGGGAAGGGACAGAGACATCTAAAGGGGAAAGAGACATCAGCATAGACGCTGTGTAGATATGGAGAGGGTCAGCAACAGAGGAAAACAGGGATTGCACCAAAGCATGATGCCTCAGTGATGGGTGATGAGTCTCCTAGAGTCAGGGAGGTGGGGTGGGAAATGCTTGGATTCGAGGTGCTCTCGTGGCTGGTGGGAAATAGGGAGGGCAGGAGCCAGCCAATGAGAGAGGATAGTGATGAGAGGATAGGCTAGTATGGTGACAGCCAGAAAGGATAGGTTCCATCCAGAGGGAGCCCACAACCTTGGGGACAAATATCCATCTTCAGATCTGGGCAAGGGGACGGCAGTTCCTCCAGCTTCAAGATTTACTTGTAGACAATGTCCCTGGGCTTGTTGAATGTTAAAAAAACTGGCCAGGAAAGGGACAGAGTGAAGATAATGGAGACTGGTGAGCTGCTGAGAGCAAGGTTCCCCGAACTGGAAAAGGGATAGGGTCAAGGGTGCAAGGGCTGGGGAACAGGAAGAGCTGAGAAATGAGGCACAGAAAGATGCCACAGAGAGAGCTGAGAGCAGTGGCCAGACAAGCTACTGCTTCTCAGCACTGCAGGCTGAGGAGCTTGGCAGGAGCTTGGCAGGGGTACAGGTGAGGAAAGGGAGAGGGGGAACCTGGGCTCCACTGTAGACCATCTGCTGAGAGAAGCCTAGGCGGGAGGGCCTGGGGGACCAGGGCCTTTTCATGGGCAGCACGTGTGTGTGGAAGGCAGCCTGCAGGACACTCTGTCCTCTCCACTAAATAATCACTGATTTGGCCACTAGAATATCCAGCAAGGGCCTCAGGGGTGTCTCAGAGTGCTGGAATGTTCTTGCCCAGCCTGAATTGAGCCCCTTGCTACCTTGTCTTACCTCTTTAGCTGCCTCATTTCAGGCATACACACTATGCTGGGTTTATGGTCCAGCTCCTCAAACAGCAGCTGGCCTCAGCTCATAGAAGTTCTCTTGACTCCTCTACCCCTGGAGTTCCTAATCCTTGTAGATTAAATCACACCTCCTCTGAGAAGCCTTCAGGAATTTTCCAGACAAAATTTAGTTTTCCCGCCTCAGGACTGTCTGATCTTCCCTTTCAGCATTTATGCCATGGTGTCCCCATTGGTATGGTATGTCTGCCTTTTGTTCTGCTCTGAGCTCCCTGTAGGAAAGGGCTTTGTCTTATTGATCTCTCTCCATTTCCCAGAGTAGACTAGCACACAGTAGGTGGTCAACAAGCAATGATAGAATGAACTAATGAGTGAATTGACTGTAGGAAGACTTTTGGACACAACACACCTCAGAAGTAAGGTCATGGCCAGAGGAACCTTGATCACAGAGCTGGTTAGATGTGCTTGGGCTAACCCCAGATCCTTTGAGATGATTGATGAAGTTATAAGATCTTTTTGTGTCTCTGAACTTCATTGACCCCTTTACCTCCTTCTAAATTTCCAATCTCAGTGCATCTTGGCCTGTTTTTCAATGCGTCTTACTCTCTGTAAACCACCTAGTGACTTCAAAAGCTCAAACGATTCCCCAGACAGAACTGAAGGACCCATCTCATTCTCTTCACTCCCCTTCCTGCCTAAGGTTTATTATTTAATGTCATGCGGCTTCCTGTGCCTGTGTTTCTGAGAAGGCATTCCTGCTGTGGTCCGAGGGCTTCGTTTGCTAAAGGGTAACATGAGAATACTAGTATACTCGGTGCATCTTTCAGAACTCAGGTTTTGCTGCCCAGACTCATGTTATGGTAATTCTTTACAGATCGTCCTAAACTTCACATCCATGGATTTGTTTAAGAGCCGTCTGTGCTGGTATGATTATGTGGAAGTCCGAGACGGATACTGGAGGAAAGCCCCTCTGTTGGGTGAGTGGCCTTTAGACAGCTTTAAGAGAGGAGCAATTGAGTGTTCTCTGGGATGCCGTGTTATTGTCTGGAAGGGTCCAGAGTGACAGCAGTCACAGGAAGCCCTCAACGGCCTGTGTCATTGTAAAACTCAGAGCACTCCATTTGGCCACACATGTTAAAAGCTTTTAAAACTGTGAATTCCCTTTGACCCAGCAATTCCACTTCTTGGAATTTATCCTAGGGAACTAATTAAGGAAGTGTGCAAAGCTCTAGTTAGGGCCGTGCACTGAAGCAGAGAAAATTGAGAGCAATTTAAATGTTCAACAGTAGGATTTAGGTGAATAAATTATGGTACATTTTTTTCAATGGAAAACTTTCTAACCAGTGAAAAAAAAGTTGGAGGTGGCTATGTATTGGATATAGAAAGTTGTTGATAAAATACTGTTGCATGTAAAAAAAGTATATTAAAGAATAGACTATGGAGTAGCATTAATTTAAAAAATATACAGCTATATATACATATATATATATATATACAATGATGTTTTATTTCATGAATTTAATTTGTTCCAAGATTCTGGAAAAGATGGCCTCATTTCATGCAGGAAAGATGGCCAGAGTTGTGTTCAACACCCAGTGCAGAATTTGCAAACAAAATTTTGCCAAATACTTTTGCATGTGAACCAAATTGTTTGCAAACAAAACATTTGTGAACCAAGGTATAGATGTACATATGTATACATACATACATACATACATATATATATATACACACACACACATAAATATATATATATATATCAGCACTGCAAAATCAGATGCTATAGAAGGTCTAAGTGACCAAGATGGGATTGATATAATAAACTGAGGAGTGGTGGGAGTGTGGTGGACCAGACACTGAATATCCTGTCCAAGATTATTCAAAACAAAATTGCTTAAAACACTGCACAGGTTGAATTCAACTGGAAGAAACTGTACTGTGTTCTATCATATAAATATTAAGTAAAATTATACATGTAAATAAGTCATGCATAGTGGTTATTTCAGGATACTATTTTTAAAAGTCTCATTCTTTCCTTGGTTTAGCTATATTTTCCAAATTTTTGTGATCACATGTTATTATTTGTGTGAGATGAACAAGGCATGAACTCAAATGTACGAGGCCGCAGGACCTTTGAGTGAAGGGCAGAGAGTGTGAAGAGAGAAGCTAGCTCAGTAAGGACTGACTGTGAAAAGAGCTCTCTCGTGAGTGGCCAGGGAAAATTAAGACTGAGCAGGACTCGTGGCTTGCAGATGTACGCAGGCTGGGAATGGCAGCCTGGAGAGAGAAACACATGGGGAAGGAGCCAGATAGAAAGGTCGCAGTTGAGAACCGGAATTCCTTTTTGTTAGAGGGGTCAGCCGCATGCTTCTGGGCTGGATAAGTCTAAGAACTCGGTGATGACTCGGTCCTTGGCATATGTTCATATGAACAGAAAAGCCACTCGTCACACTGAGATTGACAAGCTGAGAATGAGCAGTTGCTGGGACGGTTGGCTGAAGACGCTGCTTAGAAAATCCAGGAGAGGACTTCGCTGGGAAGAGCAAGTCTGATGTCATGTTGGGTCCTGGGGAGCAGGTCAGAAGAGACTGAGATAGAAAGTCTGGCAGCACTTTAGGAAGCCTGAGAGATGTGAAACTAGGAGATACAATAAAAAATATGGTGAATGTTTAAAACTTCTAAAAATGCAGTGAAAGACACATTGCTGTTAAGCCTCCTCAAGATACTCCCCATTGCTTTGAGCACATTTATCTCATGTTCTTACCACTGACCACTGTCTGTATCAGTGCTAGAAGTCGTTTTTTTTTTTTTTTCTGAGACAGGATCTCGCTTTGCAGTTCTGTGACCTTTGTACAGCAGGCTGGTCTCAAACTTGTGGTGATCCTCCTGCTTCAGCCTCCTGAGTGCTGGGCTACAGGCTAGAAGTCCTCTTTTGTGTTTTTAATTGTGCCATTGTGGCTGTCTTGATGCCCTGAAATTTACCTTTCATGGGCATTTTGGCTTTGGGGAAGAGCCAGAGATCCCACAGTGCCAGCTTCAGTGAATAAGGTAGATGAGGACACACTATAATATAATTTTTAGAGACTGCCTGTCCATTGTGTTGTACTCAGCAGCAACATTCACTGAAGTTTTTGATAACACCTCAAAAGACCCAGAATAGGACTCCCAGAACTACTTCCAAGAATGATACGATAAATGTGTTTGAAGTGAAGGGGAGTATTTTGAGGGAGATTAATGGTAATCTGTCTTTTATTGTAATAAATTTAAAAATTAAACATTCACCATATATTTTGATCATTTTCATATTGTACAACTCATGTAAGCTACTGATAGGAAGATCACACGGGTGTCTGTGTCCAGAGGGTCATGAGTTTGACATTCTTGCAGTTAAACAGTTCGGAGTTTCTGTCCTTAGGAGCTCCAAAGAGCTGGGGAGTGGCCAAAGCAGCCTCTGAATCTGGGCACCAGGTTGTCCCAATTAGGAGGAATCTGTCTGACCGAAGACTGAACAGGCAGCCAAGAAAGTGACCTCCAGGCCAAGCATGCAGAGGAATGTATACAGTGCAGACAAGTGGATTAGGTCACCCCTTGGAAATGCTGTGTCTTTCTGGGTTTCTGTTTCCTCCTAATGTAAGAAGATATGGCATTTGTTAGCAGCCAGCAGGGGGCGAACTTTATAGGTAACGCTGATTGGATATAACAAAATGACAGAGAGATGAATCCCTGGGGTAGAGTTTCCCAAACTTGGCTGCACACCACAGTCCTGGGAAAGTACTGAACCAGAACCCTATAAGTTGGGTCACAGAATGATCGTGTTGACCTATAAATATATGGTGCATGTGCCTGCATCCAGTACCAAATACAAAGAAATGAGCCTATGATTGTGTTCATCAAATTGTTAAACTGGTTGAAGTGGTTGCCTCTGAGAAAGGAAGTGTGGAGGTGGTGGGCTGCTTCCTGTTTTGTTTTGTATAAGACTCAATTGTTTGGATCTTTTATAAGAAGGCATTCTATAAAAGTTGTGTGGAAGAACTTCATGACAACGTGGAATCAAGCAATCACAGACCGCTCAACCTGTTGAGTCACTGAATTGTGCTTGTTCATGAGAAAACCCAGCTCCACAAGTTACACTAACTTTCTGAGGTCACACAGCCAGCTCGTGGGTGAGATCAGATCAGAATTCAGATGTCCTAGTGAGTGGGAGGGGTGACCGCTAAAATCTAGTGGGCTGTCCCTTGGGTTTACCAGATACATTATGTGTTGTTTATCTGAAATTCAAATTTAATTGGATTTCCAGGGTTTTTGGTTGCTGAGCCTGGCAGCTCTATACAACCTCCCCAATGGAATAGAGGAAGCTCTCTGTTACTGAAGTTCCCCAGAGAGGGCCAAGGTCCATTCCAAGAACGAGCATGTATAGAAGTTTAGCTTGAACTTTCAGCCGGCATTTTCCTATAGCAGATCCTGGTATTTCTGGCTTCACTTTCATTAGTGGGATAGGATTTTGACAGTTTACTGTTGTAGGTGATGATATGAGTGCTTCTGTTTGTTGTTTTGAGGAGGTTAGAGCTCGTAACTTTCCACCTGACAGCGTGCGTGCCGTGTAGTTTGGACGTGTGTGTGTGTGTGTGTGTGTGTGTGTGTGTGTGTGGCAGCTAAAGCATGGCTCAGCGCCTACAGCCGTCATTCTTCCTTTGTAGGCGCTCCCCTTTTGCCAACTATTTGGCCTGCTCTGATGTTTCCAAATGCGGTTGTTAGTGAACTTTTGTGTTTGGAACAAGTGCATTGTGTCAGCTGAGCTGGTCCCTGGGAGGGGTCAGTGCCATGAAATCTGCTGGGAGGAGGCAGGTCAATGCCCCTTTGGCAGGAGGGACAGCGGATTAGAGCGGATTGTGAAAGTATGCATCTTGCTCTGAAAAACTGTGCGACACATTTTTTTTTCCCAGGGCAGTGTGTGAAAATCCAGGCATAATACGTGCATAACTTTTTATGAATAAATCCTTTATGATGCCCACGGAGGCCACTTATAGTGACCTCATCTGCATTTCCTCTTCTTGATATCCTTATTAAACCCCTCCTCTACATCCAACTAGATTTCAGTTTAGGAATTTGACACCCTTTCTTCAATCCAGTTTCTCTCCAGCCTGTTTAGTTTGCTTGGAAGGAGGCTGTTTGGGTCCCAGGTTGTCAAGGGAAATGAAGTGGACTGAGAACATGTCATGGCTGGGTAAAGATCTCAACTAGATTTTCAGTTTTCACAGGCCTCTTAAGAGATGGACCGAACAAGGGATGGTGTTGCCTGCATAGAGAATTCACCCAGTATCTGAGACCCCGTCCTGGAAGTTGGGCTCCCTTCCTTGATTTGTTAGAGGAGTTGCTCTAAACAATGTAGTTTTGTATGCAGAACTGTCCTTGGGCATTCTGGATCACCACAATGTACACAAAAACCCTTTTACGTTTCTCCCTGGTATGAGGAGGGAAGTTCAGAAGGGCCAGGCCGCCCCACCAGTGTCATGTGGCTCTCGTACTGGGGCTCCCTGGGCCAGGGCTGCTTCCTCAGGGAGCAGAAATGAGGCCAACAGCAGACCCTGGTGTTCCTCAGACTTGTTCTGATCTTCATTCATATGTGTCTGCGTCTAAACTAAGAAACAGGGGAAAGAGTCATGATGCTTGCAGAGAAAGAGAAAGAGAAAGAGAAAGAGAGAGGGCGAGGGAGAGAGAGGGAGAGAGGAGAGAGAGAGAGAGATTTAGTGTCTATTCAAAATTGTAGTGATTAAAATTTCCTTTGGACGGTGCTGGTGGTGATGATGAAGGTGATATTGATGATCAAAGTCCTGATCTCAGACTGCTGTGCTTTAAATCTGCATCTACTTTCAGCTTTGAGACAAATTCTCTGGTCCTCAGTTTTCTCATCTGTGAAATAGGATAAGTAATGGCCTGTAATTCAGGTAGTCATGGTGGTAAGGGGGTGAGATAATCCTTACAACATGTTAGGACAGTATCTGGCATAGACATGGTCAGCGACAAAAGGGTTTTTCTTACGGGTACTGTGGTTAAGAGTTCTGAGATGTCAGTCAAGGGACAGAATTGGTTCTGGCTGAGAACTGCAGTGTGTGAGGAGAATGCTCAGGTCTGTAGTTTTTCTACCAAGTCTAGCTATACAAGCTTGTCCAATATACCCGAGGCACAGCGTTTACCTCCTCCAGAGTGCTGACCAGAGGCAGGTTGTCCTCCAACCCCCGGAGGTAGTAGCTCTTCTTAGCCAGTTAGGGCTGCATGTCTGCAAAAGTGAAGGTCCCTCTCTCCTTTGGAGACATTCCTCAGTGCCTGTGACAGCAGGGGCTTGAAAAGGAGAAACTTGGTCTTGAAACTCAGGCTAGGCTAAGCAGGAATCCTGCTGGCTGTCTGGCGTGTCTCCCTGCTGTTCGGGGCGCAGTCTCCCTGATGGAAAGCAAACTTTCTCCTACTTACGTTGTTTTCCAAAAACTAATAGACACTAATTGGCCACACCAGAGGAACCATTACTGAAAATTTATAGGCTCTGATGGGTTTTTCCTTGCCAAAGTCTCAACAACAGTTCCCTCTCATCTCTCTGAACGTTAAGCTCACCAAGTCCAAACAGCTACAGGTGGCCAGAATCAGAAGGAAGCGGAGGAGATTAGCAGGTCTCTCCCTACAAGTGGCTCTGTTTAGGAAATTCCTCTCATAGCTCTGTCCTCCTTCGACCTCAGTGCCCCCCACTTTTCCCAGAAGTATAAAGCAGAATTAAAATAGCTTTCAGTGGTTGTCCAGTGCCTAACATAGTACTGACAATAAAAATGTCCACAATATATCTGTTAAACAGGCTTTTAAAGAATTGAGAGCTCAGTGCGTTGGCTCATACTCCCAGCACTCTGGAGGAGGATCACAAGTTCAAGCCCAGCCTGGGCAGCTTCGTGAGAGCTTGTCTAAAAAAAAAAAGTGCGGTGTGTTCAAAGGTCCTAAGTTTAATTCTCAGTACTGAGAACAAAAGGAATATATAAAATGTATAATTTTATACCATGCAATTAACTTTTTAAAATCAATGGTTTTTAAAATATCTTCATAGAGTTATACAGTTGATTTTAGAATATTTTCATCGTCCTTCAAAAAAATAAAAAATGCCATAGCCATAGCCAATACTCACCCCCATCTCTGCCCTACCCAAAGCTAAAGAAATTCCTTGAGTGAGGCATACAGTGGATTCTTGGCAGAACCATGGACATCTGGTCCAAGCAGCTTCTGGGGCTCTGTGTTCTAGTTTGTTTTGTTTCTGGTGTTTGTTTGTTTGTTTGTGGTAGGGTTTCCCTATGTAGCCCAGTTGATCCTCTTGCCTCAGACTCCGGAGTGCTGGGATTACAGGCATGCACCACCATGCCTAGCTGCTCTGTGTCCTGAACTGACCAAAAATTTAACCCATTTTCCCCCTTGCCCTGGGCTACTGTCCTTAAACTGCACTTGGAGTGAACTGGCCCAAGATTATCACATACTCGGAAGCGTGGCCTTCTTTTCCTAGGCAGAGGGTTCACATTTCAGACCATGCACACAAGTGCCCAAGAAATTTGAGTGCTTTAGTTTAGTAACAGAAGTTTATATTTATTGCTAGCCTCTTTTCCATTGAGTAATAAAAACTGAATTTAGTCAATTTGAGTTTCCTTTCCCTGGGAAAGGGACGCCAGTGGGAGAATTTGTGCTAAGCCACGCATCTTTTGTCACCTCATCACTGAGATGCAACGCCTGACACCTGAAGCTTAAAGGAGAGGTTTTTTGGCTCACAGTTTGTAGAGGTTGCAGTCCGTAGTCAGCAGGCTCTGAAGCAGCGTGGCATGGTGCAGGGCTATGGGAGAGGAGAGCTGCTTATGGTGTGGTAGCCATGAAGCAGAATGTCAAGGACAGGAGCTGGAAGGGGCAGTTAAACCCTTCTAGGCCACGCCCCCAGTGACCCACCTATTCCTCCTAAGCTACACATCCCATACTCCAGTCACCTCCCAAAGCCACACTTTTGGGTGCATTTGGTACAAACCATAACATCAGGGCAGTGGGGCAGCAGTGGTGGAGACAGTATTGATATCTTCACTAGGACTGCCAGGAAGTCCCCATTCCTAACTACCCATCCCTGGCCACATAGGCATTGCTGTTCTCCATTTTGCCTCAACCATAGGCCAGTTCAGAATGGTTTAGGGTCCACATCTCGATCCAAGCTTGGGACGCATTCTATGGCTCCTCAAATCCTCAGGGCAAGGGGAAAGTCACATCTACAGCCCCTCAAGAGTTTAGAATCTTGTTGGCGCCATCACAGTCATGCCGTGCTTTGCCTAAGGAACTCTGTGCTTGTTTCATGGTCAGGGCCTTTACAAACCACATAGACACTTCCCTTCAGACCTTGTGAGGGGTGGGGGAATCCAGAATCTTTTTGGGCTCTTCCCAGGGGATGGAGACACAATTTTTTGGCTTCTCCTAGATCCTTAAATCCACCTGGGATCTCTAATGTCCTTTTCTGTCCAGGGTTTCAGCTTAGGTCAGGACATAGGATGGGTCCTTTTAGGAGCTCCATTGTGCCCTCTCCAACCCTTCTTCCCCTCCTCTGTCCTGGAATCTAAGGCCACAGTGATGGGCAGTGATTCTCTGATTCTTTGTGCAGTCTTCACTATCTTTGCTCTTATGACTGTCCTTGTGATATTCAGAGTCCCAAGTGATTGGATTTCTTCATCGTGTGTTCTCTGCCTCGCATCCTGAGTCAAGGAAAGCAGGATGTCCAGTGTTCCAAAGAGAGGCCATGGGTGTCACAGGATACACTGAAGAATGAGTCTTCACCAGTATCTCAGCCCACTATTCCACCACGCCTCAGAGCCCACCCAGGGTGCTTGCAGTGACTGAGATCTGGAGTTCCCCTGCATGAGGTGCAAAGGTTATGTGATTCCTCCGCTCCTGTATTCCAGTCCAGTACACGTGATAGGACCAGCAGTCACTGTGGGCTGCTGCTCACTTTAGACCACCTGGAAGCATCGCGGCTTTGTCTCAGTCACTCTCATCTGCATTCCTGCTGGCACAGGCATCCTGACTGTGTTTTCTACTTTCAGGCAGGTTTTGTGGCAGTAAAGTCCCCGAGCCCCTCACCTCCTCGGACAGCCGGCTCTGGGTGGAATTCCGTAGCAGCAGCAACGTCCTGGGCAAAGGGTTCTTCGCGGTGTATGAAGGTTTGTGTGTGACAGGACAAGCTCCTTGGGTGCTTGCCATACACCCCTGTCCTTCCCATGCAGTCAGTCATGCTTGGCAGTTTGCCGGGGCCCCTAGCGTAGGGGCCTCTGTTGTAAGGGCCAGCTTGGTGTGGGACAGGGCATGGGTCCTTTAGGAGCTCCACTGTTCCCTCTCCAACCCTTCCCCTCCTTCCTCTCCTGGCATCTAAGACGACAAGGATGAGAGCATTGCAGTCACTTCCACCACAGAATGCGGAGGCCAGCTGCAGGCTTATCTCAGAAACTGTCATCTACCTGTCACCAGCCCATTGAGTCCTTCCTGTCCAGCTGGGGAGTTGGCTTCCCCTACATGGGGGTGGTGTCAGGGATCCAAAATCCTGTGGAAATGGCAGTGGCCTCTAGAAATGTGAGAGCCTAAGCAAAGAAGCTGACCCCTCTAGGCCTCTGTCTCATTCATGAAAAGAAGACTGGACCACATCAGGAAAGGCCCAGCTGCATTTCCCGGGAGGGCCTGTGGAACTACCCAGAGCTCAGCAGACACCCCAGGCGATGCTGCTTCTGTTTGTTTCGTTGCTGAGCTTCCCTAGCTCCCTCTCCTCCCATCCCACATCTTGTCTCCTTTCTTAAAAATGAGACTTTTTCTAAAAAGTGATCAAGGGCCCTTTTTGCCTTTAAATTATTGTAATTTTGGAGAGGACAGGTTTTGTTTTTGTAAAACACAAAAATGTCTGTGTGTGCACCCGTATGTGCATGAACCCTGTCCGCTAAGTAGCAGCCGCCCTCACCCCTGACATCAGAAATCCCTGGGGAACTTCTCTGCTACTCAGTGCTCGCTCCAACCCACCTGAATGACAGCGTGAGGGGTGTGGCCCAGGCTCTTACAGCTGCAGCAGTTTATCAGGTGATTCTGATGTACTGTGAAGGCATTATGTGGTTATTTTCTTTACACAAAAAAATTTAGAAGAGAAAAAGATGCGTTTTATACCTTTTCAAGGTACATCCTTTTAGTGCATGGAGATGAAAATGTTGGTGAGTGGAGCCACCTAGTGTTGACAAGTGGCATCCCTTTTCCTCTGACCAGAAGCTCTCTGACTATGCTTTTTCTAAAGCTACATGTGGGGGAGACATTAACAAAGATGCTGGCCAAATCCAATCTCCCAACTACCCCGATGACTACAGGCCTTCCAAGGAATGTGTGTGGAGGATCACGGTGTCCGATGGGTTTCATGTGGGACTCATCTTCCAAGCATTTGAGGTGAGCCCAGCTTGGATGTCTTCCTGAAGATGTAAATGACAAATTGGTTTTTATCCTTCACTCTATAAAGAAGGGTTTCCAATTTTTGGGTTGAAAATGGGAACCTAAGAGACAATGTTAAATGCTAAGCCAGTGGTGACTTGTGCCTGGACATTTTATATCAAACTTTTTGCAGCCTTTGAAATATGGCTCATCTCGTTTTAGAAGGCTGCTGAACAGAGTGAGGGAACAGTGAAAGTGAAAATCTAGCCTGAGGTGGGTGCAGTGTGCACCCACCTGTAATCCCAGCACTTGGGGGACTGAAGCAGGAAGATCAAGGTGAGTTGGAGGCCAGATTGGGGTACATAGTGCGTTCAAGCCAGCCTACACTACATAGTGAGATCTTTTCAACAAGTCCCCTCCTGCAATATAAAAAGCTATCCTGGAATCCAAGGAACTCTTGTAGAATTGTTCTTCTGTTTCTCTTAGTTCCTCCTCAGCTTGATTCTCCCTTGACTTTTGCAACAAGGCCTCAGCTTGGAGAAATCCAGGACACACTAGCTTGGTTAGATTTTGAGGGTGATACTTAGGTTCCATTTTTAAATCAAAAGTCTTGAAGACGAGATCTCCAGTGTTCACTAGGTGACCTCTGTTTCTCCCTTTAGATTGAAAGGCACGACAGCTGCTCATATGACTACCTGGAAATTCGTGATGGCCCTACGGAGGAGAGTGCCCTGATTGGCCACTTCTGTGGCTATGAGAAGCCGGAGGATGTGAAGTCCAGCTCAAACAGACTGTGGATGAAGTTTGTGTCTGATGGCTCCATCAACAAAGCAGGCTTTGCAGCCAATTTTTTCAAAGGTATGAATTAGCAGTTTTTTCCACTTGTAGTCACAGAATGACTTGTTGATATGGAGCCTTAGCACTAGAAAAGACTCCCTGCAGGGAGAAGGCGGTGACTCATTTCAGAGCTGTGAGCAGGGCCCCTGTGGAGTTCCCAACTGACCTCAGGCAGGAGAGGGCTCAGTCTCAGCTTCTGTGGAACAGACTATTCTGTGTACTTGGAAATTTGACTTGATAAGTTTACAAGGTCAAACTCTTGAGCACTGATAGCAACGCATGTTTATATAGGCTGTCACCATGGAGGACTTACTATGTGTTACAGCCTGCGAAGGTACTTGATTTACCTGGCCATTTAATTCCCCAAATAACCCTTTGAGTTAGGTTTGGATCCCACTGGATCAACCCTGGGATGGGCTGCTCAGGGTCACTCAGACGGCCAAGCGGCAGGTTGAGAATCCAAGCCCAGTCTGACCCCAGTACTGTCTTCCGTTCCTTGGTGTGGACCAGAGGGGCAACAGCCCCCAGCCCTGGTGCTCATCTCTGGGGAAGTGGGGCTGAGGACAGGGAGGGATTACTCTGGGAATGGTCTCCTCTTTGTTGCCTTGAGGACCTGCTACTCCACTGGGTCTTGACCCAGGTCTGATGTTTTTGATCCCAGGATGGGCTTTAGGCCTCCTTTGAATGGCAGGTTTTCCTTCTCCGTTTTGGGCCCCTTAGAAGGCCTGCAGATCTCACCCCGAGAGGGTAGCCTGGATATTGTCTGTGAATTGTGATGGGGCACCCAGTGGCACACAGCAAGCCTTGGAGGAGCGGGTCTGTCCTCTGCAGCTAAGCCTCCTTTGATAGTGCCACCACTTGGCCAGCTTCCCAGCTACCCGGGTCTGATTTGGGCAGGCTGCTTCACTCCTTCCCATCTCTCCTAGGACTGGCTGTGTCAGCCCAGAAATCCTAAGAGCCAGGCATGGTTGTGGTCACTTATAATCCCAGAACTTTGGGTTGTGAGGCAGGAGGATCACTACATGTCTGGGGCAGCCTGGACTACATAGTGAGTTCAAGGCCAGCCTGAATTACATAGTGAGAGACCCCTTCTATCCCGCAAAAAAAGGAAGCAGGTAGAGGACTCACTTCCTCTCTCCCATCTGCCTCCTTTTTAGACTCCTCTTCTAGGTCCTATATGAAGGGCCCAGATGTCAGGAGAACCTGCCTCATCCATGCCGCCCAGGCAGGCAGCCATGTGTCCTTCGTGAAGCCCCAATTTTCCCCTCTGTAGACTAGGAGAAGGAAATCTCTGTTCTCTAGCAGTTGTGAAGCCCCAGGGAAATGACAGCCAGAGGGGCAGAGTCACTGTTGTCTTCCTTAAGCCAGACTTGTTCCAGCAGTGCGAGTCCCGTGAGCACACAGCAGGCGCTCAGGCTCCTTGTCAGGATGCCCAGCAGGAGAACACGGAAGCCCGTACTGGGCCTGTGGCAGAGCAGAGTGAGCCAGAGAGGCTCTTGCCTCGGTGCCAGTTGGCAGCAGACTTTGTCCAGGGCCCAGCTGGCTCAGGCCGCTGGCTGGGGTGCCAGTTGGCTCAGCACCTCTCCCTTCATGCCAGATGGCAGCGCCTCTCAGAAGCCATCCTCTGGGCAACAGGCAGAGCACCTTGCACTTCTGGTTACTTGGGGAGGACGGCAGTGGCATTCAAGCGTTGGCTGAGCCATCTGGTCCCGCATGGCCTACACGAAGAACATGAGGGCTCTACCGTGATCCCTACGTTCCAACGGCCCAGTGTGATGGGCCACCATGAACTGCTTGGTGGTAGGAGCTTCCTTTCTTTAGCACATTTCTTCAGAGGCCTAGAGATGTGCTCTGTGTTCTCTTTTCTTAACATTTCTGAATCAGTTTTGGGGTCTCGCCTGAAGGGATCTCATTATTCAGTCCCAGAATGACCCCTTCTTTTCCTAATACCACTTGAAGGATGAAAAGAAGCCGCAGCTATGCTAAGCTGAACTCTGATTCCAGCCTCTTCTCCAACCCTCGAGCTCTCCCAGATTGTTTCTAGAGGGCTCAACCTTGGCCACTGCAGTCCAGAACAAGCACAAGCCAGTGGGCAGAGAGCAGATGCCACTTCACAGCAGCAGGGAGGTGCTGCAGACAGCTGGCTCCCACCGAGAGCAGCGCCGGGCACATTTGTACATCAGCTGTCCACATGTCCTGCTGCTTTTGCAAAGCCTACCTTTTATCTACCTCACTGAGTCAACGCCTTATCCTTTTGAGCTCTGGAAGAATCGTCTGCATTTTGCTTTGGGCTTAAATCCATTCCTTTGGTCTCTTCCCATCTGCCTGAGACTGTAGCTAGAAACTGTGGCCTGCTCTGTCTTGCCGATGTGTCCTGCCTTTGGGTCACTGACATCAGAGGCGCCCCTGCCCTTGCCTCTGTCTTCATCCTTTCTGATGGATTCTGCTCTTCATGTCCCTCTGTGCACCATACAGATTCTTGAATCTTCTGTGTGTTTCTCCTGTCCCTCTGGTCTTCCTTTACTGACCCATCCTTGAAATCCTGTCTCTCTTCCCTTGTGCCCTGCATTGCTTTGGTCATTCAAGTTGTGCCCAGGTGATGGTCTCCTTCCACTTCCCATCGTTATGTCTTCACTCACTGGGATTTCAGAATTCACACGGTGGCTTTCTGTAGTGACAATCACTGTGCCTGATGTCTGCTGGGTACTTTGCAGGTGTCATTTTCTATCACCATTAAAAGAATAATTCTTCTTATTTTATTTGTTTATTTTCATTCTTTTCATTTTAAGCAGGAAGGAGGCTCAGGGAAGTTAAATCACCACAATTTTATGACACTCTGGTAGGTCTCACTCAGACCTGATTCACTTTAAAGCCTGGATTCATTATTTATTCTTCTCTGTCCAAACCTAGCAGATATCTATAATACTCTTCCCATGTCATAAGTTGATAAACAAATAATCACACGGCTATTTACTACTTCAGCACACTTAATATTGCATTCACTTGAGACTTTCCCTGTCTAGAACCTCTCTCCTAAGTTTTGTGGCCCCTCGTGGTCAATTCAGTCAAGCTTTGTTGAGCCCAAGCACACCCCACCATGTTAATATCCACCATGTGAAACGATGGGGTAATCGCAAAGCATCTTTCACCCAGTGAAGAGCAGGTTGGTAGGGAATTTGTAGTCAAGAAAGACAGGAAAAGAAAAAAAGAGAAGTAGGAAAAGGGCAGTGTCAAGCAGGAATGATGGTTGGAGGGTCACGTCCTTGCAGGACCACGAGGTTGAAAATCAGATAACCCGAGAAACACCTTCCAGAAATAGCAAGAGTCAGGCCTGGGAGTTTTCAGCAGGATCTGAAGAGTGATGTATCAGGACTGTTATCGAAAGGATCCCTGGTTGTGGTGGCAAAACCACTGGATAGCTTTTCAGGTCTTTATCAACTCTGAGCTGTCCTGATTTATTTTGTGGGTAATGTGTTCTTTCAGGTTGGCAAACAGTTACGCAGTTACCATGTTTCTGACATGGCGCTGCGGGGCAGTTCTCTCCCCCCTGCACCAGGAACCTCTCTTCTCTCTAGAAGAGACTTTTAAAAAGTCTCTATTTCATTTTCTGTTCACTGACTCCTCTAGGTATCGGACTGCACCCTGCACACCCACTTTCAGGGATGGATGTACCCCAGTTTGACAGCGGAGAATTATATTTTTCCTTTTATTTTCAATGCTCATCTTGAAGAGGCTCAATGCTGGGATTTTTCTTGTCAGTTGTGCATGGACTGAAGCGTTCAGGGGATTCTCCAGGGGCTCCTGTGTTCCTCCTTCAGATACTCATGGCACTCTGTTAGCCATTATTTAATGTGCAAAGGGTGTCACTAGATACTTATAGGTGCTGAGTCCTGCATATCCCTTGCTCCCCCGTACCAGCCCAGCCTGCTGGCCTCGCCTTGCCCAGTGTGGACCCTCAGAGCCCAGTGTTTTCTGCATACTACTATGTTTATGAGGGAGAAATCCCCAGTTCCAGGCCCTGAAAAGTATTATAGGCACAGAGAGACCTTTGTGAGGTATTGTGCAATCGCCTTTACACACCCCTGACCAGATGCTTCCCAGAATTTGAGTTTGTAGGCCTAGTCTCCTTGAACAGAGCTCTATTTTGGCCATCCAGGTATTCACATGTCAGGATTCTGCTCTTGACTATACCTGCCACCAGTTTTTCAAATGTGGGCAAGCGACTCCTAGGAAGGCAGCCACCAGGAGCCACAGTGGTTCTTAGAGAGCGTGAGCCGGGTCCCCCAGGGCATGGGAGGGCTGGGCAGACCGGACAGTTGTATTGCCATTTAACCAAGGTTGGTTTCCTCCCCAACAGAGGTGGATGAGTGCTCCTGGCCAGACCATGGCGGATGTGAGCAGCGCTGTGTGAATACTCTTGGCAGCTACAAGTGCGCTTGTGACCCTGGCTATGAGCTGGCCGCTGATAAGAAGACATGTGAAGGTCAGTGCTGGACCTGCCAGGCTGGAGTGACAGGCTGTAGGGGAGTGGGGCCAGGTGAGAATATCCAAGACACAGACGCGATAGAATATCCATCTAGTTTCTGCAGAAACAGACCAACTGGTAACCACCATGAATGTGAATGGATAACCAAAATTGCAGGGCTCCACCCAGAAGCTGAAGTCGGGGCACAGTTCATTTTCTTCCATGACCACCATGACCACCTAAAACTTGTAGTGATTTTTAAGGTAGGAAATAAAGGCACAGAAAATCTATGAGCACTTTGGTGGGACTCCACTGACTACTTGTCTCACCTGTCTCTGATTCTCTTGCTGGATCTTATGTACCTCACTCACTTGCATGAATCTGCTTGCTTACACAGGCCAGGACCTGTGACAGGTCAAATATGTCACTGTCATTTTTAAAAGCAGTGGAGATTTTCCCCAACATTGTCCTTCCAAAACCTCAGTTGAAACAACTAGGCTAGAAAACAGAACACTGAATTAATCAGGTTGGATTGTCTACATTTTTTTTTCATTATTACCAAAGAACAGCAGGGCTTATTGCTACTAGGGGGAAATCTCAGTCACTTGGAACTAAAACCAAATGAATCTTGTTTCTGCTTCTTCCATGCAGTGGCCTGTGGCGGTTTCATTACCAAGCTGAACGGAACCATCACCAGCCCTGGGTGGCCGAAGGAGTATCCAACAAACAAGAACTGCGTCTGGCAGGTGGTGGCCCCCATCCAGTACCGCATCTCCCTGCAATTTGAAGCCTTTGAGCTGGAAGGCAATGACGTACGTCTGTGCTCTGATAGTGGTTGTGTTGGGAAGTGACTCAGAGCTGGGGACCAGAGAGGGAGAGGTCTAGTGTTGGAACTACCACTTCCGGGGAGTCACAGGGCCTTAGCTTGGCAGAATCTGGGAGAATGTTTTATCCAGAAGCTCCAGCTCTGTGCCTTCTGCAGGGGGAGCACCTCACCCGGTCTTGTCATTGATGAATCCAAGGAGGGCTGGGACAGCAATGAAGGGAGCAGGTGTTGGAGTGGAGGCAGGACAGATCCAAACCCTGGGGTATCAGTCTGGGGTTTACTTTCCAGCCAAAGGAAATGGAGGAGCTAGGGCCCAGCTAGAGAGAAAGATGCTAGGACCACCTGTTCCTGTCTTAGTCTTGCTCATGGGTGACCAAGTCAGATGAGGCCTAGTAGCCCCACAGCCAAACTGTTAGTGCCCTCTATCAGCACCTGGGGCTGGGAGCCTCCCTTAAGGATAGACAGGAACCTCGTCATGCTCCCTCTTTTTTACCCCAGCTACAAAGATGTTTTCATCTTAAAAACGGCACTGGCCTGGGTCTCGCCTGACATTCAGCTGTTGCCAATGACCTTGCTGCGTGGTGACTCTGTTGCCAGTAGGGAGCTCACCCCAAATTGAGTACTGAATGAAAACAAGAAACCAAAACCCTGGAAAGGAACTGATTAGACCATTTAGCAGTTAAGTTCTTTTTGAGAGAAATTATTGCTACAGCAGGCAATGTGGATGCTAGTCCTCGCTGCACCATGATTGAGCTGTGGATGCCTTTCTCCCTCTGAGCTCAGTTTCTCTGCGTGAGGACACAGTGCAGTTGGGAAGTGATTTGCAAAAGTTTCCTCCCTCCCTTTCTCCCTCCCTTGTCGCGCTCTCTGCTTCCTTTGCTCTTCCTCCTCCTGCTCCTCCCCTTCCTCCTCAGAGTGGTGGGGCCCCTTTCTTTAAGCAAATATGATATTGCTTTCAAGTTAGGGGAATGCAGGCTTTGGACCCCGAGTGCTCAGGCCAAGCAGTGGCACTTCCTTGGGCTCCTTACCGCTTCCCTCATGACCAGCAGGGTGAGGGCCAAGGAGACCCTTCCTTCCTCTGGGCTGCCTGGAGTTCCCCCAGCACACACAGGGTGCAGCTCTCAGCAAGGGCTCTGGGTGAGGATGCACCGTCTCCCTGATTCCTTCGCAGGTCTGTAAGTATGACTTCGTAGAGGTGCGCAGTGGCCTGTCACCTGATGCCAAACTGCATGGCAAATTCTGTGGTTCTGAGATGCCTGAGGTCATAACCTCGCAGAACAACAATATGCGTGTGGAGTTCAAATCTGACAACACGGTCTCCAAACGTGGCTTTCGGGCCCACTTCTTCTCAGGTATGTGGATTTGCAGGCCATGAAGCTGGAAGCGAGATGGCATCACGGGAATTCCTGGCCACCACCTCCCGCTCTGCTCCTGCTTCACCCTGGTCTGTCTGCCTTGGCAGTGGTGCGAACGGACCCAGGATTTTTTTATTTATATTTTTGGATGCATTCGTTTTCTAGAGCTGATTCATTACTTCATTCTGGGTAGCTTGAAACTATAGACTCTTACTCCCTTATAGTTCTGGGGGCCAGAAGTGTGAAGTCAAGGGGTGAAGGTCCAGGCTCCCTCTGAATGCACCGGGAAGAGCTCTCCTTGCTTTTTCCTAGCTCTGGTGACTCTCAGGAAGCCTCGGTATTTCTTGGTCGCCTCTTTCCAAACTTTTGTCTTCCATCTCCCTGGGGCTTTCTTCTCTACATTTTCTCTTCTTATAATAATTCCAGTCACTGGAATTAAGGCTGACTATAAATCAAGGATGATTTATCCTTACCTATTTCTGCAAAGACCTTATTTCCAAATAAAGTCACATTCTGAGGTTACATGTGGCTGTCAATTTTGGGGAGACACTATTCAACTCCCTCCCTACAGTGGCACATTGGGCCCTACTTCTCAAATTGAAGGTCATAAGTCATTAGGACCATGTGTCAGCTGTAGAAAAAATGTCCACTTTCCAGGGTATAGCATTTGATGCTGGACACTACTCTTACCTACCTCTCATGCCAGCCATGTCCTCTGCCAAGTGCCCAATATTGGTCACCAATAAACCCCTCTGCCTTCTTGTACCATCACCATGCACTCTTAAACCCACTCTGTTCTCCCCACCCACAGCCCGTGGTGGTCCCTCTCCTTGGAACATCCTTCCTTCTCCCACATTTAGCCCTCATTTAGAGTCAGGGACCCTGTGTGTCATGTTCTGTAGCTTTGTCCCCTTTCAGCATACTAACTGTGCTTTTATGGATTTCTGTAACACGTGACCTCCTTTTAACTAGGGCTCTTCGGGCAGCTCCATGGGCATGTGACATGTACAGTCATATAGGGCCACACTCAGAAAAATTGAGTATGAATTCAAGGTTGGATGAAGGCTTTGGTATTGTCATCTTGAAATAATAGTTTGTGGATAGGGGACTCTCATGTTCACCTTGCACTGGGCCCCACAAATCACATAGCTTGTCACATCATACTGGAGTGTGAACTGTTTAAGAGCAGGAACTGCAGTTTGATTCATTTTGTATTTTTTCACTAGCATAGAAGAAAACCAATTATTTGTTGCTAGGTACTGAAAGTTCTGTTTCTGTGATTGTTTTTCGTTGTCTCTCTTTGAGAAACTCATTCTTTGCTTTTAGTGTCTGCTGTGGGCACAGCACAGTGCTAGGCTCACGGAGGTTGCTGAGAATGTGCCCCAACTCTAGACAGGCCAGGGAGACTCACTCTGCAAAGTCTCTGCTTGGGACCTGGTGGGATAGGCATTGTGACCAGGGTTGATGTTTGTAGAAGAAGGAAGCTCCTGATTGTCTGGAGCAGTGGGTAAAGGTCTTTTGCAGCTTGCTTTATGATCTGGGCCAGGACTTAAGGGATGGGAGAGGCTGAGATGGTAATAGGATGACTAAAAAGCTGGTGACTGAGGTGCCAGAAAGGCTTGGTGTGGCTTGGGTTCAGCATCTCAAGAAAGCAGAGACTGAATGAGACTAATCAGAACCCATGCTGGGGAGCCAAGAGTACCTAGTGAATCCAATTGGGTAGGACTGGGTCATTAACAACCTTAAAGCTGGCTAAAGAGTTAGGGCTTTATGGGACAGGAAATGGGTCCTTCTGCAGGTTCCTGGGCAGAGGCAGCCTAAAAAGTATCATCTAACCAAACCTGTGGGAGGGCCAGAGGGAGCAGAATGGGTCAGGGGCCACCTGGGAGGAGGGAACACAAGGTCTTTGAAATTTCATGCTTTCATACAGAATCCAAGGACAAAGGAGCTGGGTCCAAGTGGGTGAGGACCTGGCGATCTTCTGTAGAAGCCTGCAGGGAAGAGAGGAGGGGCTTCTATTGTGAAGTGTCGGATATTCTGCATTCTGAGAGGACTGAGTTGCCTCTGTGACTAAGAGGTCACAGCTAAAATGCAGTGTTTAGTGACCACAGTGGATGAATGGGTAGAGACTGAGCCCTGAAATCATTTGGTATGGGGGAGGGGAGGGTCATTCGGTGGGAGAGGAGAGGAAGACCAATCCTTGTCGCTGCAGGAAGAAGTGGGCTTAGGAAAGGGCCACACGCCACCCTTGGTGGAGCCTGGGGACCATAGGGTGGTGACAGAGCCCGTGCTGGGGCTTGCACGTGGATCCCACAAACCAGCACTGCTTGTGGGCTCATACTGCCCCCAGTGCTTCCGCCATTCCTGTCCATTTTCTCCTCCAACAACCTCTGAGATAAGCATGCCACCACTGGCTCTGTTTTACCTGTGAGGCAACTGAGGCACGGAGGTAGGTGCTGCCCCTGGTCACTATATCTAGATGCGGTAGGCAGAGAGGCACTTACCTTCTGGTCCATGGGCCACACATTTACCAGCTCACATGCAGGAGGTGGGGGGCAGTCTAGGGTGTGAATTTTGACCTCCAGGCCTGTCACTCGGGCCCCTTGCTGAGTGACTCTAGCTGCCTCAACTTCAGTTTCCTTATCTGGAAAATGGGTACAGATTAAATGAGAGAATGCATGCAAAACAAAATATTTCCTCCCTAAAGTTGAGAATTAACTTAGATAATGTACCAATTCCATAGTAAATATGTGGCAGTTATTTTCATAATTGTTACTATCATTAGTCTGTCCTTCAAGGTGTGCCTTGGTTTTGGCAGAGAGTAGGGGAAGAGTACATACCTACTGTACATGCTTTGGAGGCATGAAGAACTGCAGTCAGGGAGGCTCCCTGGAGGAGGCTACTTTTGAGCTGAGTTTCTGAGCCAAGCGGCACATTCCCAAGTTGTGCCGCTTAGGAGAATCCTTGACCTCCTCAGACAAGGATGAATGCGCCAAGGACAATGGTGGCTGTCAGCACGAGTGTGTCAACACATTTGGGAGCTACCTGTGCCAGTGTCTGAATGGCTACCGACTCCATGACAACGCGCATGACTGCAAGGAGGGTGAGTACGACCTGCAGGCCTTAGACTGCTTGTGCAAGAGGTCATGGGCAGTGGGTGAGTGGGAGCTCAGAGCCCTGAGCTCAGGCTCACATCTGTCCTCCTCTGGCATCTCCTCGTGGCCCTCCTGCTGGACAGGGTCTTCCAGGCAGTTCGGGCTCTCGGGAGGCCCATGGGGCCTCAGGTGCTCCAGGTTGAGCAGTCATTGCAGGGTGGCTCCAGAGTCAGGCTATGTAGTCCTGGATCCTGGCTTTGCCACTCCCTAGCTGTTACTTAACCTGGAGTAAGTCACATGACCTCTCTGAGCCTGTTTCCTCTTCTGTTAAAAGTGGGCTACCTATACCTGCTCTCAAAGTTTTTGTAGGAATCAAAAGAATGTATAGAGAGTGTGTCAGACCACCTGATATGTATCACTCTGATGTCAGTAAATACCAGTCACTGACTACCGCGTGGTCATGTTGTTCAGTACGTGCAGGTCGGTAGTGAAGGGGGGAGCTTCTGCTCTGTGCTCCGTTCAGTGCCAAGAGTTCAGGGCCAGACAGGTTTGAATTCTGGTCACTAGGAAAATCTTTCCTCTGTGCTTCCCTGCCCAGCGAAGGAGGTTTGTGCATCTGCAATAAAGACAGGCCTCGAGGGCCTGGCCCTTCCAAGAGCCCACAGAGGAAGTAAGATGTGAACACATTGCTCTCTTCTTTGGAATTGAGAAGGATTAAATGAGAGAGGATGCCTGCAAAATGCTTACACAGTGTTCTTACAGGGGAGGAGAAATTCTAGATACTGATAAAAAGTGCTAGGTACTGAGCGAGCCCTGGGACTACACTGTGCAAGGAGCACGTCTCTGAAAGATGCTGCTTGAAAAACTGAAAGGCGAAAGGCATAGTGATAAAGGAGATCTGTTAGAAGTCATCATGGGCTGGTACTCAGCGAGTCTTTCACATGTATTATCTCCTCTAATCCACATGCAGGAGGTCTCCACCCCTCTTATAAATAAGGACCTGAGTTCCCCAAAGTCCAGTCCCCCCCGGTATAAATGGTAAAACCAGGACTTGAACGGGGGTTCACCCGATCTCAGGGCCTGTGCTCTTAACCTAGCACTGCTCCTACCCCTGAGACAAATAAGGGAGCGGGGAAGAGACTCCCCTAGGCTGAGTCCTTGTGAGATGTCCACAAGTGAATGATTTTTCTCTCTGTGTGTCCACCACCACCCCAGCTGGCTGTGTGCACAAGATCAGCAGTGCAGAGGGCACCCTGGCGAGCCCCAACTGGCCTGACAAATACCCGAGCCGGAAGGAGTGTACCTGGAGCATCTCTTCCACAGCAGGCCACAGGGTGAAACTTGTGAGTCATTATAGTAGTTTGTTAAGTACACGGACTTTGGTGTCAGGAAGACAGGAACTTGAGTCACTCCCCTCCCCTTCCCTATTGTGAAACCTGGGGACTTTATTCCACATTTCTAGGTCTTAGTTTTACCTTTCAGAAAATGGGAATGCTAATGAAGCCTGCTTTGTGGGGTTGCTATGCAGATGAAAAGAGGATGCATAAGTGGTACACCCGCCACCTGTTCACAGTGGTACCAGCATGAGGTGGCACCCACCATACAGATCAGCAGTGCTGTTTGAAATCTGGTTGTTTCCAGCTTTTATTTATTTATTTTTATAAAACATGACATTCTCAAGGTTTTATATATATATATGAAAGGTACAATCAAAAGTCCCCAGATCCACTATTCTTACTATGGAAATGATCATTCACTCTCATCATTTTCTTATGAATCCCTCCAGGAATTTCCTGTGCAAAAACAGTGCATGTACATGCATGGGGAAGTATAGGCATTTTTCTTGCTCCAACTCCATAAATGAAATTGTTCATATTCTTCTACAATTTACTTTTTTTTCAGTTAACACTAGAGACCTTATGTTAATTCTTGAATTAAAGAACAACAACCACCTTACAAGTCTTTATTTAAAGTTTTAGCCATGTATCTGACATGTCTTCTGTGCCAAGCTTGGTTGTTTCAAAAGATAAATGAATCTCTCCTGTGAGTCTCATTTCTGAGTCCGCAGGGATGCCCAGATCCTAGAGTTTTTATATAAAGCAAATCCCTTGCTAGCTACGAAATTGACGGTACTCTTGACAGACATTTTTTTAATGAGTTATTTGGCTGTGGAGATGAGTGACGGGCCTTATGGAATGACGGACTGGTAATTCAGGGAGGAGGGCGAGAACAAAGAAGGCTCAGGGCAGATGGTGCAGGGATTATGAGGACGTTTACTGCTGAGATTGCGAGTGAGGAGCAGAGGCAGGTGAGTGACTCCCAGAGCACACCTGCGTGCAGAGGGGGTGCGCTCAGTGGGCACCTCCATGGATGAGCTGCCCTCACGGGAACAGCTTTTCTCTGCTCTGTTCCCAGGACTGCTGCCCTGGGCTGGTAACAAACTGACTTGAATCTGGGAGAGGGTGACCCGAATGCATTTGAGGAGACAGACTGCCATCTTCTGGAAGATGATCGCAGTGACATTGTCTCTGATAACTGATGGGATGGTGACCTTTTGGGATAGGACCTTGAACAGACACATCAGGAATCGTTTATCAGAGGCGCCTCTACCTGTGTGTTATTTTAAAGATGTTTTCTTGGGAAGTGGTGGTGGATGTATCAATTATGCTTTATGTTTTGCTACTACAGACTGTGAATCAGTGTTTCACTGTATGGGGACAGCCCCCCAAGTCCCATGGACTCTGGGGGCCTCCCGCCTCCCTGCCCTGACTCTCCTTCCTCCCATGGCTTGTGCCACTGCATGCCCCTGCTTTCCCTTCCTGCTCCTGCCGGATGCTTCTGTCCACTATTCCCTTCCTCCTAAGTTGTGATAGCTCTGTCCATTTCTGATGCCTGTCACGCTCATAAAATGACAGGGATCCCTCTGTTTCTGCCTTCCTACCTCGTCTCTGCCCTGTCACTCCAGATCCTCTCTTTTGAATTTAGACTCTTACACACTGATGATCTTCCTCCTGCTCCTTTGGTTCAAGTCTTACGACTCCCTGCTTACCTTGTCCCGTCTCCTTCATGCCACAGTGATCAACTGGCCATCAACCCAGCACCAGACACACCTACATCATGGCTGAAAGCACTGTGTATGACCTGGAACAATGAGGCTCTGCTGGCCAGCTTCAGGGGACAGCTTTTAGAGAGGGGAGAGGAGAGAGGGGATATGAGCTGGTGGTGGCTAAGAGGGTGAGATGGAAGCCAGGTGTGGTGGTGTACACCTGTGATCCCCACATTCTGGGAGGCTGAGGCAGGAGGACCATGAGGTTGAGCTTAGCCTAAGGCAATCCAGCTATTTAGTGAGACCCCATCTCAAACTTTTTTTTAAAAAGCCTGGGATAAAGCATAATGCGAAGGCCTTGTGTTTAAGCCCAGTATCTCCCACCTTAATAAAAAGAGTGTGAGATGGACAGGACTGGCTGGAGGTCAAGTTCAGCCCCGTATGCCTCTTACTATGAATTTTGGCAAGTCTACTAGCTTCCTAAGACTCAGTTTCCTTCCTGCATGCTAATAGCTACATAGAAATATCTCTTCCTTGAAAGCATCACCAGAATTAAGTGAGAAAATGTGCACAAAGGCTTGGCATGGAAAAGGTATTCCAGAATGTTAGCAGCTCTGAGGACGCCAGCCCAGAGCAGGACACCAGCCCAGAGCAGCATGGCCTTCCCTGGGCAGTGCAACCCAGAGCTTTATGTCGCTATCTCTGAAGCCACAGCTTCTATTTATGGTTCTACCAGGGGGTGAACTCAGGCAAGTCATTTGATGTTTGCTTGCCTCAGTTTCCTGATCTGTAAAGTGGAGACTGGACACATGGAATGGACATGGGAATTAAATGAGGCATTACTTGTAAAGTGCTTACCACAGCTGCTGGCACAGGGTAAAAACAGTCACTGCTGGCCATTAGCACTGAGGGGTAGACAGAATCAGATATGGGCAGTCAAGCATTTAAATCCTCACCCGGTATCTGCTATGAAGTGGGCAGGGTATCAAGAGCTCCTGTGTTGCTTTGGGGACCCAAAAGAGGTGGACTGGGGACCCTCCTTACAGCATCACCAAGCATCCAGACGGCCACATCCTTCTGCCCAGCTGTCCATGCTTCTGGACAGCTGCCACCAGGCGCTGCCTTGACCCTTCCTCTCTCTGCTGAAGCCAGGCTTGGCCTTACTCTCTGCTCTTCCTCAGGTGTTCAATGAGTTTGAAATTGAGCAGCACCAGGAATGTGCGTACGACCACCTGGAATTGTACGATGGATCTGACAGCCTGGCACCCATCCTCGGCCGGTTCTGTGGCAGCAAGAAGCCAGACCCAGTGGTGGCATCAGGCAGCAGCCTGTTCCTGAGGTTCTATTCGGATGCCTCGGTGCAGAGGAAGGGCTTCCAGGCAACGCATAGCACAGGTGTGGCCACCGCCTCACCCTGAGTCTTGGGTGGGTGGCAGAGGTGGCGCGGGTGGTGAAGGGTGCCTGCTACCTATTTCCAGGCAGTGTAAGGAGAAGTCATGTGGTGCAGTTTCCCAGTAAAATGAAATATCAGCAGCCGCAGGCAGAAGAGGCCTGTTTTAAATGTCCTTAGTTGACAAAATTTAATGTGGACAGCCATTTTTGTTTTTTTCTTTTCCTTCCTTTTAAAAACGTATTGTGCTGTCTGGGAGCTGAGTTGTGGAGTGCAACCTGCTTTACCCTCTGAAGAGCAGTTCTGGGAAATGAAAAGTGTTTCTGTCCCTGATTGTGTTTTCTTCCACTGAAAATGTCAATAGCTCTACTGGGTTGTTTGGAGGACAGTGTATATGCTTATACCTTATTTACTGTGCTAGGCAGAAGGAGGCCAATAATGAAACTGGCTCTGCCTTTAGTCATTACAATGCTGGTTATCACCAAGGACTAGTGCCCATGGTGGCAGTGCTGGCTCTATGATCCTGGAGCTGGATTGTGGCAGAACCACTGTGCCCAAGATGCACTCAGCCTCTGAGATGCTGACTGTGAGACCATGATCAGGGACTCTGTACTCCTTTTAACAGACCCTTCCTTCCAGTTGTTTTTCAGAGCTGGAAAACAGAAATCAGATCAAACAGTATGGCACGCAGCACCTCCAGGCAGTTTAGCTGGCTCCTGCTTAACCAGAAACCTTCGTAGCTTACCGAGCTCCTCAAGGACTTCTGACTTCCCCTAAAAAGTTTAAAGATTACGTGCTTATGTCACCCTTCATGCCTGCAAACAGGATTGGAATGTGGGCCCCTGAAGGAGGTTAGGGCTCCAGCAGGAAGTAGGAGCACACACAGTCAGTGTTTGTGGAGTTTAATAAAGGAACTGTTTGCAAAAGAGTGGATCAGGGATAGGGACAGGATAGCTATCAAGGATATGAAACCACCAGGATGCTATTACCCCAGGACCAGAGAGCAAGAGGACAGAGCGGTTCCTGGAGGCTGGCTGCAGGGTGCCTGGGCAGATGCAAAGGTCTCCAGCTGCTTTGGAGGGGCCCAGGATTGTGCACCCAACCTCTGTCTCTTCTGTCCTCCTGACTTGTTGGTGCTTAAATGTTGGAAGAAGGCAGAGAAAGGGCAGACAGATGGAAGGCAGGCATCCTGCCCTGCTCTGTGCTCCTACCACTGCTGTTCTTTCTCACAAACTTGAAATTTTCCAAAGATAGGTCAGAGCTGGAAGAGGTTCCAGGCCAGAGCCAGTGTGGGAGCCAGAGCTGGTAGCTGGCGAGGGATAGGGCCAGGCCAGTGGGTGCAGCTCCGCTGGCTTGGGAGTATTAAGAACCAGGTGCCCAAGAATCATCACACACTCCAGGGGTGTGGAGCCCATTGAGGGTGAGCTGCAGCAGAATTTGTCTCTTGAATTTCTGGTGCTTCCCTAATGTAGTCATCCATTTTAATTATGTGGATTCTTGTGACCTAGGCACAAGGTGGTATAGACCCAGGCTGATCTGAGGTACTGTTGTAGTAAAAAGCAAAACAAAAATAACAACAAAGCAAACAAACAAAAAATAGAAGGCAATCCAAAGTCTGAGGGGAGCTTGTCTATAGTCAGTTCTCTCAAATGGAAGTAGTGTCAGGTTTAAGCTTCGGTGCTGGCCTGCAGTTCTGGTGTGCTTTGTCACCGCCTGCTGGCAGAAAGGTGTTACTGTAACCAGTGGGAGCCCTTTCACTCCAGCTATTCCAGGCTTTGAAGAGGTCAGGATCCAGCGACATCCCAGAGACCAGTCAGGCAGACCAGCCACTGACCTCGTTTACCCTACAGTAGGGAAGGGAAGAAGGCAGCACATTCAGGGACTCCCAGAAGTCTTCTGTGGCCCATCATGGGAACATGGGACCTGTCTCGTAAGGGCCAGTTTGGACCACTAGAAACAGTGGCCGTGGAGCGAGGGCCTCTGCTTTCTCTTTGACTGGATAATGGGGTTGCTTGGCCTCTCCTGCAGGGCGTACACTAGGTCCCACAGAGAAGCTTGGGGGAACAGGTGAGAGGGCACATGGCTCTTGGTGTGGAGGGGACACTGCCCTTCTCTCTCTATTCCAGAATGCGGGGGCAGGCTGAAGGCTGACACACAGACGAAGGAGCTCTATTCCCATGCCCAGTTTGGGGACAACAACTACCCAACCCAGGCCCACTGTGAATGGGTGATAGTGGCAGAGGATGGCTATGGAGTGGAGTTGGTATTTCAGAGCTTTGAAGTTGAGGAGGAAGCCGACTGTGGCTACGACTACATGGAGGCGTACGACGGCTATGACAGTTCAGCACCCAGGCTTGGCCGCTTCTGTGGCTCTGGGGTGAGTCTCAGGGATGTCACAGTTGGGCGCGAAACACAAGGAGTATGGGCTGTGATGTGAGATGCATCTGATCCGAACCCTGGCTGCTCCTGCCACTTACTAGCTGTAGCCAAATCCGAGTGGGAATGAGAATCCTTGGAGAGGGGCTGAGGGGAAGCCAGTCCGTGAAGGCCTTGGACCAAATTCTTTCCCCAAGTCAAACCAGATGCTTATGAAAATTGCATATCACTCTTTTACTGTAAACACAATATTTGTACTCATTAGCACTTTTCTCATTCAGCTATTTCCTGGGCCACCAACCCAGAATCAGGTCAGACCTGTTCTGTTCATTATTTCCTTGATGTCTGACTCATGGTCTTGTAATACAGACAGTGTCCAGTGGATATATTTGACCCAGCCAGTACATCGTCCTGGTCACTCCACAGTCATGCTCTGTGACACTGGCCGTACTGGGCTCCAGGACTCTCCACTCGAGTTTCTTTGCTATTGGATGGGCTTATACTGAGTCATTTCTGAACCCCCAGTGATCTTTGTGATAAATTGGAAACTCAACCTGATATTTATATGCCACATTTATATCTGAATAATTTCCATCCATCTTTGCTCACACACCAGAAAATACTGATGAAGTGTGCCTTACACAATGCTCTGCTTGAATGAAACCTCTGAACCTTGGGGTCTGTAGCAAGGAGCCTCTTGCAGGGGCTGAGCAGCTGTGCTCAGCTCCACTAAGGTCTGGCAGGCAGCGGTCTGGGAACCCGGCTCCTATTCACAGCTCCCCTGGCAAGATCTTTCTGACAAGCACAGTGACTCCATTCCACTTTTTGTCCTTGGAGAGGATGTTTATCTGGAAACTATTCTGTAGGTCTCCTGGGAGACTTGTAACAATGGTGAGACCAGAGAGAATTGGATGATTCATGTACATAGTTCAGTCAGAAAGACCTGAGCTCAAGTCTTGCCAACCTATAGAAAGTTGAGTTTTAATTTCTTCAACTGCAAAATAGAGATAGCACCTGCCTTTTAAGTTCTTGTTAAGGTCACACAAGATGAGATCTGGAGGTGCTTGCTGCAGTGCCTGGCCCACCCATGCTCTTAGTAAATGATAGATTGATTCTACACATGTGATAAAGCTTGGATCATTTTTGGAAAATCAAGGCCCAGGGAGCTCTCTGGAGCAGAAAATGAACTTGTGCAGATGCCCCTGAGATTCATGGGTGTCAGGAACACTGCATGGCAGTATTGGCCACTGGCCATCCAGTGTCCTTGGGTACAGTCCTGTCCCATTCTCGTTTAAGTTACAGTCACAACTAACTGACTTAAAGTTTCTTGGTTTTCCTTTCTCCTTTCCTCAGCCATTAGAAGAAATCTACTCTGCTGGGGATTCCCTGATGATACGGTTCCACACAGATGACACTATCAGCAAGAAAGGCTTTCATGCTCGGTACACAAGCACCAAGTTCCAGGATGCTCTGCACATGAAGAAATAATGCCAAAGGCCTTGACAGACAGGAACTGAGAATGTTTTTACAACAGCACCTTGTGAATCAGCCCTAAATTAAGTGTACTTTATTTTTCTCAAGAAGAAACTCAAAATCCAGTCTTGAAGGTACATATTTGGATGATAGTCCATATTTGGCCACCAAGAATAGAGAAATGTTTTCTTGGTTCCAGCTGCAATGTTACTGGTATGGACTTCTAAAGAAAATTAAGGTTTAAAGTCACTGAGTATTCAAGCTATGCTTGTTTCTACCCATTTTCTGTCCCTTGCTCTTGTGGGACACAAGGCCAGCCCTGGGCTTGGTCATTTCTTTATTGTGAACGAGCTTCCATTGGTGCCAGGCAACATGACCGAATCCTGGAGCCTTAGACCATCTACTGCTGCACCCGGCAGTGAGGATGAAAGCCTGGGGTGGCTGATTTGTTACAGCTTTGTTTGGAAACTTAGTTTCTCTCTGCCAGGCCATATTAACCAAGAAACCTGGGAATGTGGATATCGGGGCTGAAAGGTACACAGTAAGCACCGCGCAGAGACACCTCTGAGCTCAGGAAACACTGCCGTGAAGCTGGAAGGTCCTAACCCTAACCCTCTGCACCACTTGCTCCCCGTCCCCTTCTGTGGTTCCCATCTCTTCACTGCATTAAGGAGCGAAGGTGTCCATGTGAATTCCAGCGGGTGTTTGCTGGTGAGAAACCTCAGTTTCCTGAGAAGAAAACACCCTGGTCCATCCTGATGTTCTTTTGCTTGCTGACTCTGAGAAGATCCCACTGCACTTGGGGTCCCACGACTCCGAGAAACCTGCGCCCGTGGAGGGGCCTGTGTGGTGGCCCACTTCCCGGACGGCCCCTTTTAAATGTGTCTGCAAGACGTGCAAAGAAGTCCCTTGTGGGGAGAACACTGTTGAAAGCTTATGTAAGGTTCATCACCTTGTGGAACAAGTCCGTCCATGACTAACTTCCTGTAATCGAACAGGTTAAAGAGTACCTTTGTAACTGTGCTCAGATGAAGTAATACTTAGTCTCCAACCGGGAATCAGAATTCACAACACTTAGCACTTGTTCTTGAGAAGTGTAGAGGATGATGTTTACATAATTTTAGTACCTCAAGGTATGATATAAACAGTGAGGTAGATTTGAATGGCATTTCATTAAGGCATCTGTGGGCATTATGAGCTAAAAGCTGTGGTATGTTAGCTTTAAAGAATATTTATGTTGGAATAATTTTAAAATAGTGTTTACATAACTGTTAAGTCCTGTTTTGTTGGTATTGAACACAGGACAGCACATGGGAGTACTTCCAATTAAAAGTAAGATAGATCCCAATTACCAAATTTTCTTTGGGATTGGTCATCATTTTAAAAAAATATTTGTAAATGGTGAAAGGTTATATTTTTTAAAGATCAGAATATACCATTGGAAGGCAATGTCCAATTAAAATGATTGCTGGCACTAACTAGAACAATACAAAGAAGAGTGAAAGGAATACATAGGGATATTTTTCCTTAAAACAAAAAATCAAAGTATTATTAATAATATATGTCTGTATATATGTATGTATGTATGTATGTATGTATGTAAAGGATCAGCTATCAAAGCCTTAATCAATGCCGTGTGAAAAATTGCTAACCCTTGGCTGTAGCTTTATTGTGTTGGCCCTCTGGTCCTGACCCTACGTTTTTTTCTTTTCTCACCAAGTTTCCTTTTGGTCTTTCTTAGCCCTGGAGTGAGGTTCAGGTTTCATTTGCATATCTTAATAGACGGCAGACCCTACCCAGGATAAACTTTGTCATGATGAACGGAACAGATTACATTATGGCTCAGATCTCACTTGCCTATAATGGTGGATTCCATTTCTGTAAACTTTGTATTTTTGGAGGTTTTATTTTGTCAAAACTGAAACAGAAATCAGGATACATAAGGTAGCTGTTAAAGTTGCTCTCCAAGGGGATGAAGGTGCTATATATTTAACCTTTAGAAATCTAAGTGAGATTAGTAAATTCCATAGAGAAATGGGAGGGAAGGAGAAACATAGTTGGTTTCAACACTGGTCATCCTTTGTCTTTTTCCCCTTTAGTGTGATCATTTTCAAAAGCATACAGCTTCAACAGTTGTCTCCACATGCTGCTTGCAACAGTGGGACCCTTATGAAAACACTCATTTAGTCCTGTGAATGACGTATTCCTAGAAGAAAAACTCTGATTCATCTAGAGCTGGCCGGACCTCTTCTCTAGAAGCCAGAATATATAGGGTCCTGTGCATGCCACAGGTCCTGCAATGAGCCACAAGCTGGCTTCATAAGAGAAATTCCACTGAACAAAAAGACCAAGCCCCTGCCTTGGCTCTTCCAGTGGCTCAGTGACCTATCTGCAGACATTTCTGGAGGTGGATGTAGGAGCTTGCTTTGTCCCTTAACTTGAGTGTCAGGCCTTGGGGATGTCACAGATCTTCCGGATTAGAAAATTGGAATATATAACTTGATGAAGTACTTGGGGTCTGGGTGTCCAGCCTGGTGTCATTCTGATGTATTCTGAGCTAGAAAAAGCTGGAATCTACATTCCAGGACAAGGCTAAGGTCTGGAGTTAACATTAGTCAGTAGAATTTCTCCAAACAGGATGTGAGGTTATACATTAATTCACACTTTCCTCTAAAGATTCCCTCTATTTCTCTTTCATTTTTCCTTCTAAAGTGCCAGATATTCAGAAATTGCTAAGCCTGTTTAAATAATTTGTTAAAGATAGTTAGCTAGCAAATTTACATGATAATTTATCATCTATCTGGTGCATTTGATAACTCTCAGATAATCCTTGGTACTGTTAACAGTATTCAGTTTGGGAACAAATATTTCTCTGGCTCCTTCCGGTGTTTTTAAGGTTTCTTTTGTAGAATGAACTTCAGCAGTGATCCTAAATTCCTAAATGTTTTCTTTAAAAAATTTTAAAGTATTATCTATAAATATATGAGTATTTTTTATTTTGTATAGTTTTGCATTGCATGGAATGCCAGTTTCAAAGAGAATGTGGAGAGGAGCTAACACCTGTCTATGTAGAAAAGATGGTTTCATTAAAGAATGTGGATTTGCTGATGTGTCTTGGGTTTGCATTACTAGTCCAGACAAAACGGGTCCTTCTCGAGATAGTTTTCTCCAAAAAGCACAAAAGAGAGTAGCAGAATATTAAAGGGGGGCCTCTCTATGGCCATCTGCTCTCTGCTGAGAACCCCAGTGCCTAGCTGTAGAATAGTTCCTTACTGGCCTCACAAAGGCAGGCGGAATCAAAGCTGAAGATGGCTTTCACAGTGGCCCTGTTTCTTGGGTCGAAACAAGCTGCGAATAGGACAGCCTAAGCGGTGTGAAGAAGAGGCAGGTTAAGAGCTGTCGCGGTGGCTCCCAGTGTGCTTCCATCTGTCCTTCTCTGCCGGGCTCTGTGCCTGTGGACCATGGTGGACTCAGATTGGAGACCGTGGCTCCTTTGGGTGCACTCTTCCCGATTGCCCCTTCTCCCACTGCCCCCCTTCGAGTCTAAACATGAGGAAGTACACTTTCCCGAGCAGATCTTTGTAAACACTCCATTTGACAAGCTCTTCTGGGAAGTAGTAAATTCGGTTTATCACTTGTTTCCTGAATGATACATGGTCATTTCTAACACAAGGACAAGACTCCGTCTAACAAAAACCACCTTTTTTAGGCTGATTGAATGAAAGAGCTTTGGGGTGTGTTTGGAGTTTTGTGGCTTATACCAGGGAAGGAGAATATAGGACTATGTCTTTACACTCAGGCTGGTCTCAATGCAAAACTCGTAAAACCTTCATCTAGGGCTACATAGAGGTTTTATTGAATTTTCTACTCTTTTTTTCAGTTACCATATATATAGGTACATAGCTAGATGGAGAGAAATGCACAAATAGGCAGATTATACACAGTGGTATCTCAGTCATAAAATACTTTTGTTTGCAAACAGTTTGGTTTGCAAGCAGAAATGTTTGGCAAAATTTTGCTTTTGTTTGCAAACTGCATAAACGAACATGGCCAACTTTTCCAAAATCATAGAAAAAACCAAACTCTCTCTCTCTCTCTCTCTCTCTCTCTCTCTCTCTCTTTCTCTCTGTCTCTGTCTGTCTCTCTCTGTCTCTGTCTCTGTCTCTCTCTGTTAGATACAGAACTTCAGCAATGTACATGAGTTCCAGTGGTGTGAGGGTATGAATTGCATGCTAGTGCCATGCTGCAGCAACTGACAACTCCCAAATCTCATGAGCTTCACATATGAGGCCTTTACGTCTTGTCCATGCCACATGATCATTTCTGATTGCCTGGAAGCTCTGTACCCTGTCATCTTCGAAGAGTCAGGGCCAAGCTGATAGAGCAAGACCATCTGGAGTATGGCACAGGAAGTACTGTGACAAATCACACGTTGACTCCTAAGCTTGCTCTAAGTAGTCGTACATGGTGGTGCACACTGGTCATCCCAGCACTCTGGGGGACTGAGGCAGGTGGATTATTTAAGCCCAACCTGGGAAACATAACAATGTAGTGAGATCTGTCTCCAGAAATAGTAGGGGTGGGGGCAGTGGTGGTGGCAGGGGAATGTAGCTCAGTGTGAAGTCCCTGAATTCAATCCATAGTATCAGAGGAAAAAAACTCAAACGATTTCTGGAAGTGTCATATTACTCATGCTCGTCTTTTCTAGCCAACACAAGTTGCATAGTTGCTGTTCACTTCATGTAAGAACAAAGTGAACTGGAAAGATTCGGCAGACGGCATTAACACTCACACGTGACGTCCATGGGTAGGGAAGTGGTCAGGATCCTTTTGTTTATCATTTTACTTCTTCACTACCTTATTTATGAAATTTAAGATAAACACTTATAGAAATCAGATTAAGGCCATTGCAATAGGTGGTTCATGTCTCCCCAAATTCATATGGTGAAATCCCAGTCCCCAGTGTGGTGCTGCTTTGAGGCAAGGCTTTGAGGGGAACTAGCTCCTGAGGAATAAGAGATTCCAGAGATCTTTGTTGTCTTTTCCACCATGTGAGGACAATCAAGAAGACGAAGAGAACTAGGAGGCAGACCCCAGCCAGACACCAATTCTGTTGTGATCTTGGACTCCTGGCCTTCAGAATTGTGTTTCAAAAGCACCATTATTCATGGGGCTATGGGTTTAGCAGCCACGCAGAGCGAGACAGTCACTCAGCATTGAGAAGGGGCCAACTTTTCAAACTGACCAAGTTGTTGCTTGGGAAATCTTCAGCGTGACTGGGCTTGTACAAATTTAAATGGTGGCACGATGTAAAGAGTATCATAGTTGATTTCCAAATTTCTCACCCACTAAAGACCTTCCTTTATTATTCTAATAAGAGGATTCCCCAGGTCTTGTACAGATGGGTCCTAATTTACAGTGGTTAACCTAAGGGTTTTTTACAGTGGTGCAGGAGTGATGTGCATTCATATTACTGTGCTTTAATTTGAATTTTTTCCAGGCTAGTGAGATGTAGTAAGTGGCCTCATGATGCTGGACAGCAGCTGCCAACCGCAGCTCCCAGTCAACCACAGGATCACCAGGAAGATAAGCTGCACTCCGCAGGACGGTCTGCAGGTTGGGTTAGGTTAGGGTTGGCATTGTTGATTTACGGGTTGTCAGTTTACCATGGGTTTACCATACATTGCCCCCTTGTAAGCTGAGGAACAGGGAGCTCATTCTCTTCACCCATTCCCTTTTCTTTGGGTGACACCTCCAGGTTCCTTCTGTAGACCAGCCTTTCAGGATCAGAGGGACCTGCACCGGGGACATCAGCTCAGTGACATATCCTCTGCGGGCACATGATACAAGTCAGGCCAGTAGATCCTCTACATGGAGTATAAGTTTTGAAAGTGGTGGTGGTGCATGTGTGCAGATGGAGACAGATATTTTTCAGCACTCTTTCCTGGGAAAGACATCCAAGGGGACTGACTGTCCAGGGGTCTGCTGCTGAAGCCTCAGGAGCAACCTTGCTCTGTCTTCTCTGGGCCCAATTCCACAGCCTACTCTTCACTCTGTGAGCTCCACTATACCTAGTCAATTAATTTCTCTTTCTCTTATATTAATCAGAGTCTGGTTTTAATGCCTGTGACCTAAGGACCATGCCTGATGCAGACACTTAGGTTGGGGCACCATCATACTTGACAGAAAGTGCTAGCAAATCTTTCAGAAAGACCAGATGTCCACTGAAGAAAGCGTTGGGGATCAGTGGGTGCATAGAAAGCAGAGATAAAAAGGATCTCACTGGCTTTGTTAATCAGAACCTCGCCAGAAGCTTCTGGACTGTGTACAGCAGTACATTCTCTCATTTGCACATGATTCCATGTCTGCTGAGCAAAGTAGCTGGTACCAGTTGTGCTGGTTTAAATAGTCCAGCTATTGAAAACTCTAACATATCCACCTTACACATTAAGAGACTAAAGCTAAGACTTTGAAATTGCCAGTAGAGCAAGTGTGGCTTTCAGTAAAGTCTCTCTGTGCTATCCGGGACTTCCAGGAACTGACAGATTCACCTAGGCAGTCATGATGGTCTCGGAAACTGGAGCCTCCTCTCCCCTCCTTCAAGGTCAAGGGGATTCCGGTTCCCAAGGGCCTGTCATGCTTCAGGTGACTGATTAGGACCTGGCTGTTCATTAGTTTCACTTGGAGATGCCTCTGACCACTGTGATCATTTCAGTCAATCTGGTGGAGCATTCGAACGTCCATCTTTAGAATCCCTGGTTGCCTCAAGTGTGCAGTCAGGATGAAAACCCACCTGAATGAAGGCCACCCGGTCCCCTCCCAGCTGCAGCTGCTGCTCTTGCTGAGATCACCAGCAGCCCCTATCTGGCAATCAGAAAGCTGCTGTGACCTTTTCCTGGGCTATCTCTCAGTAGCAATGAATCTATTTAAATACCCCCTCTGGAAATAGTTCTTCTTTGTGACCCCCAAATTTTCTGATTTTTCTGTCTCTCTCAGCCTTCCTTGCTGGCTCTACCTCCTCTACTAGGCCCTTGATGTCCGTGAGTCCCTGGCCTCTGTCCTGGCCCTCTGTTCTGTCCACCTGCCATGGATACTTGAAGCTTTAATTCCATTCTGGGCCCAGATCACCTCTATCCAATTAACACGTGACACATGCATTTAGATAGTCCACAGTGGTCAGGTTTAAAGCAGCAAATACAGAGCTCTGTGTCCCCAACCTAAACATGCTTTCCCAGTGTCACTTCCCTAAATGTCATCCCCGTCTCTGTTGGTCAGGCACCAAGACCAAAGCTATCTTTATTCTGTTCTTTTCCTCACCGTGTCTCCCTTTTCCTACTCCATATATTTTTCCATCAAGTCTCTCTGCTTTAATTTCAAAATAGTTCACAGCCCCAGTCAAACCAGACTACTGCCTTTGCTCTTGTTCCCTGCAATTCACACTCCACAGGAGAGCCAGGTGCACTTTAGCAGCATGAGTGAGATTGATTAAAGCTCTTGAAAGATTTCTCATTGCTCTAAGGGTGAAAATTTCACTGAGCCAGCCACACCCACAACATCAGACCTCAGCTTCACTCTGTCCTTAACTTGCCCTGGGTCCCTGCCCAGGACCCCATTGGCCTAGAAGCAGCAGCCTGCATCCTCCCAGGAACATGTAAGGCTTTGCATCCGCTGTGCCCTCTTGCCTGGGACCCTCCTACGTCTGCCCTGCACACATTCACCGCCTTTTCATCCTTCATGGGCAGTTCTAAGGCGTCTCCTGGAGGCACCTAAAGGAATGACCTCCCTGGACACTTCAGCCATTCTCTCCTTGCTCCTGTTGTGTTGTTTTCCATTTAAATGACCAAATTTAAATGACCAAATTGGCTAACTATAATTTTGTTATTTTGTTGGCAACACTTACTCTCTTAAGGAGCAAAACCTGTGACAGAAATAATAAGCTATATATGGCAGCCTGTGTTGATAGCCTCCTCAGTTCTGCCAAGCTCACTCTTGAAAGGTGAGGATAAAAAGCAGAAAGGCCACCAGCCCTCCCACTGACTACTGAGTGTGTGGTTCACTGAGTCAGCTATAGCCCTCTCTCCAGCAGAGTGGGCACATCCTCCATCCTCTGTGTTGATGCTGGTAGCATGCTGATGCCATCACGGAATGGTAAGCCTCAGCCATTTGACCCACTTTTCTAAAGATCTTCTAGGCACAGGGGCCACCAATTCCTCAGGACAGCTGTGGCTTCTTTGCTGAGATTGAAGAAGTTGCCTGAAAAGTTAAAAAGGACAGAAAACAAACACAAAGAGGATAAAGGACCCAAGTTACATACAGTGACCAAAGAAGAGAAGCCTATATTTCCCAAGGGATGGGCTGAGGGTGTGGCTACTCCCCTGGCCATAAATGGCTTGGCCAGGGCTCTCTGGGAGCCACCTCTAGCCCTGCCTCTCCAGTTAGATGCTTCTACTAATGGGAGACACAAGCAAAACACCACCAGCATGAAAGGAGCTTGCAGAAGACAGTGACTGCAGAGGATTCCTGGGAGGCTGGTGGAAATGGTAAGTGTACTAACCTTACTTTGTGTCTATAAAAAGTAATTCCTAGACCTTTAATTCTCTTAGTACAATCGAATAAAACTCTACTTGCTACAATCAAGCCAAGGGGCTTGGTTTTTAATCACTTTTCCATGTGAAAAATTGTAATTATTTTTTTAAATTCCCATTTAGTATTTGCTGGTCTCATCTCTTATTTTGATATAAAGATTTTATTTTTAATTTTGTGTATTCAAAGGTACAGAGTAGATATTTCGGCTACATTCACCTCCTGGTTCTAACCTGATCTCTACCACTTACAGGCTGATGACCTAACAGAAACCTATCGTGTTCTATAACCATGACATAGGAATAATGATTTTCCTTTCATAAGGGAGGTTGTGAGAACAGTGTCTCACAGCTGTGCAGCCTCAATAACAGCAACTTATTGTCCTGTCTTTCCCTCCTTCACCTCACAAACAGCAAACACAGTAAGAGACACTCAGCCACTGTAGTTCCCAGGTGCATTTAGACTCATTCACTACACACTAGTCAGACTAGCAGTAACAAGGAGTATATTGCATCAAATTCTAGTACTTCGAATATTGCTAGTTCATGCTTATAATTCCTTACAAAAAACTTTCCCAGTGGCTTCCCCATCCTAGCTCTGCACTGGCCAGTCCTTGAAGAACAGGACAACATGTGACCCTGCGCATACCTCAGTGTTTGATAGGTCTGGAAGCTGCTACAGATGCCATGTTAACTGTTTGGGGCAGGCAAATCAAGTTCTAGTGTCCCATTTTTGAACACTCAGGTCTGGGAGAACAGATTTGCTGGGATGAAAGGCAGACCCAAGAATCTAAGTGATTTATCTACACTTACATGCAAGAGGCTGGGACTCACCCCAGTTCGGATGGCTCCATGCCCGGGGTTGCCTTACTTCACCAAATCATGGCTCGAAAGGGCACTGTATCGTGTTTTTCTCTCCATAAGAGCACTGCACTGTGTTTCTACAAAGTAGGAATGTCTTTCTGAAATTGGCCAAAGTCTTCGTCATCCAAATATTGATAAACAATGCATGAAATGGGCCACTTGTTGCTGCTTCTTCTCTCTGCTGCCCGCCCAAAGAGAGCTTTGTCTTGAGCCTGCTGACATCAGTGTCCAGCACTCACTGATGAGATAAACTCTGAGCAGCTGCGTTCCCACCAGGGGCTGTTGCTGCACTTGGCTCAACTGGTGTCAGCATTAAGAGCAGCAGCCCTTACAGGACCTAAAAGACCCTGGTGTTCCCCTTGCTCTAACATTGTTGTGGAAGAAGAGGTGCACCGTGTCTCTAATCATCTGCAGAAACCACAGGAGTTGTTTGGAAGCCCTGTGGACTGGTCAAAAGAGGCTGTCACTAGAAGCGCCTGCTTCTAGTGACAGCTGTCTAGTTGTGTGGACTTATGCAACTTATTTCCATTCTTGAGGGATATTTATTTGCAGAGTGAAGGTGCTCTGTTGCTAAGAGACAGAGAAATGGGCAAAACTACCATTGAAGTATAAGGCTGGGTAGGGCCATCTTAAAGGAAGGACATAATCTTTGGGAGAAGTATACATTGTGGGTACTTAAACCATTCTTGGTTCATAGAAAATTTTTTCATTCAACTCAACTGAATTCCAACTCCCCAGTTAGTTAGCCAAAAGAAGAGTTCCATTAGTTTTGTGCACATTGAGACTGCTGCTCTATAACTGTCTTCCAGGTTAGATCTAGATCACCACATAAGCCAAGTTCCTTTGGCTCATTTCCAGAGCAAAACTGTGACATTCTCAATTGTCCCCCAAGTAATTTCTGTTTAGTCCCTGAGCTTGAGTTTCCCCCTGTCAAATGAGGCTTTGAGGTGTAAAATGACCTGACACACATCAGATCTGAAATGTGCTTCTTTAGGATTCTTTAGTCTTTTATAGTCGGGTAACATTTGGTGTTAAGATTTAGCAAGCCTGTGTTCCCAGCAAGACAGAAGATTAAACCACACAGTGTTTGTGTTTGCCCTGAGCCTGCTGGCAGGTAGGTTGGGGCTATGCCCAGCTAGGGGATGGTTACTAATCCAAGATGCTAAGAATCTAGAAAGTGGAAATATGATCATGTCAACCCAGGGGACCTAGGACCAAAAAGTGCCACCAGCTGCTTCAGAGCCTTTTTCTACCTATTGTTTACACCAGGCAGGGAAGGGGCTTGGTAAAGAGAGATAAGCCTGGAAAGAAGCAGTAAGGAGCCCAAACGGGTTGATGGGGTGGGGCCATAGAGCAAAAGCCACCACTGGTCTGGATCAGCCTAGCCCAGATAAGTGGGCACCTGGACAGCCTATTTGAGTCCACTCTCTTTAAATACTGAGTCTATACATAGGGGAGAGGGAGATGGAACGCTAGAGAAGAGTGGGTAGAGACTAGTTACCCCCACCCCCGCCATTCTGACTAATTCAGTTCCGGAGCTTTGGACTGGGGAACAAACAGAAGTCTGATCTTTTCCAGATTAACTTTCCTGAGAGGATATTAAGGTTCAGGAGTTAGACCATGCCTCCTATGAGGCTTACCTTCTACACCACGCAGAAAATACTGCATACACAAATTCACCCCGCCCTAGGCTAGGAGAGTCAGTTCCAGTGCTTGCTGAGCTTCTGGTGATGTTTCTCCACTGCCTTTGCTGTCAGGGCCCCTCAGTCCAGACCTCACTGGTTGGTTCCCTAATCCAGCCCCAACTGAAGACCTGGAGGAGAAGGTGCAAGACTGATATTTCTGAGGAAGAAGCTTGTGATGACCTCGAGCTTTTCTTCTCCTCCTCCTGTTTCTTCTGGAGCCAAGACTGAGAGCAGAGTGCCGGCAGAGCCAAACTATGGGATCAATACATCTTCGGTGGGATTCTCCAGGGTGGTGAGGTTAGGGGAGAAGTCAGGACCTACATTAACCCTGCCAGGGAGTTTTAATGCTTCTTTCTCTCTTGCAGGGTTTTTCACTAAACTTCACACTGCCGACTAACACGGTGAGTATAGTCGGTGAGCAGAACCTGTTCTGACAGGGCAGCAAAGGTCCAGGCAGAATTCACATGGCAATTCCAGAACTTTGTCCTCAAAACATGATGTACAAGAGGTGATCAAAAACAATGGTGAGTGTTTAACTTAAAAAATCTTATCACAGTACAAGACACATTGCCAAGAATTATGGGGTAATGTGTTTGAAGCAAGGAGGAGTATTTGGAATGTTGTGAGAAGGAATAAAGGCAATGTATCTTTTATTGTAATAACATTTTTTAATTTAAATATTCACTGTATTTTTATCCACTATACAGTGACATCTGGCAAAAGCAATGATGAATAGTTGAGAAGTGCTGAAAGCAATCTTTCAGTTACAAAAATTATAAAGGTACCTTTTGAAAAAAACAGAAAAACACAAAAAAACCCTAAATTTCCACTAGCAGAAAACATTAAGGTAACCCCTTCCAGCCTATTTAACTTTATGTAACTTTAGACTTCTTTTGTCTTTATATTATGTGTTATTTTATATGTAATTTTTATCTTAAATATTTTCAATCAGTCTTTGTAACCACAACTGAAGATAGCTATATGCTATTTATATAAATGAATTATTTCCTTAACTGATTAATTATAATTAGGAATAATCTTGTGATAAACATCATTATAAATAAATCTTGTCTGCATTTAAGATTATTTCCTTAGTATGTATTCTTGCAGGGGAACAACTGGGTCAGCATGGATGGACATTTTAAGACTCTTTATTATGATATTTAGCTACAAATCAAAACAAAATTTGTTGTTGAGAGCACAAAGCTTCAGCTCACAGTTGAACTTCCAGCTGCTGTTCTTGTGTAGCGTTAACACTAACCTCCAGGGCTGTTTTCTGATCAGTACTACTCCATGACTGAGTGAAGCATTTTTTTAGCCCAGATTTTTAGTTCCATGCTAAATTTTTCTCCTAAGTTATATCATTATTCAAAGAGGACTTGAAGGGTCAGGGCTATAACTCAGCAGCACAGTGCCTGCCGGGCAAGCATGAAGTCCAGTACCTTCCTACCAAAAATAATGAAGGAATAAATAAATAAGTAAAGGCCTTTGAAGCTAGATCTCATTTCTAGTTCACACAGCGGCATAGATCCAGCGAGTGGCGGGAAGTTAGACCCTTACGGCTTACTACTGAAATTCTGCTGCCACACTTTCTGTCCCGAATATCTGTCCCGCTAGTGTGACTCCACCTCCCCGCCTTCTGCCCTTCTCTGGTTGCTGAACCCTCCTGAAGTGCCCTCTTTCCCTGCTTCAGCCTCTCCCTGGTGTCTGCAGACATATTTTCCATCCTTCTCCTTATTTGCTGAAGTTTTTCCTTTCCTTGCTGCTGGAGCTTAGCCTCTGGCTTTGTCATATGCTGGATTCACCCATCACATCAACATTGCTCAGGGCAGCCATTGTTTGGGGCAGCAGGGGTGAGTGAGACGGGAGTGAAGCCCTTATGGTGTCAGCTGCCACCTTTTGAAATATCATCTTGGTCAACAGCTTATTTTTCTAAGAACTATCCTTTCCCCATTTTGAGCCTGTATAGGACCAAATATCCTAATTTGCCGAAGGCAATTTGCTTTAGTGCAGAATATCCTGCATCCTGGGCAGCCTTTCTAGAAAACCACCAAAGGTGGTCATTCTCCCTAGCAGTCCAGTGGAACAGACTGGGAGTGGGAGAGGTGGAAGCCTTGAAGTAGTGCCCCTGTATGGAGTGTGGAGTAGGGCTACCTGTGTAGATAAGGCACTCCCTGGTGGGCCATACCAAACTCTCAAGGTGGGCTGCTGACTTTGACCTTGGAGGCAGAGTAGCACAGTGGGGAAGAGCATGGATCCCAGAGCAAGACCACTCAACTCTCCTACCTAGAGTTGTTTGATATTATGCAAGTTACTTTATGTCTCTGTGTCTCACTTTTCTCATCTGTAAAATGGGGATCATAGTCCTGCTTCATTGCTATTTTTTAAAACTAAAAAATTTTATTAAGCCCGACGTGGTGATGCACTCTTATAATCTCAGCACTCGGGAGGGTGAGCTAGGAGGATCACTGCAAGTTTGACACCAGCCTCGGCTACGAAGTGAGCCCAGGGCCAGACTGAACTGTACAGTGAGACCCGGTCTCAAAAAGACAAAAAATTTTATTAGTATGTGTTTGTAGTACATAGTGATTACATTCCTCATGGGAGCTGGAGTTGGTACAAGTACATAACACATCTTAATTCTTTTTACTTCCTTTTCCTTTATTGGTTGTTATGAAGAATAAATGAATCAATATGGGAAAAGTTTGAACAACCTGGTGCATATTAGGTGCTCCATATACATTAGCTGGTATAATTAGTAAGTACTCATGAGAGCAGAAAAAGTTATAAAACTATGTAGAGAGAGAAAGGCAACATTCAGTGAAGGGCACAGACAGAAAGCCATGCTCCTAGGAGAGATGGTGAGAGAAGGGTGGTTTTGTCCTGACCGGTTACCCATTCCTACCTCTGGTCCTACCTGGGAAGCCAGCTTCCCTCCTGTTCTTCAGCTCCAGAAGGTACCTTTGCATCTTATGAGTTATCCCCTATCCCATTTAGTTTTGTTTTATTTTTTGCCAAAGCCATCCCAATTACATTTCTGTGACTGAAAATAGAATATTTTACCTTAAATGAAGGTTGACTCTTTCTACCACCCTTAAAAACAAAACACACAGATGGGTGCAGGGTTAAAGTAATAATGGGGGTGGGGGTGAGAAATAATGTTTAGGTAAAACTATAACTATTAATCAACAAGTGTCAGTTCCTGGCCAGGCACACGTGCCTGTCTGGCAAGGACAAGGTCATTAGTTTGATCCCCTGTACAAATAAATGAATAAATACACATTTAGAAAATGTCAGTGCTTGCGTCTTAGTTACTTTTCTCATTGCTGAGACAAAATCCTGAACACCCAAAGTTAAGGAGGCAAAGGCTTATTTGTCTCACAATTTGTAGAGGTTTCAGTCCATAATCAGCTGGCTCCCAGGCAGGACAGCTTCATAGAGGAGAACAGTTCACTATGGCCAGAAGGTAGAAAAGCAGCATGGGAGGGACGCAGTATCTTCCTGCCCCTTTTATATTGTATCTAGGCTGCCATGATTAGGGTGGTACCAAACCAATCAGCGGAGTGATTTAGTAATCACACACCCTTAATCCTGTGTCACACACTCTAGATCCACTCACCTCTGAAAAAGCCCTACCTATGACTGTATGAAGCTTTAGAGTGACATGCAGACACAAACCATAACACCTGGTTGTCAAAGCCCTCTCTTCAGGCATAGTACCCAAACATGCAAGCTCAGGTTAGATTTACGGTTATCTGTGAAATCTTGAACTAGTGCCATAACTTCCTTGAGGCCTGTTTTGTTTCGTTGTTTCTTTTTGTATTGGTAAAATGGAGATAATAATTATTAAAAGGTCCCAGGACTTGAGGTTGCTGTGAGGATTAAATAAATAAGTCCAACCAGAGCTTTGAAAAGTTTTAAGGAATAACAAATAATCTATACTTTTGATACCCATTTGACTCCTACAACACCCTTAGAGAGAAGCTACCAGTGTTTCTGTGTAGACGAAGAAATGAGGTTCATTAGCTTCTGAGTAGAAAAATGACCACATAATTGCAGGCAATGCAAGTATAGTGTCTGTGTTTTTCCTTCCCTAGTACTAGGGATAAAACCCAGGACCAGGCACACTCTAACAAGTGCTTTACTACTGAGTTACATCCCCAGTACCAGGATCTGTGCTCTTAATCCTACAGAGCAGAGTTTACATATTTAGTTGCTCCTGTAGAACTTTGTTCCTCTAGACTTACTCATGAAGGCAAGGTTTGCCTTAAATATCCCAGAAATGGATGGAATTCACTGCATATCCTTGAGTGATGTGAACCAGAAACGCATAACGTATTCATTCAATGTGGTCTTATTTCCAGAAGCATGGCTAATTTAAAAATGCCACATTTGCTTCATTATATCCTTGAAAGCAAACAAGGATTTCTTAAACAAGCTTATTCTAATATTTGTATTTGTCTGTCTCATAGCCAAAGCGTTCTGGGGAACTAGGGAAGGAGGAAAACACTGGGATGTAAGTTGTGTTGTGGCAAATTCATAAGGTGAAAATAAAGACCTGAATTTTTGAATTCTTTTTACTAGTAGCCCAATTTCATTTCAGTTCTTACCTGGGAAGCAACCAAACACTTTTCTGCTTGGTAGTTGTCGTTAATAGTTGACCCAAGACATGAACTTTAGGCGTTATCACTGAACTTTGATAGACTGTCCGGTGTAATGTGATGCGTATTTTTTTTCCACAGACCTTCTCTCCAGTTGTTACACGTGCGAAGGAAGCAGTAAGTACCATTTAAATTACCAACTCTTGGCTGCACCTTTTATATGTCAAGGAAAAATAATGGCCTATCCCTCTCACACATTTGTTTTGAGGTTTAAAATTTGAACCCAGAACTTGGCTCAACAGCTATCCTTCTGACCACCTTGACTCAAAACCAAGGGGAAACACAGAAATCATGGTGACTTTCACAAAGGGCTGAGTAAAAGAAACCAGGCACAAAAAATGTAAACTTTCTGTTTGTATCTGTGATAATGAAGAACGGATAAAACTTAGGTACAGTGTGAGATTTCAAGATAGTGATTACACAGGGAGATGAAGGAAGCGTCTGAAGTCCAGGCAGTGTTCAATTTATTGATCTGAGTGCTGCTTTCCTAGATACATTCATGTGAAAAGTCATCCTCCTGTATATAATGGCTTATAGAGTTTTATTATTTTTCCATAAAATTATACCTGCCCAAAAGGAAGGAGAACCCAGCATCACATAAGTGTTACACATGTTTAGGGATTCTGCAGATTGTTGCCATTATTTCTAGAAAATCTGTAAATCTGAAAATTTATGTGGCTACGAGCATGATTATTCTACCTAAGTCAAAGCACAGTGGGTATGTGAAAACTGGTTAATACATTTAATGTAAATAACTTTTAAAAATCATATCAAAAGGTTGGGTACTTTTTTTCTGGACTAGTAGATAAACATGCGTCTAACTGTTGTGCTGATTTATACCTCAGCCTTTCCTGGGTTGAGGAGATACTTGTGTTTCTGTTCCTTGGAATGCTTCTTCAGATGAGCTGTCCATTTTTCTACTAGACTGTCATTCTTTCCAATTGGTTTAAAGAGTTGGGAGAACACCTGTAATTCCTGCACTTGGAGGCAGGAAGATTGCAAGTTTGAGCCTAGCCTGGCTAACTAAGCATTTTAGCAAGGCCCTGTTTCTAAATAAGTGGCCAGGAATGGAGCTCAGTGTGAAGGCCCTGCATGCCGTCTCCCAGACTGTAAGAAACAAAAGCAACAAACAAATTTTCACTATGTAAATTAAGTCCTCAGACAGCAACTCATTTGTCACATATGTTAAAAATGTTTTCTTGTGGGGGAAGCTGGGTATATAGCTCAGCAGCGTAAGTGCCTGCCTGGCAAGCACGAGGTCATGGGTTTGATCCCTAGAACCCCCCTTCCCCCCCGCCCCGCCAAAAAAAAAGTACTGTGGGAAAATTTTTTTTTCATAGTATTTCGTTTCTTCTGATTTGGTACATGACATGTATGGTCTATGCAGATTTTTGTTCTATTTTTAATCTATTAAGAATTTCCTTCACTATTGAAGAACCTGAACTTCCCTTGTCTGTTTTTCCCTCTGTGCCAGGACTGCGGGCCCTCTGTTGGGTTAGCGGCAGGCATCCCATCACTGGCGGCCACAGCTCTGCTGGTGGCCTTACTTTTTACTTTGGTTCATCGAAGAAAAAGAAGAAGAAGAAGAAGCAGTACATCTGCTGAGGTGATGACCAGCTCTTTTGGGTCTGGCTATGCGATAGGACTCAGTATTTTAGTAAACTGTCTCTAGGGCTAAAAGTATCAGAATTGGGGGATTGTGCTATTTTCTGAGGACAAGGTTGTAGAGGTTCCTTTTTAGACTCAATTCTGTTTTGCTCTGGAAAGAGCTGATTTGCATACAACTCTCAGGTCACGTGAGGACATCCTTGGCAACAAGGATGGTGTGTGGGATGGCAATAGCAGTGGAGCGGGATGTTTGTTGCCATGGGAAACATTTCTGTACAGTAGGTATATTTTCTAAGTTGAGAGGGTGAAGAGAGTACAAGGCTCACAAAGCACAGAGGTCATGTTAGAAAAGATGAATGATAAGTATATGTGCATGGTAGGGATATGGCCAGACCATATATTTTCCCTACATGATCTGAATATACAAAATTTACCAGAGGTCTATCCAATGCTGGATTGCTCTGGGGACCATGCTCAGAATCTAAGGACAATGCAGACCGATAGCCAACGAAGTGCCATGGTTATGACTGAACTGTGTTAAACAGATTTTGGGTTCTAATTTCACTTTCCACTTATAAATATTCATGGTTGTCTCACGAAAACCTGTCTCCCTATTATGTTCTAATCATGGCTCTATCATTTTGTGATTTATATGATTCTGCACATGCAACTTAACGTTTTGTATGCTTTTTCAGTTCACTTAAAAAATAGGTATCAGCCAGGAATGGTGGCACTCAACTGCAATTTCATCATGTGGGAGACTCAGGCAGGAGGATTGTTGAGTTCAAGACTAACTGATCTAATAGTGAGGTCTTTTCTTAAGAAAGAAAAAACAAATAAACAAGTAAACAAAAACAGGTATCATGAAAACTACTCTCATAAGCTGAGGCTGTAACTCAGTGGCAGAGCACCAACATACCATGTAAAAAGTTTTGGGTTTGATTACCAGCCCTTGGGGCGGGGGGAACTACCTCTTTCTTTGTATAAAGAGACAGGCAGAAATATAAAGATGATGTGAAATAATGTACTATTAATAATTGTCTTAGTTATTTTCTTATTGCTGGGATAAAATTCCCAACATTCACAAGTAAAGGAAAGATTTATTCTAGCTCACAGTTTGTGGATGTTTCAGTCTGTAGTTGGCTGGTTCCAAGATGTGGTGCGTACCAGAGGAGAAAGACTCTATGGCATGGCAGGCAGGAAGTAGCAAGCAGTGAGCCTTCCTTTTCCTTTTCATGCCCTTCAGGCTATGAGTCTATTGGTTGGTGCCACCTATTCCTAGGGTGGGCCTTTTAATTTCTACACCCAGAGCTATTCTAAACCAATCAGTGGACTAATCCAATCATCATACACCCATAAGTCAGTGTCACATGTCCATGATTCAACCACTTTCCCAAAGCCCCACTTATGAGGCTTTAGGGGCCCATCTAACCCTAAGCCACAATAGCCCATCCTTACTTCCAAAAGACTCATGTGCAGCCCTTTATACAAAATACATTTAGTCCATTTCTAAGAGTTGCCAAAATCCTAACAGTTTCAGCACTTCTGAAAAGTAGAAGTTCAAACTTGCCTCTGAGATTTAAAGTAAACTCTTAGCTGTGAGCCCTATAAAAATAAAAAGAAAATTTCATACAATGGCACAGGATAAATACTCCCATTCCAAAAGGTACAAATGGGGAGATACAAAGGAACAGGACCTAAGGAAGATCAAATTCCAGTAGGACAAACATTAAACTCCATAGTTCCATGTCCGGCACCCAGGACAATCTGCGGCAAGATGTGAACTCTAAAAGGTTTGGATGGCTCTGCCTCAGTGGCACTACCAGTGGTTGTAGTCCTCATAGCTTCTCTCTTTGGCCACCTTGCTTACTTTTTATGACTTTCCTCAGAAGGCCCATGTTCCCAGCTTCTTCACTGCACCCTAGCATTTATAGTCACAGCTTTATACACTGCTTTCGGGGTCACACTGCCTGGGTTCCCAGACTTTCTTCTGGAAAGGATAGAAGCCTTTCTTACCCCACAACTCTTGCATTCTATGTGCACCTAAAGCCAGCACCACATGGATGATGTCAAGGTCTTCTGCCAACTGGAGCAATAGCCAGACCCTTTTCTGCTGGCTGTAAGGGCACTTGTTGAGCACCTGGATGGCTGAGCACTATTAATCTAGTCCCAAAGAACAAGTTCCCTAGGCTATTGCTATTCTGGAACATGGTACCTTTGGGCGCTTCTCAAAGCAAAGTCTTTCACCTTTGCAATCCTGAGGCTGCTAAGGCTGAATTCCTGCTGGTTCTTGAATGTCCTCAGGCTATTTTTTTCTATTGTCCAGTTCCAAGCTACAGTACTTGGCCTTTCAATGTCAATCATTTCAGCAACCAAGCGGTCCTCTGATCCATCTTTGCCATCTACCCCATTACTGGAGCTTCCTTTTTGATCAAACTCAAAACTTTTTAAATCCTTCTGCGGGAATGTTTGATTCCCAAGGGAGAGCTGACTAAAAAATTCTAAGAATAGCCATGCTGCCACTCCTCATCATTAGTCTGCCTTGAAATTTGTTCTGCCAGATTCATTAGTGCAGTGCCCTTAATCTCACTCTTGCACAATGTCTCTGGACATCAGCAAAATGTAGACAGATTTTTGGCCAGAGTTTAACACAGATAGCCTGGAGTCCAATTGCCCATTCAACCCTTGATCCTAACTGAAGCCTTCTGAGTCTAGTCTTTACTTACACTTCTATCAGCATTTTGGTCTTTGGAACTCTGACTACAATCTCCCATCAAACTCAGCTCACAGCATTCTAGAGCTGCTGCTCCACCTAGCAATCTCCAAGCATTTCTAAACTCTTCCTTCAAGCCAGTTCCAAAGGCTTCTGAACCATATACACAGTAGAATTACAGCAACAACTCCAATTCTTTGTACCAAAATCTGTCTTTGTTACTTGTTGCTGGGACAAAATACTCAACATCCGTAAGTTAAAGGAAAGAAGGCTTATTGTAGCTCAGTTTGTGGAAGTTTCGGTCCATAGTCAGTGGGCTGCAAGGCAGGTGGCCGTGGCAGAGGAACATGGCAGAGAAGAAAGAGTCCGTGGCAAGGCAGGCAGGAAGTAGCAAGCACTGAACCTTCCTTTTCCTTTTTATGTCATTTGGGCTACAAGTCTCTTGGTTGGTGCCACTCGTGCCCAGAGTGGGCCTTTCCTTGATTCATACTCAGAGCTATATTAAACCAATGAGTGGACTAATCCATTTACTATACTCGTAATCCAGGGTCATGCACTCATGACCAAGCTACCTCCCAAAAGCCCCACCTATGAGCACTGAAGCTTTAGTAGGACGTTTGAATATTAACTGTAACAATAATATTGTGTAAAGATGCTTGGGCAAGCTCTAACATATTAGGAAGTATTGTGAGTGATGGACTACATAACTGATAGTTTCTTAGTCTTCAGTACATTTTAAAATCATCCAGGAAACCATGAACACATTGATCACTGAAACCAATTTAATAAGAATTTCTGGATGAAAGAGCTGAGGCACTGATGGTTAATTTTTAATGATGCAAGTAGTCCCCAGCTATTCACATAGTTTACATTCCAATTGCTCTCCAATGGATTCTTGACAATGTGGAGTGCTGAACCACATATATGTATATAGTTAGTTTTTTTGTAGTGTACACAGGCCCACAATAAAACTTAATTTGTAAATTAGGCAATAGCAATAGAAAAATTATAGCAATATATTATAATAAAATTTTTGTCAGTATGGTTTGTGACTTCTGACTACCATAGGGCAGGTAGCATATAAAGAATGGATACACTACACAAAGGGATTATTCACTTCCTGGGCAGAATGAGTCAAGATTCTGTCATTCTATTCTGGATCAGAATGACAATTTAAACTTTTCAAGTTGTTTATTTCTGGAATTTCTACTAACATTTTCAGACCCAAGTTGATCACTGGTTAATTAAAGCTGGGGAAAGCAAAACTTTGGATAGAGAGTATTACTATAATTTTATACACACATTAAGTAGAAAAGAATAGTTCAGTGAATCCAGCTATCATCTTGTTTTATCTCTACTGCCAGCCTCTTCTTCGTAGAGTCAACTTTGAATTACTTTTGAGTAACTCATAATGAAGTTTCTTGAGTTTATTTCACTTTCAGGGGTAATTATCTCTCTGTGTTTTATTTTTAAAGCTTTCTTGTGATTCTAATGTGCATCCAGACTTAAGAATTACTGATTTCTATCATTCTTATGGTCAAACGATGTAACATATCATCTTTTTAAAAATTTCTAGGAAAGTGAGAGACCATGTGAAATTGTGGACATCTATGACAATCCCAAGATATCTGAGGTAAGGACTTTCAGTTATAATCTCTATTTATGATTCATGCCTTAGTGGTGCTAAGGATTTTAAGGCTTTTCATATATAGGCATATGATGTGAGTGGACGTGGAAGGAATGGGACCAGAAGAGGCACAACCAAAAAGGTGGTTCTCAGGGTAGTTTTATTGGCCAGACAAGACTTCAAGATTTATTTAGTATTAGAGAAGGCAGGAAGAAAAGAATCAGAGAGGAGGGCATTGGGGACAAGATATATTCTTTTTTTTTTTTTATACTGGGGATTGAACCCACAACCTTGTACCTGACAGGTAGGTGCTATGTTGCTGAGCTACATCCCTGGTCCAAGATATATTTTTCAAAGGCACACCCCCAGTGGCCTATTTCCTCTACCTAGTCCCTACCTCCTAAGAGTTCATGAAGCTAATGAACTTATCAATGGAGTGATCTGCTCAATAGATTAGAGCCTTATAATCCAGTCACTTCTCCTAATCTCATTGGATAGCAATCAAGCCTTTAACATAATAAGCCTTTTGGAGGACACTTTGGATTTGAACTGTAACAGTAGATGTAAACAACTATATTGGTGATCACATTAAATATAAATGATCTAAATACCCCCATTGAAAGGCAGAGATACTCAGATTGGTTATAAAAGCCAGATCCGAATATATGATGTCTAAAAAACCCCATTTTAAATATAAAGATTCAAGAAGGTTAAATATTAAAGGATGGAAGGAGAGGTTCTATGTTAAGAAGCAGAAGAGTTGAATGACAAGAAAAATGTCTCAAAGGCAGTCTGAATAGCAATTGCAAATCTCTCATCATGTTGTTTTCTCTCTTTCAAATGTCACTGCCCTTCCTTATCTGATATCATATCTTTAAAACTATTGCTTCAATTTTTTCCTGATTTTTGGTTGTTTTGGGTGGGACAGTAAATATGGTTGTATTACTCCAATTTAGGCAGCAGCAGAAATCTAGGTGTATTTTCATAGTATCTGTTTGTTTTCTCAAGAATCCTAGGAGGTCACCTACACATATGAAGAATACAGCAGGAGCACAAGAAGCCCACATATATGTGAAGACTGTAGCAGGAAGCGAGGAGCCCCTGCCTGACACTTACCATCCTCCTGAAGACATAGAGAGAAGGAGGGGCCTGTGGTGGCTTATCCCCAGACTGAGCCTGGAATGATGTGGCTTAGTCAAAGAGCAGACCTGGAGCTGATGAGGGCTAAAAGCCCAGGAATTTGTATGTGGAGAGGAGAGATGTCAAGTCGCTTCTTAACCAGTTCGCATTTCATTTGTAGACATGGAATACTTTGGGGTCAATTTGTCTCTTCAAGGGACACTTCCAGAAAGGTTCACTCCAACTGTCAGGTCTGTTGCTTAATAAACAGTGAAGTAACACATGAGTTTGCCGTGCATCGAGATGGAGCTCCTAAAATCCTGCCCTGGCTCTAGTGGGAATCTGCTTTTGTGATTTTGGGAAAAGACCTTGGTTTCTGAGTGTCTTGAATTTTCATCATTTTTTTACACCCCTTTGCTCAAAAAGCTATCAGGCCTAGTTTCTGTAGTAATGTTGGCCAAACTCAACCCAGTACAAGTTAGAATCTAAATGAAACTCATATGAAATGTGTGAAGGGAAGTAATTTCTTATTTCTTTAGTCTCATGCTCTCCCAACTGAGATATGTTGACTCTGCATTTCCTATTTCTGAATATTTCAGAATAAAAAATCACGTGGAGCCACACATTTTCTGACCACAGGGAAGGATATGACTGGGTCACATCGTGCAGTAGCGGAAAGAAAATTAGACCTGCCACTGAACTGCTGTATGACTTTTGGAGAATCAATTAACCTCTGCAAACTTTAGTCTGGGGCTTGTTAAGGAGGGGGTTTCTATTTACATGCTTTTTGTGGTCACTGAAAAGTTTAAAGGAAAGCATTTGCCACTTAATAAGTACTAAATTTTTACTTCTATTTCTCTACTCAATTTGCTACCTCTTAATACTGTTGTCCAATAAAATCAAACAACTGATTGTTACCTATATTTAAAGGTCACCAAGGAAATATTTATGTCAAACATTTTCCGTGGTCTGCAATCCAAATTGTTGACATCTTAAGTTAATTCTAGGTTGATATCTAAAGATAATTCTAGTAATGTATAAAATTTTAAATCTAGATCTAGATGTGATCCTTACCCTTTATATGAACCAGTTAAAGCCAGGCACTTACAAGATCTACATTCCGATTAAAGAGGCTTGGGGTGTTGCATTTATCCTCAAAGATGCTGAAGGTGAGGGAGATTCATGTATTCTAGTAAAATGGCTTGCATTTACAGTGAGATGTTTTAAAGGCAAGACAATGTGTGCCTCATACGATAGTTTCTCTAATTATCTTTGAACATTGTGCCTTACATGTAGTACTTAAAGATACAATTTTTATTTAACCATCATCATCATCACAACAACAACACTACAACAGTCTTCAGAGAGAACAAGAATGCCTGAGTCCACGAGCAGCACTGCCATTTTGGCTTGATAGGAACTGTCTTCAAAGAGATTGAATGGAAAATCAGACATTTCTGAAGTGATCCTTAATATTGGACAACTAGTTTGTTCAGTTTTGTGCGAGTAACTGTAGAATACATCATTCTCTGACTTTCTCTTATCCCAGTAACACCTTTCCCAATTTTCAGTCTTTTTGTCCCCTTTCTGCTTAACTCTTTCTACCTTTCTTTCACCTTCAATACCAACGTCATTCTCTTTATGACTCTGGGTAAATTAGTAGGTCAGATATTCCATTGGTCCCCTATCATTCATCACCTCAGCTTGTACCTGAGATCAGAGAATATTTGAGTAAGGCAGTTCTGAAATGGGTTGTCTGTGTGCATGTGTTTGTGCCTCTGTGTGTGTGTGTGGGGGTGAATGTGTGCAAAAGTAAAGAAAAGGGAGGGAAAATGAGTTGCTGTAAGAGATTACTAGAAATAAGTGCTAATGCATCCTGTGGAGCTATCTACATTAATGGTTACGACTAGCATATACTGACTCATCTCTGCCGTGCTGTCCTCCTGCTGTTGGCCCCCTCACTTTTCCCCTTCATTCAATTACCTGCCCTGTTTGGTGGTCACCCTCTGCTACTGTTTCTGGAACCAGGATCATCTTTATCTCTAGAAAATTCTTCAGTGTTCTTTGTAGGGTTGGTTTGGTGGACCACCGGATTTGATGTTTGCCTTGCTGCATTTTGATCTTGCAGTGATCCCATTAGTTTTTATATCTTTATTTCTTCCTTTTGGAATGAAAATTCTTCTCCTATGTCAGGTGTATGTAATTTTCTTCTGATTTTTATAGATAGGTTGGAGCACACTGCTAAGAGTCTCCCTTGAGTTACAGGGAAGCGATGCTGAAACTGTTGGGAATCTGGCAACTCTTACAGATGGACTGAATGCAGTCTGCATAAAGAGATGCACATGAGTCTTTTGAGGGTCAGGAATGTTTTTATGGTTTCTATCTTGATATACCACTATAGCTTGCAATCATAGGGCTTTGGAAAGTGACTGGATTATGTGGATTGATTTGTTAGTTTCCTGGTGCTGGAACAAAATATCTGACACAAGTTAAAGGAGGAAAGGTTTATTTTCACTAACAATTTGTAGAAGTTTCAGTCCATAGTTGGCTGGCTCCAAGGCAGAGCAGCATGAAAGAGGAACATGGCAGAGGAGAAACAGTCCACAACAAGGTAGGCAGGAAGCAGCAAGCCAGCCTTCCACCTTTCCCTTTGTATTCCACCCAGGATAGAAGCCTATTGGTTGGTACTACCGACACTTAGGGTAGGACTTTCCACTATCCATACTAAGATGCTAACCCACTCAGTGGACCAATCCAATGGATTGGATTAGTTAACCATAACAGGGCCTTACAGCTAAGCTGCTTCTAGGAGGTGGGGTCTGGTTGGGAAGGTGGGCCACTGGGAGGGCCATGGACTGGAAGGGTTTACCTCTCTCTGTAGCTCCTCCCTTTCAGTTTACACTTCCTGGATGCCACTCCGTGAGCTGGTCTTCTCTGCCATTCTCCTCTGCTATGCTGCCCTAGAATCAGCTGGCTATGGACTTAAACCTACAAAATGTGACAAATAAACCTTTCCTTCCTTAAACTTTGGGTGCCAGGTATTTTGCCTCTTTGTCCCAACAAAGGAAGACACTGAGACATGGTTAATTTTTATGAACATACAAAACATGTGCCTTTTCTTTGCCTATATTAAAGTGTAGACTATCAGCATCGTGAGCTGAAACCAAGATATTCTTGGTAGTGGCACTTGCTTAGCCAGGCTGATTTTGGGAGCTGCTTAGCTCTTTATGGGGTGTGGGGGGAAGCTCAGTGCTGCAAGAATAAGAGGGAAGTCAGAAACTAGTTTCCCATCCCATGACTGATGTGAAAGGTGATTTTAGGCAGGTCACAAAATGTGTTTGCATCTCATTTCATTAAGTAGTACCTAGTATTTGGGTTGGTTTGTATGTAGCGCTATACCACCCACTTCAAACTTTCTAAACTTGTTTTTCACAAACCATACACCACAAAGTCCCCTCCTTGCTCCTGCTCTGACTCTTTGCATGGTCATATCAGCTCAGTCTTCAGTACTCTGTTTTCCTCACCTCCTGACTTTGCAGACAGACATAGATCCTTACTTTCCCTTTATTTTGCCAAGAGATAACACTTGTTACATACTTTTCTTTGTGCATTAATCTCTGAAAAATTTTAATGTTAATTGAAGACAAAAAGCACACAATAATAATGATCTTGAAGGATTGCCAATACACATAATCTCTGAACTCCTACCATTTTGGTGAGAATTTTTGCTTAAAACATGAAGTGATTTAATACATGTGCACTGGCTTCTTTCCTATTTCAGACAATCTTCTGGGCCCTAAGATAATACTGGAGACATAAACAAAAAGCAAAAAGAACTTGATTTTCTTGAAAATGTCTTTCTACCCTAATGAATATAAATCACCTTTCCACTCAAGGAAATAATGTTAGGAAAACTGTCAGAGAAGGGCTTTGCCTCTAGACTCAAACACATACAGCACTCTCTTTTGGGCTCAAATAACAGAAGTTATACTCATTTTCTTGTTTCTGTAATATCTGAAATTAGAAAAAGATGGCTAGGAATGGCCCTTCCGTCATGGAGCACTGCCAATGGCTGGAAGGCTGAGCTACATCAGGACACACTTGGAAATTCTTTCATACCTTTAAGTAAAACTCTGGAAGGACAGTTTAAGTATTGGTTTGTAACAACTTCTCACAGTATTTCACTAGTGGGGTTACAAATAAATTGAAAGATTTATTTTCCAGTGCTGAGATAGAACCCAGGCCTTGCACATGCTAGGAAATTGCTCTGCCCTTGAGGTGCATCCCTAAGCCTGTGTTGAAGGATTGGCAGTGAGTGATAATAAGCCATGTTGAAGGAATTCTACCACAAATATGACCAATTTAGTGACAGGCAGCCATTGTTGACTTGCCAGGCCAAGGATTATTCACCAATAAAGATCAAAGACTTTAAATATTTATCTTGAAAGCAGAGGGAAATCTCAGGCTATGTCCTATTCAAATACCAAGACCTCTCCAGCAAAATAAGCTCCCCTCTGCTCCTCAGAGATGCTCCAGCAGTAAGGGCTTTTCGTTTCACACATTTGATGCCATGATTCCTTCGTTACATGGGGCTTTTCTCGCATTTCAGACATCCTAGTCTTCCTACCATATGACCTTCGCATGAGCAAATGATGAGACAGATGTGGAAGTCTGAGGAGGCCAAGATAAATGCAATTTGCGTGGCATGCAAAGTACAGGATGGGGAAGAGTTGTACAGTAACAGAACTCAGAGATCTGAAGAGGGTCCTTTTGAGTATTATATTGCCTAGTGATCAGAGCATGCATATGAGCAAACTGCTGATGGGTGGAGAAAGAACCACTTGAAACTTAGAGGGAGCAGTATTCCAAAGCACACAGAAGACCAAAATAGGAAACATAATAATTCATCATGAATCAGAATGCTGAGAAAAGTACTGCTTCAGTAGAAGGGAAGAATTTCAACCCTAAATGAGGTTAGTGCTTCTCTAATTCTGTCAAACAAAGCTTAAAAGTAAGATGAGGATAGATAAAATTGTTTCTAAAGGTAGTCATATCTCATTTTTAAATTCATCACATTTGGTACTAGACACATTTTGGTGTGAAAATTTTGTTCTAACACCCATTGGTTTGTACTTGACATGCAAGACAGAACTTGTGAATGTTCATGGCCTTTTAACTTGTCCCTCTTTCTAGCCAAAATAAGGGTAAATCATGTGGTCTTAGTTTCTGTGGTCATTTTATATATTTTTTGCTTTTTTATCATGAGTTCTAAGAAAATGAACAGTAATAGCGTTGAGTAGAAGAGAAAATTACTGCATAGCATCACTGAACAGAAAACTGCAAGTATGAGAGTAGTATTTGCATTACTGATCTTGCTGGGGCACGCAGCATGTCTCCACTATCATTAATAAAAAAGAAAAGCTAGACAGGCTGATGTTGTGAAAGGAGTTAAAGCAGTAACCTAACAGTGTTCCCAACCAACTGAGTTAAAAAGTTGCTATTAACTTGAGTAATGAGAAGTAGTTAATGGGCAACAGTGTACAGAAGTTACAACATGTGAACAAGCAAGTGTGGCACGTCCAGCTTTTAAAAACTTGGGACAGTGAGAAATGGCAGTGCTGAAGTCTTTAGGCCAGGCGCAGCTGTTTGATAATTTAAAAGAAGGGAACCAGCATCCCCAGCGTTACGAGGCACAGCAGGCTAGTGAGTGCTAATAAAAAGGCTGCTGCTGAATTCATCAATGGATTTTAAGACTCTAGAGGCTGAGGATTTTATTTTCACCAACTGTGATGAGCATGGACTTCTGTGAGAAAAACACCATGTAGAACTTACACCACTATAGAGAAGAAGGCCTTCCTAGACAAAAACCAATGAAGGACGTTGGCTGACTCTGTTGCGCTAGTGGGATTTAAAACTCAGGTCTCTACTAGCTTATCGTGGTGATAACATGCCAATTTTCAAGAAGCCTAAGTCATAAAAAAACTCTGTGTGATGAGGACAAACAAAGAGCTTGCGTCACGCGGCAGATTTTTACTGAGTGGCTAAATAAACTCTCTGCTAGAGGAAGATTTTGCCCTGGAAGTGCTCTTCCTTTTGGACGATGTATGTGTCCACCATTGAGGCTTAGGACAGCTTCCTAGCAGCATTCAGCTTTGTCAATAAGAAGTTGGGGCCACTCAATAGTACTCTCACCCAGTGCAAGGACCAGGATGTCTTCTCAAACTTCAAAACATTGCACACTAATGCAGCTTTCTGACGGCGTTTTGAGATCATTTCTGACACCCTACTAACCTGCACAGAATCCTGGAAGATGCAGTTCACTGTCCTGTCTTGCCTCAAGTTTAGCAATAAGGCCAAACCAAAGTCTTTTATAGGACAAAAACTTCAGCATGGAAAAATCTGTAGCCAGAAGCTATGACTCTGAAGAACTTCAAAGGGTGTGAAACTGAACCTAAGCATACCGATGCAGAAGAGACAGTCATGTATGATATTGTATTTTGAGGTCAATCCATGGGTTTTGAGATCAATGCTGCTGATATGGAGGAGTTGGACAGACATCCTGGAAAACTTAGCATCTAGGGGCTGTAGGAGCTACAGAAGAAGCAGCAAACAGAGGTGGCTGCAGAGGTTTCTTCAGGTGAGGAAGAGATAAAGGAGAATATCTCTAGTTCCTTGATAAAAAAATTTTGCAAAATGGACAAAAGTTCAAAACTCTGAAGTACTGTTACGGCTTGGACCTACTGTTCCAGGCCATATGACCATATGAACTATGTATTCATAGTTAGGCTTTTGGGAGGTGGCTGGATGATGGGTGTTTTGGTGCTGGAGTTAGAGTGTGTGATACTGAGCTTAAGGGTATGTAACACTAGTTGATTTACCATGGTTCTGGGTTGAACGGGCCATCCTGGGTATGGGTGACACCACTCAAAATGTGGGGAGCCTGGATGGATCAACGGGAAGCCGCTGCCTGCTGCCTCTTGCCTGCTCTGCCATGGACTGTTCCTCCTCTGGGATGCTTCTCTCTATGCTGTCCTGCCTGGCAGCCAGCTGAGCATGGACTGAGACTGCTGTGAACTTGAGCTAAGGGTACCTTTATTCCTTTAACTTGTGCTGTAAGATATTTTATCTCAGCAATAAGAAAAGTAACTAAGGCAAGCACCATCTAGACTAAGCTCTGATAAGTAGAAAAGTAAACTTGTTGAATGACAAATAATTTCTTACTTTTTTTACTTTAAAGAGAAAAGAACAGAAAAATCAAGAAGCAAATAGTTCAAAAACAACAACAAAAGCAAAATGACTACAACAACAAACATGGCTACACAAGTTTTCAAAACAAGATGATAGGAATTTGACAATGGTTGTTAGCCTCAAAACAGGCTACCAGATACAGGGATGCAAGATTGATAAAATAATATAATTTCCCTCTAAGCAATTTCTTTCCCTTTTACTATATCTATTGTAACTTTTGTTTTTGTTTTTTTGGGTTTTTTTTTTGTCTTTTTCCTTTTTTATGGGTACCGGGCATCACAACTGCCTGCTTGCAAAGCAGGCACTTATGCCGCTGAGCTAAATCCCCAGCCCCTAATTGTAACTTTTGGATCTTGCATAAAAATGATGTGGAATTTTTATATAATGGAATACTACTCAGCCATAAAGAACAATAAACTCAAGGATTTATAGGTAAATGCAACTAGAAACCATACTTTTAAGTGAAATACATCAGAGTTTCATGTGTAAACACTGTATTGTCTTGCTAGTGTAAAAAATTTTTTAAAAACCTGAAAGAGTAATTTTTCACTTTGAGGAATTCTGAAAAGAAATCAGAAACATTGCTCATTGAACAAATTTTTAGTGGTGGAGAAAGAATGTTGATGTCAGAGCCTGTGGGGCAAGCTGTGAAAAGGCAGAAAACAGAAAGACCCTTTGAGGTAAAAATGCCCTGTGTTCTCTTGAAGGCTTTCTCCTTCTCAGCAGCCCTCCATGAAACCTGTCCTCCTGGCGAGGCTTCTCCCATCATTCCATAGG